CTTGCTGCTTGTATCAGACCGTCTTCCAGATGGTGCCGTCTGCCTGCCAGATGGAAATTGCCAGGAAATTCAAAATGGATACAACGCGCCTTGGAATCTGTAGCTGACCGTCTTCCTGCCATTTCAAATTTGGGGCTTGAAATTTCAAATGGACCGTCTTGCCAGGCGGTTGACGCGCCAACCTCGTTCAACCGTTGCCATAAAACCCTAAGCACCCAATTTTCAAAGCGCGTCGCCCTCGAATTTGGCAGGCAAAAATTTCCGTCGCCCGCCAAGCCGGACCACGGCCTAGGGCTAGGAGTTGAGCCTTGAGTTGGCTATCAGGCACGGCACCCCTTACAGATGGCCTGCAGCTGACTTGGAGATGCAAGCCAATTACGGTAGTGGTGGTTGTTGAGAGCAGGGGAGCAAGATGAATTCAATTGGGCGTACCAGATAGATGATCACGGCAGTAGCCCTAGTGTTGTTGCATCCATCCCACATATCTGAGCTGCTACTCCTACTGCCCATTGTCAGAGAAAGTCATACGCACACACACACAAACACACAAAAGAATGCACAGGGAGTATCAAATTTAGCATTGCTAAGAAGCACAGGAGATGAGAAGAGATTCCATCTCCTGTCCAAGGATGCTGAACTGAGTGGTGCTGTCCTTGATGTCCTTCTGAGCACTTGTGTAGGTGATGCACATCTCTTTGAACAAAGGCCAGCCAGCAACAACAGAGACTGAGTGGTAGCGCAGGTTGCACCTTGCTATGTTCACAAACGCCTCGACCAACTTGGTGTTGGACATGGGCTGACCGCTGACCAAGAATGATCAGAAGCATCTTAGTCTTGCAAAACCTGGTAATGAGTCCAATGACGTTGTGGTTTTGAAGCGACAGACCTTTGGGACACTGTTGGGCTCTTGTATGACTAGTGCAGGGGGATTTGGAGGCAGAAACTGACAACAAAGTGCATCATGGCATGGTCATGTTGAATCACCACACGTAGCATACAAGCGTCAAGGCCACTGCCAATAGCCATGATGATGTCAAAGTTGATGACAAATGACAGCCAGTGGCCAATAACGCCACAGATCAGCTTCATCTTGATCAATGTATCACCTGTTGGGTAGAGGGAGGAACTATCTTCCACTGGGACAATACAAAAAGAAGAGCTGGCTGGACGTTGTGCTCCTCCATTTGGAGGTGACTGGCAGTGGCGGCTGATGAAGTGAGATGATGGTCATTGATTTGCAAGACTCAAGACTCAAACCTCAAGGCTCAAATCTCAAGACTCAAGGCTCAAATCTCAAGGCTCAAAACCCAAGACTCAAAATTCCAACTTGGCTCCGAGTTCCGTCGAGTGAGCTCAATTTTTGAAGTTGGTTCGTTCGGCGACTTCTTCGCTCCACCTCGTTCTCGTCGCAATCGTATCCAGCGACCACCACTTACACCCCTGAAGCGAGCGCCTGCACAGGCTGCGTTTGGGGCTCACGATGTTCTACGACCTCAATTTACCATGGCCGCAACCACTAGCCTCGTCGTCATCCTCCGCCGGCGCTTCATCGCAAACCCCGTCGTCCAAGAAGAAAGTGAAGCAGCAGCAAGCATTGCAACAATCTTCCGCTTCGTCATCAGCAGCGGCGACACCAGAGCCTCCAGCAACGCCGCTGTCCGCTCTCCGCGAGAGCGATGCCGCCTCACTAGCGCAGGTGGCGCTCGAGCTCAATGAATTGCGCTACTCGCACGTCGCTTTCAACCACATCGTCCATTCTAGATATGATCCTGCCATCCATCCAAACGCGCTCGCAGCCTTTCGAGACGGCCGACCCAATCCACCTTTCCCAGAACTCGATCCACGCACAAGAGCAAAAGGCAAAGCGAAGGCCACCGCGCTCGACAACTCGACAGGACTCACGCAGCTCAGCCGACTGACACTCGTGCTCGACGACCAATCTATGGGCAAATCCGGCAGCGGCTGGGTGACCAACAATGCTACCGCTCTTCAAAGCTACGACCTGCTCGCTGTCAGACCTACCAACGAAGCCGCATTCCAACACGCCTGCTTGACACTATCCGAACTCAAGCCGTTCAGCATCGACATCATCTCGCTCGACTTTGGTGCTCAGCCTCGACTCCCATTCTTCCTCAAACGATCTACGGTCAACGCAGCACTCGAGAACGGCGTCCAATTCGAGATCAGCTACGGTCAAGCTGTGTCGGATGACGGCACGAAAGCGAGGCGCAATCTCATCAGCGGCGCAAGGGATCTACTCCGAGTGACCAATGGCAAAGGCGTCTTCTTCTCCTCCGGTGCGACAGACGCATTGTCACTACGAGCGCCGTACGACGTGATCAATCTCGGAGCCATCTTTGGCCTCAACCCGTCTGCTGCCAGGGATGCCATCTCGAACAACTGCAGGAGCTTGATACTGCGCTCGCAGACACGCAAGACGTACAGAGGAGTCGTGTCGCATCCAGTCGTCGTGCTACCATCTCCTACAGCTCACAGCAACGCATCCTCCAGTCAGCCCTCCGGACGCAGCGATGAAGCTGCCGACAAAAAGCGCAAGCTTCTGCCAAGCGACCACCAGCCTCCTCTCTCAACCTCGACCACGACAAAGGCTGGGCAGCCAAAGATCAAAAAGCAACGGACATAGCAACTTCTCAATCCATGTACTTTTACTCAACGATTTCGACTCAATGTGTCACACTCATCACCCTTTCCCCATACGAATGGCTCGAAGTGATCCGGTGTGTCATTGAAGCATCGCAGGCAACCTACTTGGGAGCGCCCCAAAAACCGGACTTGGGCAGCGGATTGGCGCGCAAGAACGAGAAGAAGGTGTCGCTGTTGCGCGCGGCGGGCCACCTGTTGTGTGCCACCGAGCCGGTGGTCACCGCACATGCGCCCTGGCAGGCGGGGTCGCACTTGGCTCCGTCGTCCGTACCCATCACTGCGGTGGTCACGACGTCGATCACGACCAGGCTCTGCGGCAACGAGGGGTATCGCCTCTTGAGGTCGTCCCTGTAGTACTTGCCGGTGGTGCAGATGCCGATGATGTCGCAGTAATTGTGGATGTCACGGACGGGTGTGGCGTACTTGGGGTAGGGAACTTGGGTGCAGGGGTCCTGGGAGTCGCGGTACGGGTCAGGCGCCGAGTAGACGGCTGCGGAAGCAATGCCATCGGTGTTGGCCGCGTAGAGCTCAGTCATTGCGGCTCCATTCGACCAGCCTGTCATGAAGACCCTGCGCTTGTCGACAGGAACGTGGCCTTTGGCGTAGGCGATGGTCTTGTCGATAAAGTCGACGTCGATATTGAGGTCGCGCGAGCGACGATCGACGTTGCGGTACCAATTGTCCCAACCAAGACCCGTGTCGTCAGGGAAGGGGTACTGGTGGATGGTGTTGCGACCGGCAGGGAGGATGTACGAGAAGCCCAATCGGCTAGGGTCCTCGTTGTTCAGCGACTGGATGTCGCGGACCTCGTCAATGCCAGTCAGAGGGAAAGTCACTGTGGACCCAAACAGCGACGGATGCAGATACACGAGCAACGGCAGCGGCTTGTCCTTGGTCGACTTAGGGTTGGCGTAGAAGCATACGGCTCGCTCCTGACCGTTCTTGTCGGTCATGGTGATAATCTGACCGTGACAGATCTGCACATAGTCCTGCAGACCGTTGGGCGACTGGACGTTGTTCAGTACGCGCGCGGGCGGGTCGCCATAGCGGTTGCAATTGGTGCCCGTCTGCTTAGTCGTCACTGCCGATGGAGGGTAGATGCCCAGAGGTGAGGTGCCCTGCGGAGGGATGCATGCGGGGATGCTGGGAAGGGAAGAGGTGCTCGATTGACGTCGAAGCCACTCGTCGTCGGTCGGAGGGAAGGCGATGGAGCGACCGAGGGCGAGCTGCGCACCAAGCTGGAGAGCCAGCGCGCACCAGAGCAGCATCGACATGCTGTTTATAGCTTTGTTCTGTCGTTGCATGTTCGATCGACTCGTATGAGCAAGGTTAGGACAGGGATTCGAAGGTGTTGTAGTAGAAGGAAAGTATGCGAAGAAGAAGTCACCTCCTTATATCTCCTTCGTCTCAGTGAAAGCTTTTGCAGATGAAGCCGGAGCGGGTCAAACTCGAATTGAAGAGTTCAGCCGGCGGTGAACGCTCCACAAAGCGCTTGGCTCGTCGACCATGGCGCATCATTCCACATGTTGCTGCCAGCTTCATCAACCGAACGTCCTCGGACAAACTCTTGCTTCACAACCTTATTACTGTAGCAGGTGGCAACCCCCTCGGTGCGGGGTAAAGCAATCAAAAGCCGTCCAGTTAAGCGAGGGCGTCAGCTGCCCCATCTGCGCTTTTTTGACACTCAAATCTCGGCTCGCGCAGTGGTCACCTCGGTCAACCGCGGCTAACTTTTGCGCCCATGATCTGAGATTGAACCTTTCCAGTAAGGCAAGATCGTACGTTGGCCGACGTCAAGTCTGGTATGACAGCTCGCAGACAGGCGCTGAACCTCTTTCACAGACACGCATCACGCAAGAAGAGCGAGACTCTTGCCACGTGAGGAAGGCTCGACAAGGCACAGGCAAGCGACAGGCAGCAGACATGATGGTATCAGCAATTTCGATTCCAATTCGTAGATCGTGAGCATTACAATGTGTGAGGCATGAGACGAGGCACGAGCACAGCTGGACCGTTTCGATAGAGGGGAATCTTGCCAACGGCTGTAATTCGGCGACATGCGCTTCCTCAGGCAGTGTGGACAGCAAGGCCGTCGGCCTTCTTGACATCGGTCTCCGAGCCCGAGTCGTGCTCCTTCTCGTTGAAATGACCCTCGTCCGAGACGTTCTGGTGACCCGACTTGGTGTCTTCGATGCCGGCAAGGCGAAGCAGACCCACATCTCGCTGAGCCTGCAGGAGCTGCTGCGACTCCCATTGAGATCGACCGGAGTTATCGCCAAACACGACATCCAGCTCGTCGAGGGTCTTCTGCTTGGTCTCGGGAACCAGGAAGAAGATGTACGCGGTGCCAATGACACACATGAGACCCAAGAAGATGTAGGCGCCGTACGGAGCAGCCTTGACAAAGTCCGGAGTGCTCATGGCGACGGCAAAGTTGTTGAGCCAGTTGGAGGATGCGCCGATCGAAACACCCTTGGCGCGAAGACCCAGAGGGAAGACCTCGGCAACCTGTAGAGGAAACGAAGAGCGTTGGTCAGTCCTTATCACTGAGAGATCATCAGAATGCGACAGCGAACACAGGGCAAAGACTTACAATGATCCAGGCGCATGGTCCCCAGCTAAATCCGAAAGCGATGGCGAAGATCCAGATGAAGGTGCATGCCACCCATCCAGCGGCAGCAGATCCTCCTCGGGCCCAGTCGTCGCGGCAGGTTGCGATGATGATGGCGACGACAAAGTGGCAGATGCCCATGATGATGGAGCCGGCAATCAGTGTAGGCTTGCGACCCCACTTGTCGACGTAGAGGACAGCGGGAATGGTGGCCAAGAACATGACGATGCCGACTACACCCGAGGCGAGCAGCGAGATGGTCTTGCTAGAGCTGAGACCGATGCTTTGGAAGATGAACGGAGCATAATATAGGATAAAGTTGACGCCGGTCCATTGTTGGAAAAGCATCACAAGCACGGCGACGGTGGTCCTCTTGAAGTTGGACGGATTGGTGAAGAGCGACTTGTATCCAGCGAGGCCGAGCTTGAAGTTGCTGGCGCGGCTTCCGTCCTGGAGATGCGGGTGGTCGTGTTGAGAAACGCGGTCCTCGAACAGCTTCTGTGCCTTGACCTCGAGGTACTCCATCTGGACGAGAAGATCACTCTCCGGAAGACGGCGAAGGCCGGCGATGGTGCTGAGAGCCTCCTGTTCGCGACCTTCGTTCATCAGCCAGCGTGGAGATTCGGGTACGAACAGCATGCCGACGCCGAGAATCAAGGCTGGCAGAACCTGGATGGTGATGGGAACGAGCCAAGCAGCTTGGCTCTGGCCGTCGCCAGTGCCGCCGATGTACTGAGTTCCGTAAGCGATCCAGTAAGAGATCATGATACCTAGATGGAGGCGGAACAGGATCATTGGACAACGAGGAAAGGGAACAAGTGATGCGTCAGTACTTGCTCCGACTGCGAACGACGCCTCACGACGCTAAAAGACTGCTTACCGAAAGTAATTGCCAGTTGCTGAAGGGCAACCAGCGAGCCGCGGATCTCAGGAGGCGCCAATTCCGCATTGTACAGGGGGACAATCATAGAAAGACTACCAATGCCAACGCCTGTAATTGTCCTACCTGCAAGGATGTAGTCGTAGCTGCCGCCGTGGGTGTTGGCCTGGATGATGACGCCGACGACGAACCAGACGATGGCGAAGAGCACGCATTTTTTTCGTCCGATCGCGTCCGAGACGTAACCGTTCATCAAAACACCCACCCACGCGCCAAGCTCGAGGATGGACGTGAGCAGGCCGGAGAGGGTGGGGTTCTCGATGCCGGTAACCCCGCTGACCTTGGCGAAGGAAGTCATGGTGAGCACCTGCCCGAAGATACCTTGGTTGTATCCATAAACCAGGCCGCCCATCGAGGCAAAGACGGCGATCGAAAAGGTGCGGGCATTCTGCACCAGGCCCGCAGCTCCTGTGGCGCCGACGAGCTTGAGTCGGTGCTCGGCGAGAGCGTTGGTGATCTCGTTTCCGCTGGTGGATGCGGCTGGCATGTTGGGCGAGGAAGAGGGGAGGGGTGTTGGAGAGGTGTGAACGAAGGGGGGCTAGTGTCGCCACGCGCAGTCAGACCGTGCTTATATAGACCTTTGCCTCGAGGCTCAGTCGAAACACCACTTCAGAAGCGAGAGTCACCTCCGGCTACTAGTCGTTCCTGCAGACTGCGTGCGCAGGAGGGGTCGTGAGGACACACCGAGGCTGATTGGTTGCCATGCGCGGCAAGGTTTTTTGCGGCTTCGGCAAGGTCAGCATCCGACAATGATGCGCGAACCCACGGAGAACTCCCTTGATCGCATTGTGCGGGGGTCTGGGGTACGAGAGGCTGGGGCAAAGGAGCGGCGAATGGACGTCGGGCAAACATGTACCGCGTCCGCGTGCCACCCCTCGTGATCACGACTCCGACTTCGACTTGAGCGACACGGACATCCCCTTGCGTCGCGATCCCTCTTGAGAACAAGCAGTCCCTGTCCCTGACAACCCTACCCTCCAGGATTCATCAGTAGGTAGGCTTGACTCGCAGCAGGATCAATTAGACCCTTTTCCCCGTGTTCGATTGACTTAGTACGCCACGACGACGACTAGTAAGCAGCGCTGGGGTAAAGGTCAGCGGTCAGGTTCAGCGGTGTGGCTTGACTCGTTTGTGCGACCGCTGACCTACCCCGCTCCTATTCATGCCATGCGGCTGCTGAGCGTACCTGATCCGACGGCGCCGCCGCTGGTCCCTCGCTTTGCGCCTTTGAACTGCATCACGCGCAGCGGTCACGAGCATACTCACGCGCTCGCCGTGCGTCCTGTGCTGCCCATGCATGTTCTCAAACAAAGCATGCTAGCGAAGGCATCAATCAATGGCATGTGTGGGCAACGCAACGACCGCAGCAGGCGAGCGAGAGAGGTTGTGTGCCTGGGTTCGGCTTGCCTCACGCCGCTTCTGGACGACAATTAGATTGCCGAGGTCGCGCAGGGCCCTCTTTTGCCGAGAATACCACGGAAGCTGCCTTCCGAACATGCCGCCTCTGCACAACAACGCATTCGACGCAGGCGACCATGATAGCATCGCCGGTCCACACCGCGTGCTCATAATGACCGGCGATCCGATCTGTTAGTCCCCATTCTTTGACCATCACTGTCGTCCTTCTGTGGGGCTCCTCATTGGCACGTATCGCAGCCTTTCGGCTTTACCTGTATTGCCGCCCTAGGTCTCGCGCTCAGTCTCATTCGATGTCTTTGCTTCTGTCTGCACGCTCTTGTGGTAGTGGTTGCTTCCGTTTGCACACTCTCTAATATTGGCCCTCCCTTTCGTGGTCATGGCTGCGTACTCACGGTTGCAACGCGTCGAATTGCCGGTCAGCGGAAGTCGCGGGCCGCCGCTTCGATTTCCTGCCGTTCTCTGCTCGTCGACGTCCTCGTGCGACCTCTTATACCAAGCCAGCGGAGCGGTTCACAATCGTGCACCTCTGGAACCACGATTCGATGCTCCGCGGAACTGCATTGCCGGTGTGCTCTCTGAGCATGGTCGCCGGGCGCCAACCCTTGTTCCTAGTCCTCCGATCTGCGCACGCTCCCCTTTGTGTAAGCGCCACAAATTCTCCTATTTTCCGCCGGAAGCTTTTTTTGACGCGCGCGGGGTGGGTGGGGGGGGGCCTGTCACGATTTTGCACTCCGCGCCGTCTCTCCTAGCCGCCAAATTCCTGCGGCCGGGTCAATGGGAGGCTTCGACCATTCCGAGACCTCGATCTGCTCTCGAGACGCTTGCAGAGGGGTCCTTGAATCGTGCGAGACGGTCAAAGCGAGTCTCACTGTCGGTTGAACGCCTTCAAGCCGACAACCTTGTCTATGACGCGCCGTCAGGCTTAGTGGGGACGAGCAGACGAAGGGAAGAGTGATTGATGAGAAATTCCTAAAAGGCACACTAAACGGAAATACATGATGTTGAGTCAAAAGGGGCAGAAAGAGACATGGAGAGAGAGATGAGAGAACAGTGGACGACATGGCAGGGCTGCGGGGACAAGGGATGTAAAGCGAAACGACACAATACACTGCTGACGGGTCTGGGGCGAAAGTCATCGCCTTCCACCACCACCAAACGACTGAGGATGATGCACCTCCCTCCCCTTGTTCTCCTTGGCCTGGGCGCGATCCGTCCTCCGGACGTTGAACTCGCTCATGATGCATATGTGGTCGCTGGGGAAATGCGCGTTGGGGAAACCGACCACCTTGCTGAGGTACTGCTTGTCGATCTCGCCCAGCACGCCCGTCACGTTGAGCGTGTTCTTCGAGTAGAAGATGTAGTCGATTGCGCCCTCGTAGCCGGGCGTGTAGTTGGTGAAGCTCAACTCGCCGATGGGAACGTAGGACGACTGGAGCTTGTACGGGTGCTCGAGACCATGCGCCGTGTAGTTGCCGTAGACGTGGTCCATAAAGTCCTCGTGGTCGCCGGGCACGGCGCTGTTGGTGAGGAAGTCGTACACGCCCGTTTCAGGTACACTGTTGAAATCGCCGCAGATAATGGTGGGGATCTGGCTGGCGTGCGTGTACTTGGGCGGCGGGGGGTAGCCTTCTGCGACGCTGGGCTTGGGCGGGAGCTTGGCGAAGCGGCTTCCGGCTTTCTCGACTTCGTCCATCAGCATGGCTACTTGCACGAGCTTGACGTCGCGGAAGGCGGGGTCCCAGTGTGTGTGCACGTTGGCCACCACCAGGCGCGAGCCAGACAGCTTGTTCTCCAGCAGCGCAATGACCGCAATGTTGTCCTTGGTCATGACACGGTTGTACATGTCCTCCGACTTTTTCAAGTCGGGTCGCTGCAGCGCAATCTGGTTGAATTCGACCACCTGCTTCTCGATGAGCTGGTACTTGTTCGCCTTGTAGAAGATGGCACAGCCGTCGACGCGTCGCTTCTCCTCGTCGCGCATGGTGCGCGCACGCGACTTGGGGTAGAACACACCTTCGTAATCCTGCTGCGAGAGGTGATGGAGGAAGTAGTCCTCGTACTGCTCCACGCCGATCTCTTGCAGACAGCAAATGTCGGCGCTGTACGACATGACCTCTTGCAGGATAAACTCCTTGCGGTAGTCCCACGCCAAAGCCCACGAGGGCGTGTAGCCGTACATTTGCGCGGTGGCGTAGCGATCGAAGAGAATATTGTACGAGAGCACGTTGAACGACTCCTGCGTGGCTTCGTCCGCATCCTTATCCACATCCAGGTCCGGAAGGTCCGGGTCGATCATGATCCACTCGCGCTCTGGTGGTGGCAGCGGCACAGGGCACGAGTCACGGAGATACGCTATGACGGCGCTGGTGCCTTCGCGCTGCAAGAGCGTACGCAAGTTGTCCTGCAGCGGGTTGCCCTCCACACCGAGCATCTCGAGCTGGTGCAACGTGCCAAGCTCAGGCGGGAGTGTCGTGAGGTTGTTGTCGAAGAGGAACAGCTCCCGCAGGCTGGTGAGCATGCCGAGCTCTGGCGGGACCGACGAGAGCTTGTTGCCAGATGCATCGAGAACGGTGAGGTGACGGAGCTTGACAATGTCGGACGAGATGGTGGTGAGCGCGTTGTGGTTGATGAAGAGCGAGGTAAGGAACGAGTAGCGGTAGACTTCGTTGGCGATGTTCTTGAGCGCAAGACCGCCCATGTCGATGGTGGACCACGTCTGCTTTTCCTTGGCTGCGCTCGTGCCCGTCGTGGAGGACGTGGAGGTGCCACCGTTGATGGTGGTGCCAGGTGCGGCATCATTGGCTCCGCTTCCCTTTCCGTCATCGGCTCCACCTCCGTTGGCCATGCTGGAGTCCTTCTTGGCCACAAAGAGACCGTTGGCAGCTACTTGAGGTGGAACGATGCCCTTGGTGGGATCTTGGATGGCAATGGCGGAACTGGTTGCGGACCGCGCTGCCAATGCGGCGGCACGTGCGTGGTGGTGCGGAGAATTGGACTGGCGTGAGATCTCTGCCTTGACAATCTGCTGCTGCCAGTGAGGCGAGCCGGAAGCTGCGGCGGCGGCAGCGGCTGCTGCTGCTGCTTCTGTTCGACCTGCGGAAGAGCTGAGGTGACCGGAATGCAAGCCTCCAGGCGAGGACATGTGCGAGAGACCCGACGGCCCGTGACCGCCGTGGTGGTGATGGTGGTGGGCGCCAAGGCTTCCATAGCCGGGCGAGGAGGGACCGCCAGCGGAAATGGACGCTCCGCTCGAGTGACCGATGGAGCCGGGCAAGGAGGAAAGCGATGGATTCTGCTGGTGCGAGTGGTGCGGGTGCTGGTGCCCTCTTTGCGGCCAGGCGCCGGAAGGCATGGGGAATCTGCCTACTGGAGTGAAAGATCCGTTGTAGCCGTTGGGGTTGTTGTGATTTTGAGCGGACCCTTGACCGCCAGCACCTGAGAGAGGACCGCCTCCATGGCTACCGGATTGGTGATGGTGATTGTTGAGGTAGAGGTATGCTGGAGGCGAAGGGGCCGGAGAAGGCGATGGGGAGGGAAACATGTATCGTTGTTGATGTGCAGCGCTGCGGGACCTTGTTTTCGAGTTGCAAGGTGCAAGATGCGAGCGCTGGGAAGTGTATGTAGGAAGCTGTAGGTGGTAGGTCTATCGACGGCTCGCTTTAGAGAGTGAACAGGGGAAGAGACAAGAACGCAGGCCGACGAGATGGTTCGCGGGACGGCAAAGAGTCGAGTCGAGCTGAAAGCAAAGCCTGAGATATAGAATCTGAAGATGAAGGAATCGAGGACCGAGACAATGGCATGATCCTCGGAGTGGAGGTTGAAAGGGACAAGGAGAGAATCAAAAATGTTGTTGCGTCTGCGGATGCGGTGGTGGTGCTGAGCTAGACACAGAAACTCGCATGGAGCGGATAGCGATCGCGTCGATGGATGCAGAGTGGGAGCTGCAAAAGGAAGGAGAGGCAGCGAAATGAAGGAAGGCCGCGGCTATGTGTGCGTGCGCGAGTGACGAGTCGAAGATGCGCTGTCACAAGTGTGAAGTTGAATGCGTTTTTTGAGTGAATGCGAGTGTTGGTACAGCACGTCGCTCGGACGGCGGGTGAAGGTGTCGACGAAATGACAGATGATGTGTATGAGATGATGACGAGCGAAGAGGGTGGAGGAGGAGGAAGGATCTCGAGATGCGAGGTTGAGATTGAAGGCAGCTGCTCTCGACTGACAGCCGACAGAACAGACAGAAGGACAAAGGCGATTGCGTCTTGAAAGCAACACTGCTCAAATGCACCTCGGCCAGTTTTCCACTTGAGCATGGTGATCGATTTCGGTTCCGCTTCAGCCTTCATTTTGAGCTTTTGTCTGAAGTGTTACATCTCTCACTCGGACATCCTTGCGAAAAGGATCTGCCTCGCTCGCTTATGTAAGCCTTCCACCGAATTCTACGCGTGGCCCACCAAGACTGTGCGCTGCTGCCGTGTGTCACTTTTGCGGGGTCCAGCTGAGCCGCTCCCTTTTGCCGTTCAGCAGAGCTCTTCTCTTTGGTCCGTACACGCCTCTCAACAGCCTCAACGATGACTTGTCACATCGCTCGCAGTGGGCTTACAGCCGCATTCGATTCTGTGTCGGCTCATAGCAGAAGACAAGATGGTGAGGTGAGCCGTTTCAATGTGGGCTAGCGACAGGCTGAGCGTGTGTCTTTTGAGCTGAGCCTCCTCTGCGCGAAAAGAATCGCATGGAACAAGCGCGCTCTCTCTCCCTCGCTTGGACCTTTGTTCTGGAATTATCTGCCGCACCACCGCTCGCTCTTTGTGATTTCTTCTAGAATTTCAACCACTTGGCGCTCTGCAGGCTCAGTCGGAATTTCGCTCAACACCCTGGCTGAGCCTTCTCGCTGCGCAAAGCCATTTATTCTCCATTCCTTCTTGGCTTCACCTCCTTCCCTCTCGTCACCGCACATACCCCCCAGACGTTGCATCGCATATCCACCATGTCCGGCAACACTGAGACCTTCGGCTTCGTAAGTATCTGCTGCCGCCACAACTGGTGGTGTTGCTGTCGTCGTTGTTGCCGCAGTCGCCAGAGATGACGGCGGCATCATCATTGTCGTTGTCGCCACTCGTCAAGCAACAAGAGCATGTTGACTGACCCAGACCTTCTCACTCTACCTCCATTGCACTCTCACAGGCCGCCGACATCAGCCAGCTTCTGGATCTGATCATCAACACCTTCTACTCCAACAAGGAAATCTTCCTTCGTGAGCTCATCTCCAACTCGTCCGATGCCCTCGACAAGGTCCGCTACAATGCCCTCACCGACCCCGAGTACACCAAGGCCGAGCCCGAGTACTACATCCGCATCACCCCCGACAAGGAGAACAAGTGCCTCATCCTCCGCGACACCGGTATTGGTATGACCAAGGCCGACCTCGTCAACAACATCGGTACCATCGCCAAGTCCGGTACCAAGGCTTTCATGGAGGCCCTCTCTTCTGGCGCTGACATCTCCATGATTGGTCAGTTCGGTGTCGGTTTCTACTCGGCCTACCTTGTCGCTGAGAAGGTGCAGGTCATCACCAAGCACAACGACGACGAGCAGTACATCTGGGAGTCGGCCGCCGGTGGCACTTTCACCATCACCCAGGACACCGTCAACCCCCCTATCGGCCGCGGTACCGAGATGCGCCTCTTCCTCAAGGAGGACCAGATGGAGTACCTCGAGGAGAAGCGCATCCGCGAGATTGTCAAGAAGCACTCCGAGTTCATCTCGTACCCTATTCAGCTCGTTGTCACCAAGGAGGTCGAGACCGAGGTCGAGGAGGCCGAGGAGGTGACCGCCGACGATGACGAGAAGAAGGCCAAGATCGAGGAGGTCGACGACGAGGACTCCAAGAAGGACAAGCCCAAGAAGAAGGTCAAGGAGCTCAAGACCGAACAGGAGGAGCTCAACAAGACCAAGCCCCTCTGGACCCGTGACCCCAAGCAGATCACCGCCGACGAGTACTCGGCCTTCTACAAGTCGCTCTCCAACGACTGGGAGGACCACCTGGCCGTCAAGCACTTCTCCGTCGAGGGCCAGCTCGAGTTCAAGGCGCTCCTCTTCATCCCCAAGCGTGCCCCCTTCGACCTCTTCGAGACCAAGAAGAAGCGCAACAACATCAAGCTCTACGTTCGCCGCGTCTTCATCATGGACGACTGCGAGGACATCATCCCCGAGTACCTCAACTTTGTCAAGGGTATCGTCGACTCGGAGGACCTCCCTCTCAACATCTCGCGTGAGACGCTCCAGCAGAACAAGATCCTCAAGGTCATCCGCAAGAACGTTGTCAAGAAGACGCTCGAGATGATCTCGGAGATCGCCGAGGACAAGGACAACTTTGCCAAGTTCTACGAGGCCTTTGGCAAGAACCTCAAGCTCGGTATCCACGAGGACGCCACCAACCGTGCCAAGCTCGCCGAATTCCTGCGCTTCCACTCGACCAAGTCGGGCGAGGAGCAGACTTCGCTCAAGGACTACATCACCCGCATGCCCCAGGACGGCAAGAACAACCAGATCTTCTACCTCACTGGCGAGTCGCTCGCTTCGATCCGTGACTCGCCCTTCTTGGAGCGTTTGAAGAAGAAGGGTCTCGAGGTGCTGCTCATGGTCGACCCCATCGACGAGTACGCCGTGACCCAGCTCAAGGAGTTCGAGGGCAAGAAGCTCGTCTGCGTCTCCAAGGAGGGTCTCGAGCTCGAGGAGTCGGACGAGGAGAAGAAGCAGCGCGAGGAGGACACCAAGAACTGCGAGGACCTCTGCAAGACGGTCAAGGAGATCCTTGGCGACAAGGTCGAGAAGGTTGTCGTCTCGAACCGTATCGTCGGCTCGCCCTGTGTTCTGGTCACCAACACCTTCGGCTGGTCCGCCAACATGGAGCGTATCATGAAGGCGCAGGCTCTCCGCGACTCGAGCATGTCGCAGTACATGGCTGCCAAGAAGACGCTCGAGCTCAACCCTTCGAACCCCATCGTCAAGGAGCTCGCTGCCAAGTCGAGCGAGGACAAGAACGACACCACCGTTCGCGACCTCACCGTGCTCCTCTACGAGACTGCGCTGCTCACCTCGGGCTTCACCCTGGAGCAGCCGCACGACTTTGCCAACCGCCTCTACAAGCTCATCTCGCTCGGTCTCTCGATCGACGACACTGGCATCGACGCCGATGTTGCCGAGGACAAGACCGAGGCTGCTACCGAGGAGGTGGCTGGCGAGTCGGCCATGGAGTCGATCGACTAAGCGTCGTTCCTTTCCCTTTGTAACATACACCCTCGCATCTTTTTCCAAAAATTCGTTGTTCGCCCATGACGAGCAGCTAGCATCCTTCATGTGAATCAAAGATCTTCCATCTCACTTTTGTCGTTTGTGCGTTTGTTGGACTTGCTGCCTGTCTGCTTTGATGTTGTGAGCTGATGGGTTGGTTCGAGGGTGTGGACGGGTTTTAGGGGCCTTTTTTTTTGACATGAGATTTTCGAGATCTCGGCTGTCAAAACGCAACCCTGAATCAGCCGGGAGAACTGCATGCAGGACCAGTCCAACAGCGCGTGGCGCCTCTTGCAGATGCAAACGATGATTCATGAGGGGCGTTCGGCCCATCTGCTTTGCAAGAGACCTCGCAAAGAAGGTTCAGATTGTCGATCATGCGTCATTGCAGATGCAGCCTGAGATTGAGGAAGAAGATCTCCCGGTGTAGGTTGAGCAACGAGAAGATTTGCGTTTGAGTTGGATCTTGGTCGTGTCGAGCTTGTCTTCGCTACCATCGAGGAGATCGACATTGCCTTGCTCCCACATTCAGCGCTCCGGCTCTCGCTGTTTATTCAGAGTGCGCGAGGATGGTCAGTACTGCTTCGGATGGAGATGGTGCGGCTCATGGAGACGAAGTGGGGCATCCAACCGAGGCGTCGGGCTCCAGCGCTCGTCCCAGTCCCGCCAATAGCATCGCGCAGCAAGAGCGACGTCCAGCTTCGAGCTCAAACCCACCCTCGACCTCGTATACATCCTTTCGCTCTCAGCACAGCAAACTATCTTCGTCGTCCTCCTCACTCCAGCCTGCGGACCAGCCTTGCGAACCTGCACGCGGCTATCAGACGATTGCTTCCGTGGAACCGACCCCCAAGCGACCGCTGTGGAGTCTGGGGACGACACTACCGAGAGTGCGACGCTTGCCATCAACGCCGATCAAGACGGCACAGCCAACACCTGGGAGCCGATCCAACTTTGTGCGACAGCCTCCTGTGCAGCCGGTGCGGCGGAAGACAGAATTCGAGCCGGCAAGACACGAGCCTGTGCACGGTCACGACTACGCCAATACCGATAATGCTGCAGCGAGTGCCGATGTGGACCCGCGTGACTTGCATGTCAGCCCGACGATCTCCGCGTCGTCGGGCGCGACCGCGGATCTGCCTCCCATTCAGGAAGGCGAACCGCTGCCGAACAGTGCGATTCATGAAGCATCTGATTCGCCGCAAATCCTGCAGATGCGACCCCGAGTCGACTGCTCGTTCAGCAGTCCCACTGTCGCTGATGCTATTAGTGTGGGCCTCGTCGACGACGATAGGGCTGGTGCAGAAGACGGGTCGGATCACGCTATAGGCCAGCAACGTCTCTCTACCGCACGCAAGCAGCTCGTTGAAGAGGCGCAGAATGGAACCGCTTGCCTCGCGATGCAAGAGAGCGCGGTCGACACCGAAGACGACCCGCACAGCCAAACTGCTCGGCATACCAAGACAGCCTCTATGCCATTCCTCCCTTCGCAGGGGTTCGAGATACTCGTTCCGGAAGCGAGCGACAAGGGCGCGAATCAGCTGAGACGTGAAGCGAGCCACCGCAAGAGATCTCGAGCAGATTCGCAAAGATCGACGATGGAGCAGACACGACATCCGGGTCTGTCGGGCGCAAGACCTGCGCCGAAGGGTCGCACGGCTGGTGGACCCGCGGCAGGCGTGGGCATCCGCAAGGGCTCGATGCAGAGCGTCGGTCGAGGCAGTGTGGCAGCCGACGAGGAAGTTCGTCCGACCAGCTACTTTGACCAGGAACCGTCGAGTCACGAGCTCGCGCATCTTGACCGTCAGGGCTCGACGCGGGGCTCGCACGAGGATCACATCGAGGCCAGACCGCTAGGAGGGAGGAGTAGCAGCCACTGCAGCTCGAATGGTCGCGACACTAGATCTGCCTGGCTTGCCAAGAGCATGCCTTCTCAGATAAACGCGGGCAACAAAGACGGTGAGAGGAGCGAAGATGCACCGGAGGCCGGCAGAACGTCTGAGGATGCTGGGCACGATGGTGCATTCTCGCACTCTGCGGGCGAAAAAGCGAGACACAGCGAAGAGACTGCTATCTCTTCGACAGATGGAGACGGCAGGACAGGTCACGAGGGCGCTCAATCTGATCAAGACGAGCAGTCCCACCACGAGAATGAAGAAGATCATCCTTGGCTAGGTGGTCAAGGGACGCTGGCAGACGGTCGAATCGTCTTCCCGACAACGTGGTCCCGATGGCGTTACCACAGCCGCGAATTTCTGGCCGAGCTGCTGGCGACCGTGTTGCTGATCACGGTGGGCACGGCGGTCGATTGCCAAGTGACGCTCTCGCAGTCGATGGGCCCGAGTGCGGGATCGTATCCGAATCAGAATTGGGCTTGGGGATTCGCAGTAGCTTCCACGATCTATCTGAGCGGTGGTCGCAGCGGTGCGCATTGCAATCCTGCAATCACCTTGGCCCTTGCCGTGTTTCGCGGATTTCCGTGGATACAGGTGCCTATCTATTGGAGCGCCCAGCTACTAGGCTCGGTCCTAGGAGCTGCAATCACCTATGGCATCTATCTGCCTGCCATCGACCAGTACGAAGGCGGACGAAACATCCGAACCCTCTCCGGTGACCATGGAACCGGACGGCTGTTTGTCACAGTCCCGCAGCTGGTCTTCACCTCCGCGTCTGGGTTTGGGACCGAGGTGGCAGCAACAAGCATCCTGATGGCCATGGTGCTGGCGGTAGGCGACGAGACCAATGCACCACCTTCAGATGGTCTCTCTGCGCTGGTGCTCGGGTTCGTGGTGGTGATGATAGGCATGTCGTTCGGCTGGCCCACGAGCTATGCCATTTCTCCGAGTCGCGATCTGGGGCCGCGTCTGTTCCTGTCCATGGTCGGATATGGACACGAGTTGTGGACGCACAATGCTTACTGGTGGCTGTACGGACCTCAGGCTGGGTGCTTTGCAGGCGCCCTGTTGGGCGCTCTGCTGTACGATCTCGCCATCTTCACAGGCGAAGAGTCGCCCATCAACTACACGCGACAGGGATGGATGCAGTCGACGCCGGCGCGCATGGGATCGCGTCTGAGAAACACAGCCGAGAGGGCGCACTTTCTGCGTCGGGCGCCTCGGCTGCTCAAGATCCAAAGTGCTGGAGGCAGGAAATCGAAGGAGGAGGCGATCGACGGGAGAGTGGCAGCGCTGAGATTGTCCAAGTCCGAGAACGATGCTTTGCCGGGAGCAGATGCAGGATCCAAGGATGACCCCGTGCCGAGGCGAAGATCGAGCCACACTTCACAACAGCTAGACGCACAGGAGCAAGGGCGACTGTAAATCGCTTTCAGTCGCACGCATGAGAGCTCGCGATGCATCTCTGCGTGCACAATGGCACGCCTCTATTTCCGCTCCTTCCATATATCTTCTATGATCGCTTCTAGAGTTGAGCTTTACGAGGCGCTGATGTCTTTGACCAGGATTGTTGTATAAAGTCGGCGAACTCGTCGTACACGTAGTCTCTGCGCTTAACGGATGCTGGTCCTCTTGGAATCTTGTCGAAGCCGTGGCCTTCCTTTTCGACACTGATGAAGCGTGCGTCTGTCCTGCCCGCATCTGTAAGTTTGCGGACGAGCTTTTCGGAGGCAGCATGGAGGTAGTCGACCTGACCAGATGCAAGGAGGAGGGGAGGGAAGCGGGCGGCATCGACGTAGTAGACGCTACAGAGTGGATGGCTCTTGTCCTCTTCGCGAACAAAGTAGGAGTCGACAAAGATGTGGCTCATCCAGGTTGGCAGAGGGAAGCCGCTGTCGGGCCGGTCTTTGGTGGGCAGAGGGCGTGTGCCGGGTTTGATGGTGAAATCGACTGCCGAGTACAGCGCAGCGACACCAGCAATGCGCTGCGGGCCGAGCTGAGCGCCGACGACGAGAGCAAGATTGCCACCTGCCGAGACGCCACCGAGTGTGATTCGGTCGGCATCGTACACTTTTGGCTGAGATAGAACGTAGTTGACTACATCCTGAGCGTCGTGACTAGCTGCTGGGAAAGGATGCTCGGGAGCCTTGCGATAGTCTGCGTCGACAAAGATGCAGTTGGGACCGAGCTTCCGGAGGACATGGGCGACAAAGCCATAGTCCTCGCCGAGATTTGGCAGAACGAAACCGGAGCCGTGCCAGGAGATGTGGACAGGCAGAGGAGCGAGGTCGCCGTCGGAAGTGGGGGCGACATGTTTGGATCGATAGATGTGCGCCTTGATGGTACGTCCGCTCTGACGGGAAGGAAGATTGACCTCTTGACGTTCAAATGCATGGGGCAAGGCAGGTTGAGGGCCGCGAATGAGGGGATGCAGAGACTTGAGCGAGTACATCAGGGTCCGCATGAGCACCACGGTGGCTTTCAAACGTATATACTGCAAGCTCCAGGCATGCAGCCTTTCTTCGGAGACAGAAGAAGCAGAGGCGGAGTGGCCGGCCATGATGGGCGATAAAGGGGACTACCAGCGTCTCAAGCGGCGTCTAAGGGGGGAAATGTGATGTTGCGAAGTGGTGAGTAAGAGCAAGGTCGGACGACGCCGACCATCTTCTCACGCTGAATGCAATCACATTATTTTGGGTGCTTTCAACTGGGGATGAGGACCCTGAACGACACCTGCTCGGCTCATCCGGGAGCATCGTGAAATTGGGACGGCTGCTGCGTTTCGACTGCTTGCTTCCAGTCGGGTGACCCAGTTCATTACGTTTCAGTCTCGCACGCTCATACTTGCTTCGCTGACGGGCATGGACACAGTGACATGAGTGTCGGGATCACGATCACGACAGACCGGCCGTGCAGCGTCGATCGCGGTCCGACGGCGCTTGAACGGCGATGCGGGGCGTACAAAGGCTTGCAGACGGCTTGGATGTGGAGCAAAAGTTACCGCTGCCGAGCCGTGAGTCCCCACCGCCCCACTCGATTTTGGTCAGTTGAGCAAGCACAGCTGCACGCTCGACTGGTCTCGACTCGACTTTGAACGCGTCAGGGTCCTCGCTTGCTGGCGAGCCAGGCACTAAAGCCGTGTCTTTGTTCGTGTCGCCCCTCTGCATCGCGCTGCGTTCCGTAAATAGGCCGCTCCACTTTCGGTGGTGGGCCGACGAGGATGGCCCCGCCTCCTTTGGCTTTCTCTCTCAGACCACATAGGTCACAGGATGCGTTGCCGGCGTGGCCGATGGAAGGAGGTGGCAATGCGCTCGGTCTCCATTTCTATTGGCTTTCCTGTTGTCAAGGAACAGGGTTTGGTCTGGCTGAGTCAATGTGATTGCGTCCGTGCCACGGTGAGCAACCGATCTGCTGTAAAGCAAGTTCAGGGTCTGACGCAGCCCGCTTGTGAGTGCGTGCATGCGATAAACGCACCGTCGCGTCAGCTTGTGCGTGCGTGCGTGGGCGCTGTGCTGTGCTGTGCTGAGTCGGTGTCTGTGGACCCTGTCGCACACACTCCCACTGCATGCTGTGCTATCTCTGTGCAGCTCAGCCATCCGACCCGACGAGTCATCCGCCGCTACTCCTCCTTCCAGACTCTTCGGCCATCCACACTCGTCACCATCACCACCACCACCACCACCACTGAAGCAACCTCGTCCAACCTCAAGCTATCCAATCCACAGAAAACGTCACGTCACACCACGGAAATCACAGTCACAAACACGCTCTTTGTCCATCCATCACGTCGATCCAGCCCCTCAATCTCCCGCGTAACGCTCCATCTGTACACTTTAATCGCTCCTCCGGTTTCGTCTCGGGTAGTCATCTCTCTTGACACGTCGATACCTTGTTCCTCTTATCTCGGCCTCACAAACGCGCGCGCCAACTCCTAGGAGCTTCTAACCTTCTGTCCGCACTCACATCCCCTCGCTGCAAACGGCCAATCATCGTCCACATCGGCTCTTCTCCTGCGAGCTAGCAGCTTCAGTGATCTTGCCCTTCTTCGTTTCTCTGGCTCCCTCCTTTCGGGCTCGCACAGAGCTGTTTACCCATGAGCCCTCGCTCTCACGATTCCAATGCCTCCTCGACAAAACCAAAGAAGAAAAACGTTGATTCTGCCTCCTCGCCCTCGGTGAACGCAAGCTCGGTCTCAAGCTCGCCTCCGATCGCCCCTGCTGATTCCAAGCAGGGTGTTCGCTCGATCGAATCTGCACCTGCTGCCTCCGAAGCTGTCCACCAAGATGCACGCGCAGGTGGTTCGGCTTCCGCTTCAGCTGCTTTGGCGCCTCGATCCTTTGTAGCATCCGCACTCAAGCCAGTATCGACCATCGAGACGGTCACTTCCACCATCTCTTCCCTCTCGCAGCAGGCAAATCGCGGCATCTCGAATCTCATCGCGGCTCACTCCAACAATCCTGCTTCGCCTCAAGCCATTCCCGCCGCCGACCAGACGAGCGCTCTTCGCACCGATGGCTCCGTCTCTCCCATCTATGACGCCTTTCACAATGCAGGCACTGGTCCTGATCCAAACAGCATCGAGGCTGCCCTTCGCTCGGCACATCAGGTCGACCAGCCACGGCCTCACATCCTTTGGTCACGCTGGGACCGCATTCCCCTGACATCTCGCCCACTCAGGTTTGCACCACTTTTAATCTCCTATTTTGATGACGGCACCCTTCAAGCGCTTCTCGTTCAAGATCGCAACATCACCGAGCTGCTCTCGCTCCCCAATGCGGCAGATGCCTTGCTCGACCGTCCTGCCTCGTCTTCTAATGCAAGCTCCAAGCTTTTGACTGCTGTGGTTCGGCCTCCTGCTGTCGACTGCACTGATCCGCAGCTGCTTGTGGTGCTGCAGGAACCCGACAATGCGACATGCTTGCTTGCTTATTCTCTCTCGGCTCATCAGGTGCAGGCATCGGCACATCTTCAGCATCGCGCCACTTCTCTGCCTCGGCAACCGGAACACGCCGAGACCCGCAGAGACATCCTCTGGCCACAAGTACAGGCTCAGTGCAACGCGCGATTTCTCGTGCTCTCCTTTGCTGCTCCTGCGTCCATTCACGTGCTCTCCACTTCCACCTTGGAATACGTCTGCGCCCCGATCCTGGACGTCTCGGCTGCGTCATCGGAGCGTCCGCCTCCCATCTCCCTCTCGCATCGTCTTCTCGCTTTCGCCTGCACCCCCTCAAAGGACATCTCCACCGTTCGCTCTGATTCACGGAGGACATCGAGTGCAGCCTACCATGACCCATCGCGCTCCTTCGCAGGCACGCACTCAGATGCAGCTGGACGCGTCGGGGAAATGCGCGACAACCTCTTCGAGACCTCGGCACATGTTGGCGACGCTGCCCGGCGCATCCGCGGCGGTGTCATGACCGGCGTGCGCACAATCGGAGAATGGGGCAGCTCTTACTGGCCACAAGTTGGCAGTCCGCCGGGCGGAGCGGCCTTCTCCCCTCCGCAACCGAGTTTGCTTTCGCAGTCGGCTCCTCACACGGCTGCGCGCCTCTCACGTCGAACCTCTTCGGCGTCGAGTTCCCCCATGCTCTCAGCCGTAGACGGTGGCCACGCAGCGAGACGTTTGCCGCCCGCTGGACTATCAGGTGCGGACAGTGGCGGCGGTCCTGTTCAAGGCGCGTCTACCAACTACGCTGCGTGTGTGCGGGTCATCGATCTGGCTGCCTCTGCGCGGGCTGTCTGCACGTTCGCCCCTTTTAGTAACGCGGTCGCTCTGCTCTCCTTGAGCCCCTGCGGTCGTCTGCTGCTCACCGCCGACACGCTTGGACACGCCTTTCACGTTTTCGAGATGCCGGCGTCGGGCTCGTTCGGGAACGCTGCGCATCCCTCGTCGTCCGCGCCTGTCTCGCATCGTTACAAATTGATGCGTGGCATCACTACCGCAGACGCAGTGCACGCCGAGTGGAGTTCGGACGCGCAGTGGGTCGCTGTCGGCACGCACAGCGGCACGGTGCACATCTATGCTGTCAATCCGTTTGGTGGCGCCCCTTTTATCACTAATCACGTCCAAGGCAAAATGAAGAACCCACAGGCGCTTCAGCTCCTCGGGGTATCGCTCGCCAGCCTTGCAAGATCTGCGCGACCTTCAGCGCCTTCGCAGCAGGGAACGCTTCCCAAACCAGCCGGCGCGCCCGGACCAGACGCTCCGACAACGCCCAGTACGATCTTGCTAACGAAGACCGGCTTCCCTTCCTTCTTGCTGCTCGATTCAGTTCCGCGAAGTCGCCGTTCCGACAACGATGCAAGCTCTCCATTCGAGCTGCTGACCAGCGATGCGCGCACAGCCAGCGTGACTCTTCATGCGGTCCGCTGTTGGAGCACGCAGACGCAAGCAACGAGTGCCGGCAACAGCATGGAGCATGGGCACGCCTCCAGCTCCGACTCAAGTCGTCGTTCTGTCGCAGCCACATCGCCGCGGTCGTCGGGTCTCTCGCAGATGATGCGCAAGGCAGGTGAAGGATTCCTCCCATCCCAGCAGCCGCCGCGCTTGCAAGCCGAATGCGTCCGTATCGCGCTGTGGGATCAGCTCTTGCCTGAAGCCGGCGCCGTCACGAGACACACTGTGCCCGCTCTGGAGGATCTCGCGAGCATTTCGCGCTCAGCAGGTCAGTCGCAGGCTCCCGTCACAAAGCCTCTAGCATCGGTGGCCAAGGCCGAGATCGAGACGTACAGCCAGTCGCCAGCCATGCTGCCATCTTCAATCTTCCTCTCTCGACAAACTTTCTTCCACGCACGCACACGCAACACCAACAAACCGTCCGCCGCATTGATGGGGACAAAGGAATCGCTGCGCTGCATTCAGCGGCGCGGCTCGCGTCCCATCCAAGTCCGCAGAACAGCCCGCTTGGTGTCTCGGGAGCCTTCTTCCTCTGAGCCTTCTAGTTCGTTCGATGACAGCTTGGCAGGTGCTCTCGACCAGATGTCGTTCGACCCCGAGCATCTACCGCCACGCAGCGCTTCGGCGCACATTCCTAGCTTCCCTCAGGGACAACGTGGCCGATCAGCGGGATGGACGACGGGCAGTAGCATACCGATCCGTATCGTCTCCAGCGGTCTCGGTGGCATCTATCGGGCAGGCAAGGAGCTCGGCCGTGGAGTCGACATGGCAAGGCGTCGCACAGGTGGTGCTGCTGCCAATGACGCGACCGATGGGCGGGCCGATCTCAAGAGCGCGAACGCGGCGTCGGTCTCTTTCGAAGGAGACACCGAGGTCGACCTGCTGGGCGGAGATGCAAGTGACGACCGTTCAGAAGGCGATCGCTATGACCGAAGCCATGCAGCTGCGAGACGAATTGACCATGGCTCAGCGCGATCCGACCTGTCGCTGCTGTCTACGCTAGCCAACGAGGCGCCAACCAGAGGCTCGCAGCCGAGCTCGGCTGAGACCCCATCGACGCGATTCAGCGAAACCGAGGACCCGTCCGCAGATGCGGATGACTGCGATTGGGACACTCTCGACGCAAGTCGCAGTCCTGCTGCTCCGATAGCTCCCCATTTCGACGTCATGGACACGGACACCGGGTCGAGCAGTAAAAGGGAAGAGCTGCCAGGCATTCCGGAAGATCTGGGCATCAACAGTGCGGACGACGAGTTTACTCTCGGCTTGTTCGAGGAGGACTCCGGCGACGCCACCGTCTTGCAGTCGCGAACGAGCCTGTCTCCACCACAGGATCTGAGCAACAAGATCGGGGCGGCGCGACGCGAGCTCGTATATGCTCTGCCCTCCGGTGGCTCCACGCGCTCAAGTCTCTTAAGCCAGAGCAGTGGCTTGACGACGATGGCCGACAATCGAAGTGAAGGCAAGGCCAGTCAGCCGAGCCCGAGGGATAGCAGTCCATCCAACTCGGACGGAGGCGATAGTGGCAGTGCTGGCTCCGGCATGCTTTGCGAAGGAAGCAAGGTAACGCAGACTCCTGACAGTCTATCGGCGTCTGCAGCGGAACCCGTTGCCTCCGACAAGGACGGCCTTCTCAGCAGCATAGATGCCGTCAGCGCTGCAAAGCCTATCTCGATCAGTACGTCGGGAGGAGGAGCAAAGAAGAAGAAGAAGAAGGGTGGGCGCTGAGGCTTTTCTCACGATACGTATCGAATATGCCGAGTCGCAATCCCGGAACATCCCATCTATCGCGCTGACTGTGATCGAATGCCGAAATGACATGCCACACCCTTCTTGAACGGACACGGACGGATCATCTGCATGCTTGACCAAACGTTGACATTAGCAAAATCTATGACGAAACAGGTGCAATCCGGGGGGACGAGGCGGCAAAGACGGAAATCACTTGGAACCTTTCTGGTTAGCCATGAGCTTTGTCCTTCGTTCGTAGAGCTCCTTGTCGGCGCCCTCCCAGTTCTTGCCGTATCCGTTCTTCATGGCGCGGGACATGCTCTTTTCGGTGACGGTGTTGTCACCGTTGTCGATGACGGCCAGAGCGCGCCTGAACCAGTCGGGGGCGGCACGAATCCAGGGGAGGATGACGGCGAAGCCGGGAAGCATGAGGTGCTGCGAGAGACCCGAGTCGAGACTCCAGACGATCTGTTCGGCGACCTGGATGGGTTCGAGGACGGGCGTGAAGAAGGGGTCTGCGTGGTCCTCCATTCCGTCTCCGAGGGCGGTGCGGACCTTTGTGGGGGCGACGAGCGAGGTGCGGACGCGTGGCGCGTTGTATCGGGTGCGCATCTCGATGGCGAGACACTCGTGGAAGGCGAGCGCAGCCGCTTTCGAGGTAGCATACTCGGACATGGAAGGGAGCGTCGAGTAGGCACCTGCCGACGAGACGGTGACGACGTGACCGTGATTGCGCGCAATCATGTCTGGGCAGAACTCCTTGACCGTGACCCAGTTGGCAAACGTGTTGATGCGCCACAGGCGCGCGACCGAGTCGAGATCGCAATCGAGGATGGTATTGCCCGAGGCGACACCGGCACAATTGATCAGCACACCCACCTTCTTACCGCCGAACGCCTGGCGGATCTTCTTGCCCACCTCAGAGACCTGCTCGAGGTTGCTGACGTCGGTCTTGTAGTAGAGGATCTCGGGTGCTCCAGCGGGAGCAGCAATGTAGGTGGGCGGTGCCATGTCGAGCACAGCAATGTGCGCCTTCTTCTTGTGGCTCAGCAGCTGGACGATCTCCTTGCCGATACCGGCGGAACCACCGGTGATGACGACCACATCGTTCTTATAGTCGATGGGGTCGCGCGCCCACTCCCGGTGATTGCGGTTGTAGCGGACGAGAATGCCGTTGATGGTGCGGATCAAGACAAGGATCCAGATGACACCGACAAACTTGTACTGCGAGAAGAGAAGATTTTTGACCAGAGTGAAGCCTTCGCCGAGCGTGGTGGAGCTTGCGAGGTGAGGGTTGGTCCGCCTGTGGTAGAGGACGGCGAGACCAGGAAGGATGGCCAGGAAGGGCGAGGAGAAGGGAACCTTGCTCAGAAAAGCGTTGATTGTGTCGATGGTGAAGGGCGGCTTGTAGACGGTGAGGCCCTTGGAGTCTTTGGTTGCGGCGGTCATGCTTGCGGTGTGGCTGGCGCTGCTCGCGGGCTGACTTGAGGAAACAAGGATGGGCGAAGGAGGAGGTGGTGGTGAGACGTCAAGTCTGAGATCTATATACGGCCGGGGCTGGTCAGAGGTAGGCTCAAGCGGAGACAGAATGGAAGAGGTGGGGACGGGATCAAAGCCTGGATGGAGAGGCTGCACGCCTGTCGGAGTTGACAGTCGACCGGGTGATGCTCGCAAAGACAAACATAGGCGCACGATGGTACAGCCCGGATTCGTGTGAAATGCAAGCCAGCTCAGGGTCCCGGATGGATTCCACTTGGCTGGGAGCCGATGAGGTCAATGCCATGAGAGAGGGTGCGGCGCCGGACCTGGTGCATGTGTACACACATCTCATCCGACCCCGCACTTTCCTCACAGCTCAGCGTCGTCACGGCTGGAGGTCGCTCCGTTCGCGAATTCGACACCAGTCAGACAGTCAATGTAGCAGCGTGATCCGGTCTTTGCTGAAGGAGGACCGGAGGACAAATCTTTTGCCTTTCAGCTCGTCCCGGCTTGGCATGACGGCAAAGTGTTGGGGAGGCTCGACAATGGCATGCAGCTCTGTGATGCAGGCTCGCATGTAGGTCGCTGTCCAATGAGGCGCAGCGCAGTTCTAAAGCGACGAGCCGACCTGCCCATCTGAGCAGGCTCGATTGACGGAGAGGAGGACAAACAGGGAGCGCGGCGTGGGGTAAAAATGACGTCCTAGGCGAGAGAATGCGGCTGCGCTGGTCTGCGGCCTCAATCTGTCGCGTGAAATTCACCATCCGTCCATCGGCTTTGACGCGGAATTCCAGACCCGACTAGCTTGACCGCGATCTGACACTGTGCTAAGATAAATCGGGAAGGTCCTAACCGATCTGGAAAGTGGCGAAGCTTCCCCCTCACTCCCATCTCGGCCTCATCTTCTGCGACTATCCATCGTCGATCTGTCTCACGATCATCATCGATTACTACCCTACTGCCGCTGCCTCTTGGCACCTCAACATCCGCCAACCATGCTGACATTCACTGCATTCGGCATCGCCTTCTTTACCGCCATTGTGGCGATCAGCACCGTCATCACCCTGCTCGAGTGGTGATGGCCCATTTTTCTCATTCCACCGGCCTTCGTTCCGAGGCACCATGTGATCTCGGTGGCAAGTTCGAAGCTGTACTCAGCCTTCTCCTAGCTGCGCGTCTACCTCGCCGCATCGCCAGCTCCGACGTAATGGTCGACATCATCCCGTCCCTTCGCAAGCAATCTCTCTCTTGGTTCGGCTGCCCTCAGCCTTTCTTTTCCAGCAGCACTCCTTTCCACTCTACTGTATTCTACCCGCATACCCGACGATACCCTTCCTTCCGCAGCTCTCCTCACCTGTGACACTGAGCAATATGCATGCGTTTGTCGACGATTGCCCAATTGATCCGCTAGCTAGGTGTGCTCTTTCTCTCGCTCTCTCGCTCTCTCTCTCTCTCTCTCTTCGTTGTTTCGTCTCACACACACCCGAATCACTCCCGACGCTCCCTCTCAACTTTCTTCAAAGAGACGATGTGTTCATTGCGATTTACACGCGCTGTCGCTTGCGTTGCTGATTCCTCGTCGCCTTGGCCACCAGATTCTCCCTTTCGCCCCTTGCCCCTCCACTCGGCGTCTCGGTATCGCTCGCAACACTGCTTCTCACACTGGGCGGCCCACCGGTGCTACCGATGGTGATCACCGGATTGGTCACTGTGGGGCCGGTGCTCGGAGCGCCTGCGCCCGCTCCCCCCGTCGGGATCGCCAGCGGGGGTGGTGCGGCGGGTCCACCTACCATCGGCGCCACAGGCACCGCCGTGGAGGTAGGATGCATCGCTTGATGCCGCAGACTCTCCTGCTGATGCAGCAGTTGGGCGAGTCGATGCGGTGCACTGGCCAGATGGTGGGTTTCGATCGGTGGTTGGTAGTTGGAGCGCATTTTCGGGTCCAAATCGTCCTGAATGACGCGTCGGTTGGGGTAGGTCGCAGTGGGCTTGGTGAGACTGACAAAAGCGTTGCTCGTCGGAGTGGGTGACTCTGCAAACCACGGGTGCGTCAACGACTGGGTCGCGGTCAGCCGTTGTTCCGGATCGTACTGCAGCAGTCGATCGAACAGCTCGTATCCATCGTCCGCTTTGTGTCGCGATGCGTACCATCGGGGAAGCGTCTTGGCGTAGTTATCCAACCGCAAGTGGGGCCACCACCCTTTGTAATCTGGCATACTCTCGATGGATGGCCACCGATCCTTGTTGGGCGTGCCGAGCACTTCGACGATGCGTTTCAACTGATCCGTCTGAAACGGGGCTGCTTTGGTTTTGGGGTCCATTTTGGCTTCTTCGCCTTTGAACATCGGTCGTAGGGCCAGGAGCTCGCCCCAGATGCATCCGATGGACCACATGTCGATCGCGGTCGTGTAGTGACGTGCGCCCAACAGCAGTTCAGGGGCACGGTACCAGATGGTCACCACGACTTTATCGCCGTTGTACAGGCTCTGCAGGGGCGAGGAGTAGAGACGCGCCAGACCGAGATCGCCGATCTTGACGACACCCGCGGAAGTGACGAGGATGTTGGCGGGCTTCAAGTCGCGATGTAAGATCCAGTTGGCGTGCAGGTAGGCGACGCCGTTGATCAGCTGCCACAGGAGACTCTTGAGGACCGCTACCGGGATGGGAGCGCGAAGGGCGGTCGAGTGGTAGTGGATGATCTGGAGAAGATCGTGCTCGGCGTACTCAAAGACCATGTAAATCGCTTTGTCCTCGAGCATCACTTGATGGAGCGTGACAATGTTGACGTGCGACAGCTCGCGGTTGAGCGAGATCTCGCGCATGGCGCTTTGAGAGATGCCCGTGTAGATGGTCGCGTCGGTCTCCTTGGTGTCCGGCTTAAACTTTTTGATCGCATAGATCTGGCTGTCGGGGATGACACCGGTGAGTTGCGTGTTGTCGGTCCGACCGGCTGGATTTGATGTTGGTGCGGTGAGCGAGGCAGTTAGACTGGGTGAGCCGATGGGTGTACCATGCCCAGTAGCACTGCCGTCGAGCGCCGACTTGGGCGTCGCATGCATCGAGCTCGCAGCACTCGGCGAATCGAGCATCTGATGCTGTTGCAGCAGCCCACCTCTCTTTTTGACTGCTGTTGTCGATCCGCTCGCCGCTCCTGTCCCCGACCCTGAGGCAACAGCAGCACCATTCGCCCCCACATTCCCGCTCCCAGAGGCAGTCCCAGGCGCGTTCCTCAATCTCGCCTTGTACACCCTACCATACGTTCCCGAGCTCAGGAACCCCAAGATGGTATAGGTCGCGAGCACGGGCTTGCGCACGCGATCCCTGTATTCGCGGTACGCCTTCATCGCCGCGGCTGGCGACGAGTCGGTGGGTACATGCCGCGCAGCTAGGTCGTGCGGATCTTGGAATTGCGACCAGAACGCGCCGGCGAAAGGGTCGTCCGTGTCGTCGTAGAAGTAGCCGGAAGGTCGGACTAGTTCCGACATGGTGGAAGCTGTGCGGGAGGTTGAGGCGAGGGCGTCTTGTGTATTCATGATGCTTGTTGTTGTCGTTGAGGCGCGCGGACTGGTCCTGGGGTTTGTCTTGACGCATTCGCTCGTCCGGTGCGACGAGAGACCGTGATCATCGATACGCCATGTTCTGTGTAAGCATCTTCCTGCTGCTATGTACTGGTGGAGTTTGTTCGAGATGGTTGGTGTTGATCAGTGGGTACGATGGAAAGGCCCGCGGTTCAGGGTCCAACAACCTCGTCCCCTTCTTCGTTTTCCGGAAGACGGACGGTGGAGTTGTCCAAAAAAGTCGCCGAGTTGGACAGCGGGCGTTGCACAGCTTCTTCCGATCCGACACCTTGCTATCCACATACATCGACGCCAATTCGAGAGGTGGCCGTTACGATGCCGGTCCACATCCTCGCCTCGACCGTCTCCGCCGCCATACCCACCGAATACTGGGCCTCCCTCGCCGCAGCATGCATCTCGATCTCGATGCTCAAAACCTGGTCGCGTGGTCCCTCGCTTCTCGAACCACCCACCACCTCGGATAGCTTCACCGACCTTCACGGGCGGATCATCCTCATTGCCTCTGGGGCATTCACCCCGCTGGGCGTGGTCACTCTTTCCTCGCTCGCGCATCGCGGGGCGCAACTCATCGCGCTCACTCCCGACATCAGCGCGCCGGAGGTGCTCCAGATGATCCACCTGATTCGCGACTCGACGCAGTCCGAACCGGTCTATGCGGAACAGTGCGACTTGGGCGATTTGGAGAGTATCAGTGCGTTTGCGGCGCTCTGGAATGCCGGGGATAAGGGGCAGAAGGAGGGCGTGCGGCGGTTGGACGGTCTGTTGTTTCTGCCGCCGGGGCGGGAGGAGTTGCAACGCGTCCGATTGGCCGAGTCAACGAAAGGGAGGAGAGAGGAGGTGTATCAGCTGCACGTGCTGGCGAGGTTTCATCTGGTCAACTCGTTGCTCAGCAGCTTGCTCGTCCAGCCGAGGGATCGGGAGGTGAGGCTGGTCAGCGTCATGTCGCCGTTCTACGCTGCCGGGTTGGGCCACTTTGATCTCCTTGCGACACAGACTGCTACGACGAAGGGCAAAGGGCCAAAAGGACAGCTGCAGACTCTCTCAGAAACCTCCTTCTCCGCTCTCCTCGGCGCCGCCTCCCTCCGCTGGTACGCCCTGACACTCGAACTGCAACGTCGACTCGATCTGCTAGCCGAAGCGGATCCGCGCCCGCGCACCAAGCTCGCCGGTATCGATCCCGAGTCCACCTCTTCCACTACCTTCACACACTCGGGCGACATCAAGGACGAAGCCCAACGTCAGATGCGACAGCACTCGAACATCAGCATCGTCAACGTCTGCCCGGGGTTCGAACGCACCGATCTCATCGATACGTTCTTCCCCCGCTCCTCCAGCTCCAGCTTCATCGCGCGGATACGAGGCTTTTTGCGATGGATGGTATTGTTGCTGCTATGGCCGGTGGTATGGTTGTTAGCCAAGTCGCCGGCTACGGCTGCCAACAGCGTCGTGTGGGGTACAACGCGCAAACTCGAGCCGCTTTCGATGCGATATGCGCGCATCCTGGAGAGTTTGTCGCCACCGCAGGGGAAGGGGAAGGAGAGAGAGACGAGAGGGTGGCAAGACCCGGTGATTCCAGCAGAGATGTATCGCGAGGGAAGGATCGTTCGTCCCCAGCTGCCGGTGAGGTTCGGAAAGCGAGGGGAGAAGCAGGATGCCTGGGCTGAGCTGTGGAAGGGGGAGGAGATGGAGGTCGAGCGACGGATCAAGGCGCTCGGTGGGAGTATCAAGCGGCCGAAGGTGTGAGCCTCGTCTGGAAGTCAGTCTTATGTGGGCAAAGACGATCGTTTGTGATTGTGCTCCGGCGCAGCAAGAAGCCGCCTGAGGTGTGACCATCGTTCGGAAAGCCGTGGGAGAAAGAGGAAGGCACTGGGGCGTGATTTCAAGCAGCTGTTGGCGTGACGACCGTGTGGAAGTCAGAAATAACGCCCAGCGCTCGGTGCACCAAGCTGCCGGAGGAGTGAGCCTCACCTCAATCGCGATCGCACACAGGCAGAGCGAGCGTCCTGGATCGTTTGCCACGCATCAACTCGCTCGGTGGCAGGGTCAAGCGGCCCTCAACCTCACCATCTCTGTGTCCGACGCACAGGCAGCGCAGATCTTCAATCATATCCATATCCAGTACAATTACACATCAACACGGATACATCATCGCTGAAGACCATTCACGTTCGCCGGCGTAGGCGTAGCCAACAGGCTCTGTGAGACGCTCCTCTTGCTCGCGACTCCCAGTGCTGGACCTTTGATCCCCTTCGCCTTGTCAGCGAGCGTCTGGGTCGAGGCGAACGAGTTGTGCATCCTCGAGCGCTGCAGGACCGACGAAGGTGTTTTGCCGATGGCTGGTGTCATGAGGGCCTGCAGGTTGAGCGAGGAGCCTGGGTTGACGGAGGGCGTTTTGGGCGGAAGCATGGTGTGGTGGGCGGGGCGAGGTGTGGCTGCTACCATCTGCGATTGCGACGAGCGGTGCATCGGTGTAGCTGCGGGAGATCCGGGGATCGTCGCGATGCTGGGTCGAGAGTGAATGGGCGCTGCAGGTGCAGGCGGAGGAGCCAGCAGGTCGGTGTTGTCGATCGTCAACGACTTGGTGCAGTTGGCCGTCTTGTAGACACCGATCAAGCGCGACGACAGCTCGAACATGTTGTTGCGCAGCGAGATGATGATGAACTGACCGCCCTTGGTGCGCTCCTTGATCAAGTTGGCCACGATCGAGACGTTGCGGAAGTCCAGCGCGGCGTCGATCTCGTCCATCACGTAGACGGGCGTCGGCTTGTAGGCGTGGAGGGCAAACACGAGCGCCAGCGACGAAAGCGTCTTCTCACCTCCGGACAAGTTGGAGATGTTCTTCCACGACTTCTTGGGCGGCATGACCGAGAAGAGGATACCTTCGGCGAACGGATCCAGCGAGTCGACCAGCTCAAGCTCGGCATTGCCTCCGAGCGTGATGGTCTGATACATCTCCTTGAGCTTGGACGAGATGACGCTGAAGCCCGCCATGAAGTTCTCCAGACGCTGCTTGCGGAGGTCGTCGTATCGCTGCTTGGCTGCGTCCCGCTCCTGGGTCGTGGCCTCGAGATCCTTGGCTCGAGCGAGGAATTCGCCTTCACGTTTGCGGTACTCCGCAAGCACCGACATGTTGGCCGAGCCATTGGCGACTTCCTCCTCGTAGGCGGTGATGGCACCCTTGAGCGAATTCTTGTTCATGGCGCGCAGCTCGTCCTCGGGGTACTCGAACAGCTCGTTGGCCGAGCTATCGTCGTCCTCGTCCTCGTCCTCCTCTGCGATATCGTCCGCGTTGCCCGACGATCGCTTCTTGGACTGCTTTGAGCGCTTGGACGACTTGCGACCCTGATCGCCTTCCTCGTCGTTGGCTTCAGCATCGTCGGCTTCGTCTTCGCTCTCATCGTCCTCGTCGATGTGGTGCAGCGACAAGGCGGACAGCTTCTCGTGCAGGTGCTTGAGTTGCTTCTCGTGCTCGCTTCGGAAGCGCTCGTTGTCCTCGAGGTTCTGCTTGATCTCCATCTCGAGCGCACGGAAGGCGTTGGCGGATTCGGAACATTCGTCGAGTTGCGACTTGATCTCGTCTCGCTCCTCGGCCTTGGTGTCCATGAGGTGCTGAGCCTCTTCGACCTTGGAGCGCACGCTTTCGGCGGCCTGTGTGTTGCAAGCGATCTGGTCACGGAGCTGCTCGAGCTCCTCGTCAAGCCCTTCAAGCTGCTCCTCGTTCTTCTGGAGTGACTTTTGCAACTTGAGAACGTCCTTTTCGGCCTTGGACTTGGTCACCTCGGCTTTGGTGGTGAGCTCGGACGAGAGTTCGATCTTCTCCTTGATGCTGTCGACCTTGCTGTTTTGCGTTCGGAGCTCGACACCACCCGCCTCCAAGATCTGCTCCTGCAAGCTCTCGATGTCGCTTTCGATGGCTTTGCTCTTTTCGGTGAGCTTGCTGATCTCCTTTTCGAGAGACGCAATCTGACCGTCGAGCTCAGCAATACGCGAGGCATCATTGGCATCGGGTTTGCTCTCCGCTTTGAGCTCGGCAACACGCCTCTTGGCCTCGGTGACGCGCTGCTCGCCGCTTTCGAGGTCCATGCGGATCTTGTCGAGTGCGACCTCGATCTGCGGTGCACGGGCGCGGTGGCCTTCGACCAGAGACTCGACCGTCTTCAACGACGAGATGTGGCCTTTCAAGGACTCCTCCAGCGCATCGCGATCACGCTCGAGACGCTTGAGCTGCTCGGGCGAGACCTCGTCGGCGGCGAACTTGGAGCTCATGGCACCGCTGACGAGCTTGTCGCCACCACCGGACATGGCACCGCTCTTCTCGATCATCTTGCCATCGAGCGTCACAACACGCCAGCGCTTGGCACCGTAAGCGATGCGGTTGGCCTGCGTCAAATCCTTGGCGACGAGCGTGTCACGCAGCTGATGGTAGAAGGCGCCCGCAAAGCGAGCTTCCCTCGGCTTGACGAGATCAAAGAGGCGTGGAGCGTTTTCTGGCGTCTCAATGGGTGCGAGCATAGCAGCGTTGATGCCAATGCTGTTGAGAACCACGAAGTTGGCGCGTCCGAGGTTGTTCTTGCGGAGATGCTCTATGCAGGCTTGACCGCAATCGACCGTGTCCACGACGATGTTGTTGAGACCGGGACAAGCCGTGCTGACGGCGACGTCGTACTTGTCGTCGATGACACCGAGATTGCCGAGACGGCCGTGGAAGCCTTTGATCATGCCGAGCTCGGCTTGACGAGTCAGGCTGGAGAGCACATCACCACGCGATCGACTGGCGCTGACGGTGGCTCGCGCCTCTTCGGCTTTGGACCGCGCCGAGACCACCTTGTTGCGGAGAACAGCCTCTTGCTGCTTCATGTCGTCGAGCTGTTTCTGACCGGAGGCGATCTTCTTGTCGAGGTCGCGACGCTCCTGGTTGAGACTCTCGACCTCATCGTGCTTGGTCTCGTTATCGAGCTCGAGATTGCGAAGCGACTCCTTGGCCTCAGCGATGCTAGCCTCGACCTGAGCTCCGCGGCTGGCGAGCAGGTCGCGCTCCTCTTGGGCGACATTCTTGGCAGCCACCTTGTCGCTGATCTTGGCAGTCCAGGGTTGGAGCTCACGCTGCTTCTGTTCGACGGCGCGGCTGAACTTCTCGGTCTTGCCCTTGAGCGAGTCGCGGATCTTTTCGAGCTGAGACTCTTCGCGTTCGAGGGTCCCTTCGAGCTTGCGCAGCTCGGCTTCCTCCTTCTCGATCTTGTGAGCCGAGTCGAATGCTGTGTTTTTCGCCTCTGACGCAGCGTGACGGTCATCGGCGATCGACTTTGCGAGCTTCTTCCTCTTGGTCTCGAGATGCTTGCGCTTCTCTTGCAGCTGGACATCCTCCTTTTCATACTTCGCTAGCTCCTTGACGATCTTCTCGCTGCCGCGCGAAATGCTCTCAAACTCCTTGACGAGGGCTTTGTAGCCAGATTCGAGTTCTTCGATCTCGGTCTTGGAGCCAGAGTACTTTTCGACCTCTTGAGCGAGACGCGCCTTGAACTTCTCGATCGCATCGGTGGCGACCTTGATGTTGTCCTTTGCCTCGAGACTGTAGAGCTGCCAGAGCGCCGATTGACGTCGAGTGAGCTCGTTCTGCGCTTTCAAAAACCTCTCTGCTTCGCGCTTCTTTGCTTCCAGTGCATCCTTCTCCTTCTGGACGATCTTGAGTCGACCGAGCTTCTCGGCCCTCTTCTCGTTTGCTTCGTCGACGAGCTTGGCTTGCTCCTCGATGGGCGTCTTGAAGCAGCTGGTGCCAATAATGTCTTCGAGATACTCGAGCAGACCCTCCTCGTGCTCGTTCTTGGCGCGGGGAGGCATCTGAGCAATAGACTCGACTTCACCCTGCAGGATGAGGAAACGCTTGTGGTCGAGATCAATACCCTTTGCCTTGAGGAGAGTGGTGCACTCGGTGAAAGTGGACTTGCGGGCGTTGATGAAGTACTGAGAAGTGTTGTTGCGGTAGGCGGTACGCGAGACGATGAGCTTGCTGCCGGGGACCACCTTGAACCCATCTCCTGGCAGATCGATGATCTCGCGGAACCAGACCTCGACACTGCACTGAGGGAGATTCTCCTTGCCAGCCGAGTTGTGAATGAGTTCGCTGAGCTTGCCCTGACGCATCTTGGTGGCCCTCCAACCGAAGACAAAGAGGAGCGAGTCGATGACGTTACTCTTACCGCTTCCGTTCGGGCCAACGACACTGGAAAAGGACTTGTGGAAGGGGCCGATCTCCTGACGACCGGCGTACGACTTGAAGTCGTTGAGGACCATCTTGTGGATGACGAGACGCTTGAGGGGACCGGCGGGAGCAGCAGGCTTGGCCGGGGTGGCGATCTGCTTGAGCAGGCTGGACGATGGCGTCTGCGGAACATCTTGCGACGAGGCGGTGGCGGGCTCGGGAGTGACGGAACGAGCTTCCTTGAAGGAGACATCCGATGCATCCGATTCGTCTGCTTCCTCTTCTTTCTTGACAGGCAGAGCCTTCGCCTTGGCTGCGGTGGCTGGCTTTGCAGCTTTGACGCCTCGACGAGCTGTAGGTGACTGAATCACCTCATCCTCCTCGTCTTCCTCGTCGTCATCTCGAGCAAGACTCAGCGATTCGTCAACAGCGTCTTCGTCCTCTTCTTCCTCCTCGTCCTCGCTCTCCACCACGCGCTTCGCGCGCGATTTAGACGTCTTGATCGGAGGCGGTGTGACTTTCTTGGCAGCAGCGGGCGCCTTGGTGCGTGCTGCTGATGCGCGTGATGTTGGCTTGGCGGCTGACTTGGACGACCTGGACTTCGAGACAGGCTTTACTGGAGTATCGAGCTCTTCATCGTCGTCTTCGTCGTCCTCATCCTCGTCATCTTCCTCTTCTTCCTCCTCGCTTTCTTTCTCATCCTCTGACTCCTGAATGCGTCTTCGTGACCTCGAAGATGCGGCTGTGGATGGTTTAGCTTTGGTTGCGGCGGAAGAGCGTGAGAGCCGCGTCGACACCTGCTCTGAAGGCGATGCAGAACTCGAAGATCGAGATGAGCCGGTGGATGTGACCGAGTCGCGTGCCTTGGAGGCAGCAGCTCTGCGAGGCGGCATGTTGACGCTGTAAGTGTGAGATGGGCGCTCGATGTGGTTGGTGTTCCGGATGAAGGGAGAAGCTCGAGCCGAAGTTGTGGTTGCTGTGGTGGGTTGATCTGTCGATGAGAGGAGGGACGAAGGAAGCGATCAGGGTTCAGCGGCTGATCGCGCTGAGTCGATTGTGTTGCTCTCAAAGCTGAGCCAGCAGTCTCGCGCGTTGAGCCAGAGCAGAGTGACCACGCCAAAAGAAAAAGTGTTGCTCTCGCTCAGCTGGCACGCCGACGCGTCCAGACCTTCTGCGAGGCTGCTGCCCTGTTTTTGTATTTTTTCCTGCCGCTCAAATTGGCACGCGCAAATACAGGGTCACGTGCTGACCTCCACTCCGACAGCTCTCGCACGACACCCCTCGCTCCTGCTCCTCCTTCATCTTTGTTCCTCACCCTTTCGCCATCGTACCTCACATCTCGAGCACTTCGCAGACTCTCGTCGCGGCAGCCTCGATCATGCGCAACGAATCCTCACGGCAGAGCGACGCCCGCTCTCACAACCCCAACCTCAACGTCTACTACTGTCTATGCGGGGAGTTCGTCCTGGTCTCAGACCGCCCTCTCTCTAGCCTCCCTCTTCGACCGCTCGACAACTCCCGCATCCTACGCTGTCTCGATTCCCCGCCATACTCGATCACCGGCGCACCGCAAAAGGTGCGCAAGGCGAGGATCTTCAAGGTCAGCGCTAGTCAGGGTCAAGCCAAGTTCATCAAGAGGCCCGATGGGAGCTTGGAGAAGCAGTATCCGTTTTGCTGCTCAAGATGCAGTCTCGAGTTGGGGTACGAACATACGCCGCCACCGTTGAAGAGCGGGGGAAGGTTCACGTTTGTTTTGCCGGGAGCGGTGACCGAGAGGCAGGGTGTACCGCCGACAGACGCGTTCTTGGAGGATCTACTGGCGCAGGAGGAGCAAGAGGAGATACCAACAAGCTCGGCAGCTCCATCCGCAGCCGTCTAACCCTGCATGTCGAACATATGTACAACAGCATCACATCAATATACCCGTCGCGCATAAGCATCCTTCTCAAAACATCAGCGATGGTTTCAGTGCATCGACAAGGATGCTCAGAACCAGCCAGGCGATCACAAAACCAAGCATCGACTAAAACGATTCAATTGGCTGAAGAGAGCACATTGCGAATGGATGCTGGTGATGGAGCAACTAAATAAAAAATGGTATCGTGGTATTTGATATGCTCGCCGCTTTAGATGGCGGTAGTCTTGTTGCCGGTGGAAGAAGACTTGAGGCCGAGATCGCGCTCGAGCTTCTCACCGAGCCCATCGACGGTGCGATCGCACTTGCCCGTGTTGAGCAGGTTGGCCTCGTGGACGGAGCGCGAGTTGTTGGTCAGACTGCCGCCGCCGGAGAGGAAGTCGGCCTTGGAGACGGGCTTGTGGTGGGTCGACTCGTGGACGATGGGCGCCTCGTGGGTCACGACGTGGGTAGGGATGGTGGTTTGGATGCGATGGTACTCGTGCGTGTCCTTCTCAATGACGGGTTGAACGACGTTGTGAATGTGGTGGTGAATGTGCTCGTTGACTTGCTCTCCCTTGTCCACCACCTGGCGGTGAACGGGGGCTTCGGCATACTGGTCCGCGTGCTTGCCAGCCACCGAAGTCAGCAGGTGCGCATCCTTGTCGGTCGAGGCGTGCTTCTCGTGCACCTTGGTGACCGGGTGAACCTTCGTGTGCGTCTGCTCGGCAGAGTGCTCCGAGTCGAGCACGGGCTGAACGTGGTGCTGGATGTGGTGGACGTGACGCTCGTGCTCCTTCTGGCGCGTCACCTCCTCCACCTCGTGGCGCTGGTGCGTGTGGTGCGTGACGGCAGCAAGGTGCTGAACATCCTGGTCAACTTTGCCGCTGTTCAGGTCGAGGTGCTTGTCGGAAGCAATGTCGTGGCCTGTCTTGTGACGCAGGCTGCCGTCGGTAGCGTGGACATCGCCAGATCGGCCGAGACCGAGCTTGTCCTCGACCTTCTCGCCGGTGGAGCGAGAGTCAGAGTAGTTGTGCAGGCGGCCGTCAGCAGAACCGATGTCCTTCTGGTGCGTGGCGGGCGAGCCACCGGTCGAAGTAGCGGCGGTGGTGGCGGTGTGTCGTCCGTCGTCCGACGACTCGCTGGAATGCGACTTGCTCGAGAGAACCTTCTTGACGGCGTTCATGTTGGATGATGTGCAAGCTGAGCGGGCGGACTGAGCTGAAAGGGGGGAGTTGTGCAACGATTGATGCAAGAGCGGTGTGATTTTCTTCCTTATGGGTGGGTGGAAGAGGTATGTATTGGGGGATGGACAAGGAGTAGAGCTCGAGCAAGAAGCTTATATGGTTTTGTAAGGTCGGCTTCCCACGCTGTCACAGACAGCTGAACCACGCTGATGCCGAAGCAATCTCAGTCCCTAGAATCGAGGGAGCTCGAGGCTCGGGTACCAAGTGCCCTTGTCTGCGCAGGATCAGTCTCGCCTTGCCGGGGCAGGGATCCTGGCTATGAACGGAAAGACCGCTGCACAGCAGTTGGCGAGGCGAGCAGCGATGATGCCGTCACTGCCACCGGCAATGCTATCCGGTCGAAGCACGAGCACGAGAGGGTGAAGCACAGTCCAGTGACGCAAGTTTGAATGATCCGTCGTGCAGATGGGCAAAAGACGCTTTCTTTTGGCTTAATGATGTCAGAGCGTAGTCTAGGATGGCTTCTCAACGTCGAGGCGGGAAGGCGAGGGGCGAGTAGTGACCAGTGGATCCCGCCAGAGGAGCGGTCGAGAGTCCTAGTAGTGGCTGTGAAGCTTTGCAAGCGAGGCGGCCTAGACCTGCTGCAAATAACATGGATCACAAGGGCCACTCAGCCTCAGCTGGTATGACCGGGCAACTTTGCCGTTGGAACGAGGATAACATCTGCCAGCATGACACGCCGAAACGGGAAGCTGAGGCACCACCATGCTACCAATGAGACATTGTTGCGGATGCTTGACCGCTGCCGCCTGTTCCGTGATTGTGACGGATTCATGCAGAGCCTGCTGCCGAGCACGCTTTGAGGACCATGAGAAAGAACTCCAACGACGTCAGGCTGCGACGGAGCATGACATGTGGTCACGGAAGCGAAGGAAAAGCGTTCAGACACCGTTCGCTTCGGTCACCTCCTGCATACGGGACGCAAAGGAGGCGTTGCACTTCAGTCACAGAGACAGCTGCCACTTACATCAAAGCTGACAAGGGGGTGCGGCGGTTCGGCGGGCGACGAAGCACAAAGGTGACAGCTGACAGAGTTCAAAGTGAGACATCCACATTGGACGCGGCACGTTGAGAATCAAATGTGCTGGCCTTTCCACCCATCCGAGAATTCGAGGACGCTGATCCGTACAGCACGCTACTTCATTCGTTTGCAAGATCGGAATGCCGGTCCATGTTGATGCGCTCTCGCCTCCATCTCGTCTTGATCCACGGTCTCGTCATCATCATTCCTTTGCTTCAACAATGCAACGCGTTGACTTTGCGCGCAGGAATCCGGAGAGAGTGTCAAGCCTATCACTTGCAGCGGCATTTGAGTCATGCGGGGGAAAGATGCGAGACGGAGGCGCTTTGCCAAGCTCTCTGCGTGTGTGATTGGCTGAAGGTGGCTTGCGGCGGCCGGATGTTGAGGCGTGGTTGAGATTGTTGGTGACGTCTTGTTCCTGAGCCAGAAGCCGGCCGATTCTGACGGGCGCGGAAGGCGAATCTTGACAGCCGGCAACTTAGCACGCAGGTGCTTGCTAAAATTGGACGCGGCTGGTTGCTATGATGACAGAGATGCTCTTCAGCGCCGTGTGCGCATCACGACACAAATAGATTTCAGGCTTGCGGCGACTGTCAAAAGGGATCAAGCCTCCTCCACCATCTGCAGAGCGTGATTCATGCCGCTGCAAAGCTTTGCTAAAGTGGGCTTGCTTGGTTGTCATCTTTCCGCGAACCATGCTCACCAAGCTAATGTCAGGCTCGCCTCGGACTCCAGAACCGCATAGCCGCACGCTTCCCAATCTTCCGAGCTCAGGCCATGATAGGTCGATCTTGTTTCCCGCTGTGCCGGTGGATCTTGGGATGTGAGAGAACAATGGCGCAAGCCGATCCGGCTTTGAGATCGACTGGACGTCGTCAGCCTTGGTCCCATCTCCCATCTCGTGGTCGAGATTCGGCGACTGCATTGTTTGTCTCGCACTAGCACTAGCGTAGCGGCTGTTCGGTTCGGTTCTCTGTTTCCCAAGGAACGACTCGGATGCGCAGCCGCACGGATGACTTTTGGTCCCCGTGGACAACAGAGCCGCCAGTGTTCGTCAACGACCAAAGATGGTCCGGAACGTGTCAGTCGATGATGCTTAGCCGACCGACGGCAAGTGAGCACGCCAGGGCCCAACGTCACCACAGAGCGTCTAGCTCCCGTTCGGCATCTTCCGCTGCACGCTATGCTCATGGACCGGAACTCATCTCGCCGGCAACACTCCGAATCGACACAATCACGCAAGAGATACGAGAACGAGACTAGCAATTATGAAGACCTCCAGAATCCCCCCTGAACCGGGAAACGAGGCCGCACGATGAGCAAATATACAATAATGGTAACACCGGAAACACCAAATGAAATGAAGAGAGAAGAATCACCTGTTCAACGAGATGAGGGATGCATTTTTTGTTTGACGACTGTCTCAGGATTCCGCCGATCCAGAGTTGCGACGGCTTTCGCTGCCACTGCCGGTGCCGCTACCGCCATCCTTTTCCGACGTGTCGCCCGAGGTGGTGGTAGTGGCCGCCGTCTCGTCCGAGGCATCGCCCGAACCAGAACGACGATCGTTGGGCGCCCGCTCGGGGAACGGCGAAAACTCGGAGCCCGAACTGCTGCTGCTGCCGTAATCGGTGCTGTGTCCTGCATGCAGATACGACAGCTGCGCAGTTGGCCGCAAGTGCTGGCGATGACCGTGACCGTGATCGGGCCGACGCTTGATGGGACTTGGCGTCTGGATGTGAGGCACCGAAGGACCTTGTCCGTTGCCCATGAATCCGGCAGAGCCATCCATGGGTCCACTGCGTCGACGGCCATTCGCCATGGTCGGAGTCTGCGGTGTCGAAAGCTGAACGCCGTTCGCGTTGAGGCCTTGTCCGTTGGCGCCGAGGTGATCTCGCGACTGGCGCCGCAAAGCGCGGATCTCGTCCTTGAGTCGGCGGTTGACGTTCTTGAGCTGATGCATCTCGAACACCCACGACGAGCTGCGGTACGTCGACAGCTCGGCAAACACGGATGTCAGCGAGTCGATGCTGGTGCCCGTGGCGTCGAAGGCGGGTTGAGGTCCGCCCTTGGGGTACGCCACGTTGGGGATCATCCACGAGCTTTCGGCAGACGCGCGCTGAACGTGCATGAACACAGTGGGCAGCGCAGGACCAGCAGCAGCCGACGAAGGGTAGAACGACGTGAAGACGGGCACGTTGTTGCCTGCACCGTCCCCCATGAGGTGCGAGACGCTCATGGCCTGACTGCTGCGGAGTGCCTGCAGAAGCGAAGGTGCCGCTTCATAGTTGGTCAGCTCGAGCACGTGGCGACCAAAGATGTCGCGTTCGTCGCAATTGAGCACCTCGGCAACGGGACCTGTCGAGTTGAGGAAGATGCCGTCGATCGACAGCTTGGACCAGAACGAGGGCTGAGCAGACTCGGCACCCCGACGGACGTGCTCCCAGGCAAGATTGTACACGGGGCGCGGTCGACCACTGGAGATGACGACCTTGCGCCCCTTGCCCTGTTCGAGATGCAGCTTACCGGTGCTCTCGATCCAGCGGTGACCGTCGTGCTTGTGTCGCATGCGCATGATGAGGTTGACGCGCGGTCCAGCTTGACCACCGCCACCCTTGGTCAAGGGGTTGGCAACGCCCTCCGTGCGAATGTTACGCGAGGCGGCGGCGGCGATGCTGGCGTTGCTTGTGGAATCCTTGAGCTCGCGGAAGACGGGCACGACATCGCTGGGGTGGCAGAATTCCGAGATGGACTTGCCGATGACCTCGTCGGCCGTGTAGCCAAGGATGCGCTCGATGGACGGCGAGACATACAGGAATGTACCCTTGAGCGAGAGCACGTAGATGAGGTCGTGCGAATTTTCCAGAAGCACGCGCGACCACTGCTTGGCATCGCAGGGACCCACGCCATGGATAAGGTCGAGAATGTCGGCAGCCAGCAGGGCTTGCTTGGAGGCATCCGCATCGGCATCCTTGCCCAGCTCGTCCGCGCCGAGGATGGCCGAAGGAGGAGGGTCGTTGATGGAGCGATAGTTGACGAGGTACGAGCCGTCGTCCTTGCGCTCGAGGATAGCGCCGGGCTGCTCGACCAAGTCGACCTGGAAGCCAACGAGGAAGTCCACCTGGGACGGATCAGACCACGAGACAGGCACGACAGTGACCAAATTGATGAAGGGGCTGCCGTCCTTGCGATAATTGATCAGACTCGCCTGGCACTCTCGAAGACCACCCAAGTGACGCTTGAGGTGTTCCACAGCGCGGTTGTCGGTGTGCTGACGCTCAGCACCGGCCTCGAGAGGAACGCCGGGCGTCTGCAGGAATCGACAATTTTTGCCGAGGATCTCGTGCAGCGTGTACCCAGTCAGGTGACAGAACGTCTCGCTGGCGTAGATGAGCGGCTGTTCGGGGTGACGCGCATCCGAGATGGCAAAGGAGCACGAGAGATCGACGGGACCGAGCGCGATGCTCTGGTTAGGACGAGTGATGGCACGCGAGAGGATGCCGAGGACATCGACACCCGAACTCGAGTATTTGTTCGAGGTCGGGATGGCATCACCCGACGAGGTGCTGAAGTTGCCCTGGTAGATCTCAGCGCTAGCGCCAGCGTTGCCACCAACGTTGGCTGCAGGCATCTGGGGTGCGAAGCTGTTGGAACGACTGTCGAGCATCTTTTGCGGTGACATGTCGGACGACGACACGGACGACCCGGAAGAGTCGTTCATGAACGAGACACTACGAGTGGGTATCGGCAAGGGCCCGCTGCTGATCTGGCTCATATCGTCGTTGAGACTGCGCTTGGCACCTCGGCCGGCGACTGAAGGGAAGGCAGCGACGCCCGGAGCGGCTGCATGTTGCGAAGCCTGGCCGAAAGCTTGCTGCGGCTGTTGCGGCTGCGGCTGTGGTGCTGCCATCTTGGCGGCCTGTCGCGAGAGGCGTCGACGCTCTTGCAAGCTGAGGTTAGCCCTGGCGGCGTTGGTGACGGTGATGCCGCGGTTCATGGGGGGCTGCACTCGCTTGAAGGTGGAGACGCGAGGGATGGAAGACGTGCTGCGGCTGCCTGTGCCCAAGAGGTGCGAATGGTGAGCGGCAATCTGGTCGCGATAGGAAGCGGTGATGTCGCGCTTGGCACCTGACGCTGCGGGAGCGACAGCAGGGGCAGGCCCTGACGTGGGCATCTGGCTGTTCTGGCTAATAACGCTGGCGTTGGTGTGAGCGTCCTGAGGAGGAGGAGGAGGAGCAGCAGCAGCAGCAGCGCCAAAGCCAAAGTTGGGGGCACCGTTGCCTGCACCGGTGGTCGAGCCCATGTCCCACGAGTCCATGAGATCGTTGCCAAATGACTCGCCGTAGTTGCTGCCGTACATGAGCGAGTTGGACTGGCTCATGAGTGTGCCACCGGCCATCATGTCGAGTCCGCCGTTGATGTTCTGCATGCCCTGGTCGGAGAAGGACGCGACCATGTCGTTGTGAGGACCGAGCAGCGCGGATGCGTTGGTGCTGACGGTGTTGCCGAGATTGTCCACGGCGATCGAAGCGCCATTGTTGTTAGGGACGGCCGGAGGCGCGACCTCTGCGTGCGAGGGAGAGGAGATGAAGGCGTCAAAGTCGAAAGTGTCCGCCATCGTCGATGAGTGAATCGGTTGGTGATGAAAAAGGGTGACTAAAGACGAAGCGGCTATTGGCACAGAAAAGTGCGATTTGCTTTGATAGCAAGGGTATAAAGGTCGAGAAGAACGAACGAAGAAGTCGAGCTTCGGGGACGATCAGAGAGAGCGCGGGCGTAACGAAACGGACGCCGGAAAGATAATTGCGCTGGTGAGAGAAGCAGTAGTGCTAACTATGAAGGACGGAGATGTGTCCTTGGCTCTGGTGATCGTGACGAAGAAAAATGTCGACTGGGAACAAGACCGATGATGTCGAAGATCAAGTGGATTGAGAAAACAAGAAGGTAAGGATCCAACTGATGCGAAAAGGTCGCGGGATAGCAGTGCAGTAGGGGCAGAGCGATATCGGCTGCCTAGTGTGCAAGTGAGGATTAGGGAGGAGGAATGATGGCGAGCCAGAAAGGTGGCGGCCGCGTAGCGCGACAGGCGCTAAAGTGTCGGGACTCGACTTAACCCTCTGGCTGCAAACTCGATGCGAATCAGCAGCAGAAGTGATTGAGGGATGGGACGAGGCTACGACACTCAAGAGCCTTTTTGCAGGTCACGCTGATCGAATATCCCCTTGCTTGTTGAAGGAGCGATCGCTTGTGCGAAAAGGTGATGAGAGTAGCAACAGCCTAGCGTAGAGGCTGATGAAGGGGGATGTTGACTTGGGCTGGTGGCGATTCGGGTGAAAGCAGCATCAAAGCCAATGTGACATCAGAAGGTGAAGAGGGTTCGTCGAGATGAGAGTCGATGATCAAAGTCGCAGAAAGGTGCGTGACGATGTGGATCGAGGTGACTGGTCGATGAAGTTGTTGGGGATGAGTGTGAAGAGAGATGATGATGTTGATTTGCAGTGGTGTAGCTGAATGGAGCTTTGAGACGTGCAAACAAGTTGTTGAGATAGCCTAGCGATATCGGAGGCTGTAAGATGAAGGGCCGCCTAAAGGAGGGGCAGGATGATGGTGATGATGCAGTGCTGGTGGACTTAGTGAGCCATCAGTACTGGAGAGTGACCGAAGATTGCGATGTGGGCAACGGATGGTGGTGGTGAGGCAAGGTGAATCGCTGCTCGCTGCGCTCAAGTCGAGCTGCAACCGCAGTCAAAGGCAGCAGTGCGCTGTGCTGTGCTGTTGCGATGCTCAGTCGAGGCGCAGCAATTTTTCACTGTCTCTTGGCTGTGATGCAACTGGAGTCCGGCGCGCGGGGGGTCGTTGCGATTAAGGCACTGGACGAGTCCATTGATGGATTGATGCCGAAATCGTGCCTCTGCTCTAGAGCCCGGATGTTTGGTTTTGGATGTCAAGTTCAACGTTTCTGTCTCTCTTCCCACGCCCGGCTCGCTTTTTCGGTCCTTTTCTCAGAACCAAGAAGAGACGCGAGCGACCCTTTCACCGGTTGGCTATGTTGACGCAAACACGGGCCCTCTGATCGACGTCGATCTCTGACATCCGCCCATTTCTGGCGGTCGGACTGTTCTTGTACGACTGATGTTGAAGCTGAACAGCATTCGCAGTAGCTATCTCACTGTTTTCTCTCTGTGAGACTGAGGTCGCGATATGGTGGCGGGCGGGCGGTGGCGAAGGCGAGTAAGAGCACCGCGAGGTCAAAGGAGGGTTGATAGCCGGCCAAGTCCACATCGATCTGGGTGGAAAGGATTTCGCCTCCGCTCTAGACTCGTCTTTCGCCTCGAGTGACCTGAAAAAAAACATAAGTTGCGTCAGACTACCGAAAAGTACGCCCCCGTCTCTGTGCCAAGTTTAGTTGGATGTGGCCTCGATCTTCGGCTGTCTGCAAACTTTGACGTGTTTGACAAGACCCACCTGCAGCCACTTTCTAGAATCGACGCCACCTAGACCCTAGGGTCTTTGCGGGTTGACGCAAGCGCGCGCGGGGCATAGCGGCCGTGTTCAACGTCTCGTACCGTAGACCTTACCTTCCTGCAACAGCGATCATCACGACCGTCGAAGCAAGCAACTCGGCTCGACCTTGTCGCGTCCGTACGATAATTACCGCGGTCTGACAGCTCTTACCCGTTCGTTTCTGGAATCACAGTCGAAGTCCAGCCGCTGTGATGCCTGTCAATTCGGTGCGCAACCGCAGTGGCATAAGCCTGTGCGTAGTATCGTCATTTTTGGCCCATTGTGCGAATGTTTGATCGGACAAACGCGCTCGCGTTTTCGGGCCGACGCTGACTCGTACGAGTGTAGTCAACTATTGATATCGCAGATCACCGATTTGAACAACCCGATAAGAACGGCGGAAAGAAAAGCAAACGACGAGAACAACAGGAATCCGTCGCGGACGCCCAGACCCGTTTGCAACTTCCTCCTCATTCTTGGTAGCGACCACAAAGCGATCTCAGCTCGCATACATCTGCTGCTGCCAATATGGAGGACGACGACGACGCTTTCTTGTACGGCGACGAGCCAGCCGCTCCTCCTGCTGCTCCCAAGCCAGACGACGGTGCGACAGCAGCACCAAATGCTCCCCTAGATTCCGCAACTGTCAAGCAAGCAGCACCAGACGCATCAGCTGCTGCCGACAATAACGACGACGATGAAGAGGAGGAAGACGACGACGAGGAAGAAGACGATAGCGACTCGGACATCGAGTTCATTATCGATGCAACCCAAGACGCTCAGCAGCCGACTGCGCGACCCGGCTTCCAACGACCTGGCGCACCGCCAGCACGACTGCTCCCGAATCAAAGCACACCTCAACGACCTCAATCCACCCTCACATCCGAATACACCCCGCTCTCTCGGTCGCAGCTACTTGCAAATGCCAGTCCGGCTTCGACGTCGATCGGACCTGGCGGAGCTCTTGACCCGGCCGCCGCTGCCGCCGCAGCAGCAGCAGGTGGTCTGCAGCCTCCCGGTGCCCCTCCCGCCAAGCCACAGACAGCGCTCGACGGTACAGGCCCAGAAGGCGGTCCCCCCGCCGTTCCTTCCACAGCGCCCAAACTCGACCTCTCCCCCGGTCCAGAAGACCGCACCTTCCCCAAACCAGAAGACGTCGTCGAAGAGGAGGAAGCCGCCTCACGGGACATCTTCGATATCGACCTCGAATCGCTCCCCGAGAAGCCCTGGAGACGCTACGGCGCCGATCTCACCGACTACTTCAACTATGGCTTCAACGAAGACTCCTGGTCTCTCTGGCGAAGCAAGAAGGACCGCATGACCGATGCCAGGAAGAACGCGGAGAACATGTTCGGCGGGAACAACGGAGATATGATGGGCAACATGCAGCAGATGATGTCCATGATGCCGCCTCCGCAGGCGATGCAAGCGATGATGGCGCAGAATGGAGGGATGCCGCCAATGCCTCCAGATCAGATGATGGCCATGATGGCCAGCATGGGTATGCCCCCGATGCCTGGAATGGGCAATATGCCGCCTATGGGTGGTCCGGGTGGAATGAACCAGATGATGATGCCTGGTATGTTTGGCGGCCCGCAGCAGTCCAACGGTGGTCCTGGTCCCTCCTCGCACGACCAGCACAACCAACACCAGCAACAACAGCAACGATTCAGCAACTCGCCCTTCCCGCAAGGCCCGAATCAAAATCGCCATGAAGGCCAGAACTCTCCTTTCCCGCCCGCGCAGGACCGAGAGGACAAACAAAACGACACATCCGATAAGCCCGACCCCGCCAGCGGCTGGGACGCCCCTCCCTCCATCAAAGAAGAAGACGCTCCACCCGGCGTACCACCGATGAAGCCGCTCTCCGAAGCAGACATGACGGCCTTCCTCGGCGCTTCCGGCATTGACCCCTCCGCCGCTGCCGCCGCTGGCTTCCCCAACCCTTCCGCGCCGCGCTCGAAACCCAACCCTCCCAAATCTGCCCCGCTCGGACCAGCAGCAGTAACAAAAGGCACATCTATCCGAGGTCGAGCAGCCGCCGTGGCAGCAACATCGTCTCGTCCCGGTCGAGCTGTCTCCCCCACCCTGCCACCCAACGTCCCCTCCGGCCCCAAGAACCCGGGCAAGCGATACAACGATCGGGACACGGGCACTGGGGCCGCTGACTCGCTTGACTACGGTGCCAATGCCGGCAACACCGGTGGTGGGGACGAGTATGCGCACGATTGGGATAGCCGTGATCGCAGTCCCGATCGGGGCCCTCGACGCACCGGTGGAAGGAGTCGACGTGAGGGCACGTACGATTCTGCCAACGGGAACGGAGGCGATGACCGACGTGGGACTTCGGGCCGATCGAAGAGGACAGAGGAGTGGGACGACGATGCTGCTTCGCAGTCCTCTGCTGGTGGACGGAGGAGGGGGAAGTCGACGACCAGCTCGCGGGATCACAGGCGCGAAAAGTCGTCCACGTCTCACCGCAGCGATCGGGAACGGGAAAGGGAGAGGGAGAAGGAGCGCGAGCGCGAGCGGGAGGCGAGGAGCCAAGCGAGAAGCGAGAGGAGGGCAGGAAGGGATGTCGAGGATGCGGCGATCCCGACAGGACCCGCAGCGGGCAAAGGAGGCAGCAGGAAGAGAGCTGCTCCGGACGAGAGGGAAGATGATGACGCAGGGAAGAGCGGGAGTCGAGGAAAGGGCGGATCGAGGAAGAAGCGTTGAGACCAAAACTCAGATGGAATTCATCACATTCGCTCGCGCTATGTTTGTGTGCGGGCATGACCATAGAGGTGTGAGTGGCAGTGTGAGGTGTGCTAATAGGAAGGTGAATCGCGCCTCGCACTGCGATCAGGAGGTGGGGACATAGAGCGATCCCTGGATCGGCTTGAATGAGAACGAGACGGTTCGGCCTGACCCCACTTTCGCATCGGAATCTTGTAGTCATCGTCTCGCCCGTCGCCATAATTGAATCGGTCGCCTCCGATCATCCTCTGCCGGTCAGGATGAACGCCTCGCGGTCTTACTCCATCTCTGCCTACGTAGTGAGGGTCCTCGCTTCGGCTCGCCCTGCGCCTGTCTTCATATGCGTCATTTCGTCCGTTCCTGCTCGATTGTGGACGTCGATCCCGACCCCAGCTCCTCTGCTCTTCCCTCTCCTCTTCGCGCGGAACTTCAGGCGGTTTGCACGTCTTGATGCTGAAGCTGGCCCCATCGATCTGGCCGCCGTTCATATACAGTGCCGCCTTGGCCGCTTCCTCGACGCTCCCCATCACCACATGCGCCCACCCGTCGCGGTCCCGCGCCATGCCGCGAGACGGTGTGAGGTGAACCCTCTCTACTCGACCGTACCATCCGAAGACGTGATGGAGGTGCGATTCGCGGACATTGTGCGTGAGAAAGTCGATGCGAAGCGCCGTTTTGGGGTTCTTGCGGCTGTCGGGCATCGGGCTGCGTGATGAAAAGCGCTGTTGAGGTGAGGCAGAGCGCGAGGACATTGAGGCGTCGGAAGGAGTGCGTCGTCTCCGCCGAACATCAGGTGACCGGTCGGATGCGCCCGAGTAGATGTGTGCGCTCCGACTCGATTCGGCTCTGCCATCCATCGTGATTGCTCACGCTGCAGCCGCCAATCGTTTATTGCCCGGCTTGAGTGTATTTCTTGAGGTGATGGTGGTGAAGAAGGAAGAAGCTCGGAATGAAAAAATGGTCGACGAACCGTGCAGACTTTTTTGGTCACGATCAAAATTAAGCTCTTCGACAGTGCAGAACTTCATCGCCGTAACCGTCATATGTTGTTCACACACATGCTCGTCACAAACAACGAGAGGTGCTGAAGATCTTGGTATCAAATTTTGACATTGTCACAGACTAGCTAGAGGAGATAGAGAGGCTTTTCACAAGCCGCTAGCTTAGAGGTTCTTGAGAACGTTCTCGGCGGCGGTGACAGTGACGCTGGGGGCCTCGTCCTCGACGTACGCCTTCTTGACGACGCCATCCTCGACGACGAATGCGTAGCGCTTGGAGCGGTGGTTGCCGAGCAGACCGCTGGCGTCGAAGTCCTGGCCGACAGCCTTGGTGAAGGCACCAGTGTCATCGGCAAGGAAGTGAACGTTGGAAGCCTTGTCGCCTCCAAGCTTCTCCTTCCATGCCTTGACGGTGAACTGGTCGTTGACGGCCACAATGTAGATGTCGGAGACACCCTTGGACTTGAACTCGTCGGCGTGCTGGATGTAGCCGGGCACCTGCGACGAGCAAGGACTGTCGAGCAAAACAAAGACAACGAGTAGACTGTCAGCAACACTGTTGCGGTCATTGAAACGACGAGCAGGAGTGAGGTGCGGACTTACGGAGTGAAGGCACCGGGAACACCAACGATGATGGCCTTGCCCGAAAGACCGTCGAGCGAAACGTCGGCGTTCTCAGGGTTGTTCTCCTTGAGCTTGATGCCAGTGTGGATCTTGGCACCCTCCTTGACATCGCCCGAAACGGCAGCCTTGATCTTGTCGGTGAAAGAAGACATGTTGGATGATGGATGTGTGAATTTGAATGGAAAGTGTAAGGTGTGTCGTGATGGATGAGTGCGGAGAATAAGCCGTCAGCAAGGTTGGGTATATATGGTCCGGGCGAAGGAGGTCAGATGTTCAGAGCCTACTTCGCCGAACAGCGTGCACAGACCGTGCGGCGAACGGGACAAGGAAGCCTTTCTCGCCTCGAGGGCGCAGCCTTGCATCATTTTGCTTTGGTGTGGAGTTCTTCGCCACCTCGCTTGGTCGCAGTTGTGCGGCAATAAGATCTGCTCTGGCGCCATTGGCCTGCAGGGTTCCGTCTGCCTTTGCGCAGCAGAATGACACCATTTGCTGCTGCATCTAGAAGCTGCATTCGCTGCATGCCTGTGCAGCTCAAGCTCTGCGTCGTGCCTTGGCTGGCCCTGCCTTCTCAATCACATTGCTTTCTTCCACGGATGTCCCGACTGCTTGACACACACATCAACGGCACCTTCGCTGCAGACGGCGGCCTACCACAGGGACGTGATGCTTCGGCCCTACCGACCGACGACGAACGAGAAAATGGGAAGCCGTCTGACTGGCAGAGAAGCGCTCTGGGTCGAGGCTCAGCATGGCCGGCGACCAAAATCCAGGAGTCCGCCCGCATGACCGTTGCCAAAAGTGGAGGCCGACGCGCTCAAAAAATGAGGCAGCTCACGCCGGCGCTATGATGCATCTCCAACGTCACACCGGCGGCACTCGCTCACATCACCGCATGAGTTGGAAGGCCCGTCACCGTTGGCTGGCGTTGGAACCTGAGCATTGTTCTTCGGATCTTCCCGATGATCTTCTTCGGCTGCCGCGATAAGTTGGTGGGTTTGGAAGAAAGCATGTCGGAAAGCAGACCCGACCTCAGCTGAGAAGAATTGGGTTGATGCATGACTGAGCTACACGCTCAGGCCATGTCGATCCTATCAAGAATAACTTGTGCCTTTGGGTGGGTCGACAGCCAAGTGAAAGCTTCCCCTATCCCTGAGCGATCAATCTTCCTTGCTCCCCGTCGCGAATCATCAGCAATCTCTGCATCGACAAGCACACGAAGACGGTCCGACATCCTCATCAGCACTGCCATGTCGGTGCCGCAAAAGCTCAGAGTGGGCGTGGTGGGAGCTGGCGAGGTGACGCAGGTGGTCCACCTCCCAACACTCAAGTTCCTTTCCGATCAGTACGCAGTTACAGCCATCTGCGACGTCTCGAAGCAAGCCGCTGACCACGTCGCGGCGAAATGGAGCATCCCTCACGTCTACACCTCGAGCGCCGAGATGGTCCGCCAAGATGACATTGATCTTGTGCTCGTTGCCAACAGCGACGAATACCATGCCTCGTGCGCCATCGAGGCGGCTCAAGCGGGCAAGCACGTCTTCATCGAGAAGCCCATGGCTCTCACTCGCACTGATGCGAAAGCGATCCAGCAAGCCGCCCAGGAAAATCAGCGCAAGATCTATGTGGGCTACATGAGACGTTACGCACCTGCCTTCCAGGTCTTCCAGAAGCTGCTGGCCGAGTCTGGACCGATTCGACATGCTATCGTCAAGGACATCATCGGACCCAACTCGTTCTTTGTCTCGCAATCCGGCACCGATCCTCGCAAGTTTGGCGCCGACATCGCAGAGGAAGCTGGCAAGGACAAAGCAGCACGAGCAAAAGCGATCTTGGCAGAGGCGATAGGCGCAGACAAGGCAGCTGATCCTCGACTCGGATTCGTCTACCGTCTACTGGGATCGCTAGGAAGCCACGACCTGAGCTTCATGCGCGAAGCTCTCGGAGGCAAGCCAGACAAGTGTGCCTCTGCCTTCGCCAGTCACGATGGCATGTTCATCTCGGCTTCTTTCGAGTACACCAACCGAGGCGCCAACAAGGGTAACGACAAGTACAACGTCCTCTACACCACTGGCATCCACAATGTCGGTGTCTTCGAGTCGTTCTTGGAAGTCTGGACGGATGATCGGGTTCTTCGGATCGACATCGACACGCCGTATGTCAAAGGATTGCCGATCAACGTCACTGTCAAGGAGAACGACGCGAGCGGTCACTACTCGGAACGCATTATCCGCCCTACATACCAGGACGCCTACACAACCGAGTTCCTGGACCTGCATCAAGCGCTGACTACAGGCAAGGATCTCAAGACGACCCCCGCGGATGCGATGGAAGACCTGGGCATCTTTGACATGATCATGGCTCACCTGAAAGCATAGATAAACGAAGCTCGAAGCTGTTTGCGGGGTTTGGAAGAAATTCCCAAATGATTTCGCTCTTCCCTTGACTGCCCTGCATATCGCTTCATGATTTCACGCTCGAGTTTGCGCGACGCCCACCTGCATGCCCCGCCCGCCTGCTTGTGCTTGCTCGTCTGCTTCGAAATCGGGACCCTCGCTGGTTTCAGACGCAGAAATCCCTTGTCCGCTAAGCAGACCGTCGACCTGCGAGACGGCAATCTCAACGGAAGCTCGAGGCTTGTACGCTCCATTCAACATCCCTAAGCGAAAGCGAGATGCGAGATGCGAGATGCGAGACTGCGATCTGTTTGCAGCGACGCACCAAGAAAGTAGGAGGAAAGCAATCCACTGCCGAGAGGGGGCGTAGGATAGCCGAGTCAGGCGATTACCGCGTGATTTTTTTAGAATCGACGCCTCCGCATCTTGGCAGTCGATCCCGGCTTGGGGAAGGCAGCAGCTGCACAACCATCCGCTGCAAAGCCAGCCGACGAGCCGCTCCTGTAGCCCGGCCCTGCCTTGCGCCTCATCGCTTGGTCTGACTTCACACGAGATCTCTAGACTCCAAGACCTTCCTCTGCTACCATCACAAACAAGATCTTGACTGCGCCATCCATCCATCCATCCATCCATCCATCCATCCATCCATCCAGGCCCGCTCGTTGCATCGCTAGAAGGTTTCGCAGGGCACATCCCATTCGATCAACGGCTCATAAGACTTGTTCGACCATCGGCAGGGTCCATCCGGTCCTCACATGTTCGCATCCACCATGCAATCGTAGAGCTGGACCCAGCCTAACCAGCTCTCGACGGCAACTCGACTCGCGCGGCTCAGGTCATCCCTCCACGACATCCATTCAGCGTCGAATTCTGCCCTGACAAGTTTCGGAAATCATGACTGCCGTACCTGCCGCCGACGGCCCGGCGATGCCCCTCGATGTGCCAAGCTTGTCAGAAGCGCACGAATGGCTGTCCGAGAAGGCACAACTCAGCGCTAAGAATGGTTCCCTCCCCAAGACTGCTCTTCTTAGGGGCAGTGTCTGGGCCAAGATCACCGCGGTGATGAGGTCTGCCTTCATCTTTTCCCTCAGCATGGGAGCCATCTACTTCGTCTACGTGCTCTTCCTGTCGCCTCAAGCCAGCCAAAGAAAACCCGTCTTGCAACTCGACACAGCACTGGCTGACACTTCCGCCCCTAGTGGCCTGGACAGCGATGACTACGAGGACGAAGACGACTCATCTCCTGCGTCCGGCTTCCTCGGCAACTCCAAGGAGAGGCTGGCGCTTCGCAACCTGCTTGGTCGCAGTGATCACAACAAACGCTCCAGCATCGTACGAATTACTTCTTCCGACCCCACCAGCAGCCTCTGCGAGCATCCCATGCAGGTCGACCTCGAGCCCAATGCGCGTCGCTCCTTCTGGCCAGCACCTGCCTCGAATGCATCTCCTTCCGACTCGAGCAACCCAAACAGCCCCGTCATCTCGTCGCCGAATCCTAACGCTGTCGGTCAACGCTCATCCTCGAGCTCCCCTTCTCCTTCCAAAGCAAGGCGGCGCAAAGAGAGCGGCAGGCTTCACAGTGCCAGTCCCAGTCGGTCCCCGCTCAGCTCCAGCGGTTCCCTCCCTAGTCGCCCACAGCGCATGCGTCCGGTCGATGCTCGATCGCCTCTGGGTCGCACCGCTTCCGGCAGAAACAAGAGGAACAGCACCCTCAGTCTCGTCAGCAACACGACAGACGACTCTTCCGGTCCTATTTCGCAGGATCCGGCCACAGAAGACATTCTGATGCAGGGCACACCTGGTGACGCTTTGTCGATCGGCAGCGAGGAGGATCTACGCCCAGGCACACCGAGCATGGCATCCGAAAACTCTTCCGTCTCAGCAGCACTAGGTCATAACCCTACATCGGCCGATTACATTGACGTCGAGTCCATGTCTTCAGCATCCCCTTCGCCAACGTCCAGCACCTTCTCAATTGGTCGCGCACCATCCATCCTCAAACGCCGCCCGCAGAGCTTCCGCACCGCATCGTTGCGGGAGATCGACATCTCGCACAGCCTGACGCAGCGCCAGAACTCATTACCCGTCATCGACGGCCTGAGTCCTGTCGCCAGTCCAGGTCTGACGCCGTTGCAACAACAAGAGCTGTTGCAGGCGAGTGGCATCTTTCTGCCTTTCGGGCCCGGATCCCCTGCACCCCCGCCGTACCAGCCTTCTTCCCCGGACATGGGCTTCGGCTCCACATTGCCCATGGTAGAGACGTCGTGGTCCCGATTCAAGAAGACGCGAAGCATCAAGCTCGTTGAACCTGACTGGATCCCGCATCTCGATTCTCACATCCGCGCTCGCGAGCGTCTCGAGACTGCGACGCGTTTCGCGGCGATGAAGGAACACAGCAGCGCACACAGTGTGGCAGATGACGATGCCAAATACGAGCAGGACAGCCTCGACGCCGACGACTTCTGGTTCGAGCGCTTCACGCAGAGCACAGCGGCGGCTGGCAGGGATTGGGACTGGAGGAAGAGGAGGGCGAGGTTGCAGCGGGCAGCTGCCCTTGGCATGGCGCTCGGTCAGGGTGGTTTCGCGCCTCCTGTCGGTGCCAATCAGCCTGGAAATGTTGGCTTGACGGACGTTCAGCTCCAGCAACAGCAGCAAGGCGGTGCACCCATGCCAGCTGCACAAGCTGCCTCCTCAGTTCGGAAGCAGATGCCTGCAGCGCCGTTGATAACGTTCACGGAGCAAGAGCTCAAGTCAGCGCCAATGCTGCAGGTCGACACCGAGAGCGGACGACGTGGGCTGCCGCGCGGCAGCAGCGAGGCCTTGCGAAGTCCGCCCCTGCAGCAAATTGGCACGCCCTTGAGCCCGACACCGACCGGGACAGGCACGCCGCTGGGCGGTTTCTTCGAAGCAGGCGGGCCTTCAGCGAACAGCATCAATGTCGTGCTGGCTGCGCGCGCTGCCCAGCGCCGACGTGCGAGTGCAGACGCGGGATCTTCGCAGCCCAATGCTGCCAAAAGAAACATGGTCAACAAGATCACCCGTCGTACGCTCTCTGCTTCCGCTAGCGGCGGTTTTGCCGCCTCTTCGGCGGACGGAAGCACTTACACGGCACTGGGCGCGGAAGATTTCGGCGACTCGTCCCCATCCCCTCTGTCGAATGGCTCCTCTCACTTCAGACACAGCAGCGAGCAGAGTCGTCCTTTCACTTACGAAGCCGGTCCCAGCTCGCCGTCTGGTATGTCGCCGAGCGGTAGCGTGCCTGGCAGGCTGACCAGCTTGGGCGGGGCGATGACGAGAAACGTCAGCCTGACAAATCTCCGGGCTGGTCTGCGAAAGGGCTCGGGATCTGGTGCGGCGGGCAACGACTTCTTGCCGGACTCGACAGGGATCGAGCTGGTGCCCGACTCGCCCGATCTGCGTTCGAACGCAGAACTCGGCGGCGCTCCGTACCAAGATGACGAGATGGAAGGCCCTCGAAGTAGCGCAGACATGTACAGCTCACGATCCTCGGAGCCACCGCCGTTGTCTCGCCCCTCAGCTGGGAAACGTTCCGACTCGTACCAACGCTCCACCGAGCCAATACAAGAAGAGCCACGAACGCGCAAGTCGCTACCACCGCTCTACCGCAACGGCTCGTCGTTCACGCGCCAAGCCTCTGCGCCCCTCCCTTCGATGCACCACGATGACGTGATGGAAGAACTCACGCACGACGTCGACCGAGACTCGCTCAAAGCCGACACGCGCGCCCAATCGTCCGACTCGCTGCGTCGCCGCATGCGCGCCCGCTCACAAACCGAAACCGCCAGCTTCACAGACGACTTCGCCCCGCGCACCATCACTGCGCGCAAGGACGGCCTGGCGTCGCTCTCCGCCGGTTCGTCGCCGCCCTCCGCCAAGACGAGGGCGAGAACCGGATCGCGCTCGTCCATCATGCGCAGCGCCTCCGGTGCCACTGCGGACCTCGGGCGCAATGCCCGGCGTCGGTCGTCGATCCGGAGCGGCGGATCAGACACGTCGTCCATCGGTAGCGTGGGCTCCCGGCAAAGGCGCGAGGGCAGTGCAGGAACGCCAGATCCGCAGCTGCAACCGGAACCGGCGCCAAGAGGCATGGCGCAGCGAGCAAGGAGTGCAAGTTTGAGCAGCAACGGTTCCGGAGGGAGTAGCAGGAAGGGGAGTTTTAGGGAGGCGGCGGGATTGGGGATGACGAGCAGCGGACCTGGGACGCCGGGCAGTGAAGCTGGGGAGAGAGGGAGTGGTGTGAACGGGGTGACCATCTGAGTGCTTTACTTCCAGTTTTGTATTATGCATCATCTACAGGATGGAGTGTACCTCATACATTGACAAAGAACGAACGAAGGTTTCCTGTCGAGGAAGAGCTGTGTTCAGAGAGAGTGTAGTCTGTGTGGTGAGCGAGTGTGTTCCACGAGAGGTTGTATGAGAGGATGCTGTTGGAAGGGAGTGTTCGGAAATCGGAGGCGAGCTTTGGTCGGGAAGAAGCGATTTTTTTGGAAAGCGTGCCCTTTCTTCTCGTCCTCGAATCGACCTTTTCACCCATCAGTGCACACCAACTCGTTCGCTCGCCCCCTCTTTCAACGAGCGCAATCACAGACACGGCGCGCTTCTTCTCCACAGCATCACTGTGGTCACATCACCATCCAACAGCTTTCTTTCGAGCGCCCTTCCACCATGCTGCGATCGCTCGTATCGGCAGCGAGGCCGGTCCTCGCCTCCTCTGCACGGGCGGACATTGGTGCCACTCGCATGCTCACTTCTACATCGACGGCAAGGGGCAAGTCTGGCTCGGGCCCTAGCACCTCATCTGCGTCGGCATCATCGTCATCAGCGTCCCCCTCATCAACATCGTCAGCCTCGACATCCTCAACCACCAGCTCTTCTGCAACACCACCTTCATCCTCATCGACCCCACCCACATCCGCGACAGCGTCATCGTCCTCCACCACTCCACCACCTCCGTCCACCAAGCCTCTGGTCCGGGAGTCCTCCACGCCCGCAGACGCACTAAACACCCTCCCTCTGCCCTACCTCTCGTTCGCCATCGGCGTGCCCACCCCTCCCTCCTCCGCCGCGCCCACCTGGTCGGAGCGTCGTGAAACGCTCACCTCTACCGACTACCGTATGGCCTCTCGAACCGCCATTGTCAAAGAAGCAACCCGGGGCTATTTTCACGACTTTCACGCGATCCGATCGCACGGGGGCAAAACGTGGCGTGCGCCCTCCACCCTTATTCGTGAAGACCGCAGTCTTTACTTCCCTCGCTTCGCCGGTACGCGTCTCGCCGATCGGGCGAGTGTCAACACCGTCGACATGCTCAGGGGGAAAGTGAGCATCGTGGCGTTGTTGGGGAGTAAGATCTCCGAAGAACACACAAAGAGCTTCTACGCCGATACGGTGGCAGAGTTTCAAGGGAGAAAAGGCTTTCAGTTGGTCCAGATCAATTTGCAGAACAACAAGTTGAAAAGCTATCTGGTTAGCCTCTTTCTTGCGTCGCTGCGCAGTCAGATCCCTCAAGAATGGCACCAGACGTATCTGTTGAGCAGTCAAAACATCGAATTGGAAAAAGATGCGCTAGGGTATCATAACAAGCACGTAGGGTATACGTATCTCGTCGATGAGCGGGGCAAGGTCAGGTGGGCCGGCGGAGCGTTTGCCGAAGAGGGCGAGAGGGACGCGTTGAAACGGTGCACGGGGGTGTTGCTGGAAAGAGTGGGGGAGAAGAGGAAGTAGTTTGGACAGCTTGCGCAATGTCAACCATTTGTCGATCGTGCGCTCATGGAGACTCAGGATGTGCTTCCTCGACGTCTCATTGTCTGTTTAGCCAGGGTCAAATAGTGAAGATGTAGCAGCATCGCATTGCATGTCACTGATCTTCGTGAGAGGAGCGCACACTCCTGATCCATGCCTTTATCGAATGTTCCTTCATGTCCGTCAAAGCGTGGGTCCGGGGGTATCTTGAAGGTCCAAATGTTGCACCAGCTAGTGCGTGATATCGTGGTATCGACCGCCTAGCAAACCACACACTCCTCCTTCTTCTGCTTTTGCGGCGCGAAGCCCATCTCGGCAAACGTGTTGTACGGCTTCTTGGAGTAATCAGTCGGAGCCGACTCTGCCGTTTTGGGTGCGGGAGGCACGGCAGCCCAGGCGTTGGTGTGAGAGTGGGTAGCAGGTGCCGACGCGGGTGCGTGACCGCTGTCGTTGAGCGTGTAGCCGGCACCATGGCGTCCGGCGTGGGTGGAGGGTTGGGTGCCCGAGGAGACGCGCGTGCCCGGTGGTGTCATATTCGAAGGAGCAGGGCGTGGGTGTGCTGGGGCGACGGGCATCGAAGGAACCGCCGAATCGCGTCGAGGCTTGCCTTCAAAGTTGTAGTTGGGTCGTTTGCGTCCTGCAGCCGTCTCGGCGACCATCTTCATGGTTTTCTTCCTCGACAGATCCAAGTTTCCGCCACCGCCGCTGCCGGATGCAACAGGGCGACCTGGATTCGCGTTGCTCGGCACAGCAGGAGTCTGCCCGCTTGGAATCCGCTGTCCGATCGAACTTTCGCCAAAGTAATGATCATGCTCGACGGCAGGACTGCGGCCTTCGCGATCCGAGAGCGCCTTGGCCATCGTCCTCTTGCGCACGAGCTTGTCGTCCATCACCGCCTCGTGTTGCTGTCGTGTAAATCCGTTCGCTTGGGGACCCTGCAGCGCCTGCAATCGTTCCACCGCATCCGCGTTGTCCTTCGCTGCTGCCTTCTGATACCACTTCCTTGCAAGCTCGACATTGCGTGGCGTGCCGACTCCGACTTCGTGATAGTAGCCCAGCGCAAACTCGGCCGATGCCAGCCCTTTACGAGCTGCCTTGTCCGCAAAAGTGTATGCCAGCTTCTCGTCTTTCTCGAAATACGACTCGGCGCCGCACAGGAACCACTTGGAGAGCGCCATGTCAGCCTCGATCTCGCCACCCTGCGACGCGAGGCTGTAGTACTGCACGCTGAGCAGCGGATCGAAAGCACATCCGAGCTGGGCGTACTCGAACAGCCAGCCGCACTTGTACTGCGCTTGTGCAAAGTTGAGGTAGGCGGCCCGCTGGATGTGTCGTCGCGCGTCGTCTTCCACAGAGGCGACCGAGGTACTGACAGGGCGAAGCAAGCGTTGCGGGACATCGACGTGCGAGAATTCGCCGGCGAGCAGCATGCCGTAGATGTAGGCGGGCTGCGGTGTGTCGAGGTCGGCCTTGTCCGCTGCCTCGCGCAGCATCGCGATGGCTCTCGGGTAGTTGACGGGCAGTTCGAGCTGTCCGAGCAAGTTGGCCATGCCCATGCGGTAGATGCAGCCCACATCGCCGCTATGCCCGCCTCGATCGTACGCGTCCCTAGCGCGAGCTAAATCGCCGAGCACCTCGTAATCGCGGCCGATGCGAAACCAACTCGGTGCCCAGCCCATGCGCGCCGAGAGCTCAAAGTCGTTGAACGCCTCCTTGAGATTCTTGGGCAGATACGTGGGGAATGCGCCCGATGCTTGCAGGTCGCCGCGCAGGTAGAGCGCTTCGGGCTCAGGACGGTTGGAGGCGGCATTGAGGATGATGATGGAGATGGCTTCGTCGGTCCATGCGACCGTGTTAGGCTCACTGATCCTGGTGCCATCCGAGAAGTTGCGCTCGACGTATTTGAGCATCTGCTTGGCCCATTGGACGCGGAGCTTCTCGTCGCGTGCTCTGTCCTTCTGTGCAGCTAGCGAGGCCACGTCTGGAAGCGGACAAGCTAGCGCAGGTTGGCCGACCGAGGAGGTGGAAGCTTGCGGAAGAGGCGCTGGGCCAGTGGCATAGGCATCAACGGCGCTCGCCCTTCGAGCGCCCGACGACTGTCCATAGGATCCAGAAGTGACCCGCAAGCCTTGCGAATTGTCACTGTAGCCGTACCCTGGATTGGGCATGGACGGAGGAGGCCGAGGAGCGGAAACCGGCGTGCTGGCGCGGTACTGCTGCGGAGGAGGTTGAGGATGAGATGCAAAGCCGCCGACGAACTGATGGCTGGATGATGAGGGCTGCGCATAGTGATGCTGCGGCGGGATAGGTGGTGGTGTTGGTGCAGGAGCAGGAGCGTGCACAAACTGTCCTGGTCTGAGATTGGGAGATATGACGGAGGGTGAGGATGAGTAGGAGGCTGGCTGCTGCCTCCTACGAAGCTGTTCCTGTTCGAGAGCGCCAGGTGGATGAGGCTGCAAAGGCGGTGGCCCTGCTGCGGCGTGATACGGTCTTGGAGGCGAGACTGTCGCTGCTACGGCTGCGGGCGGCTTCGGTTGTGAGGCCGTGACGCGCGTGCTGCCTGGCATGGGAGGATAGGAAGAGTCCATGCCGAAGCCCGAAGGCAGAGCAGGCAGATGCGGTGTCTGTCCCGCCATTGTTTTTGGATCGTCCCCCACCTTTCGGAGGTGTGTTCCGTGAGCGATGCGACAGCGAGTCGGATGGTTCCGGTAGGCGAGTCAGCTCCGTTCGGCGTGCGTGTGTGGACGAAGTCGGCGCCCTTCCGCGGTCGTCGTGGAGACGATTGATCGGCTAGCAAAGGTGTGCTTGGAAGGCGCCAGTGTGGGTGTTCGCGGTGTGGCTCTTCGCTTCAGCCGACGACGATTCGCGAGTCTCTATCGGCAAGGATCCGTGGTTCGCGAAGCGGCCGACAACGACGAAATGGTGGCTGATGGGATGGTAGCGAGCGGCGATCGAACCAAAAGTGGCGTGCGAATCACGAAACGGGGCGGTCGGCGTTGTTGTCGTCAGGAGACGAGGTCGATGTGAGGACTGTGATGTGGATGTTCCGATGGGCTCAAAGAGAGGGAACGGCAACAACATGCACGCAAGCACAGCCGAACCCTGCCCTGCTTCGTCGTCATATCGTCACACACAGCTCGCTTCGATTTCCCTTGTTCAAAATTGGCTATTTCAGGAAGGAGGATCTTCGAGGCACACGAGCACGCAGGTACGAGTTCCCTTTGCATCTGCAAAATTCAGCCAGGAAATCGAGGTCGAGAAATTCGCCGGAGACGCCGTCTCTCAACGTGGACACAGAATCTAAGTTCTGAGGTCTCGCCAAATTACAGGTTTGCGTCTGCTTGCCTGTCTGTCTGCCTGTCTGTCTGTCTGTCTGTCTGTCAAGCTGTCAAGGAGCTGTCGTACGCCTCGAACCGAGTGAACGCGAACGTCAAATGCTTAGCCGACTCGACGTCGATCTTGCTCATCAACTCGAGTCTCGCTCCAATGGTGCAACTCGACCGTGGAACGCCGCCCCCCTTCCACGCCCGCATTACGCCGAGCATCGCCCCCAAACTACGCCAAGAGTGACAGCAAGATCAGCGGCAACAGCGGAAAAGCCACGCCGATGAGGATGGACCCTGGAGCGATAGCTGATCCGCGACCCTGGATTTTTTGTTCAGCGCACGGAATGCCGGTCTGACTCACGTTGCCCCCAAAGCGCGTCTTTATCAGCGCGGGCGGGGCAAGGAGGCCGACCGTGCATATCAAGCGATCCTCGCTTTTCGGAAGAATCGTTGGAAGGGCGAAAGTGGCGCTGGCTCACCGACGACTGCTCTCCCAAGGCGTTCGAAGCTGAGCTGCTGTTCGTCCTTCGTCCATCGACTCTATGCCGCTTTCACATCCATAGTCACGCCCGCGCTCCAGGCAGAGCCAGAGCTAAACGACCCTACGAGAACGCCGCAGAGGCCGGAGACGGAAGCGCCGTTGGCAGTGTGCAGTGGCACCGACACCTTTGCTATCATAAAAAGGGCCGGCTTCATTTGGACAGGTGCCACCATCTCGTCATCAGCTCTCTCCGGCTCTCTCATTTCCTCTAGGGTAGCTACTCCTACCCTGATCGCCAGCACAGTCGCAGTCCAACGGACCATCCGACCTCGCTCCCACGCTGGTCCTGCGTCTCTCGGCTACGTCACATCACTCTAACACAGCGCATCGACGCATACATGTCACCCACCACCTCATCAAGGATGAAGCAACAGCCCGTCTCGGATGCTACCGTGGTGCCTCGCGTCGGCGTCGCCGTGTTTGTGATCAACGAAAAGGGTCACGTCCTCATCGGAAAGCGAACAGGCAGTCACGGCGCAGGCACGCTCGCCCTCCCCGGCGGTCACCTCGAACTACACGAGTCGTTCTTCGACTGTGCTGCTCGCGAGGTCTACGAGGAGACAGGCCTCATCCTCGAGCCACCGCAGGTCTCAGCACAGTCCGAGCTGCTCTCCCACTCACCGCGACAGAAGCACGCCCTTCTTCGAACCCAGTCCCCTTCTCAGCCCGTACTCGCCTCCACCGCATCAACACCATCCCCCTTCGACGAGGACCCGCCCCCACAGCGCTCCAGCATCCTTCCCACACCCTTGCAATTCCTCACCGCGCAAAACTCGGTGCGCATGAAGGATCACGGAGAAAAGGGTCATGGCAAACACTACGTCACCATCTTCATGAAGGCCAGTGTCAAGCACGATCCCGCCAGCCCGCAAGCGCAGCCACAGATCCTCGAGCCTACAAAGTGTCTCGGCTGGTGTTGGGCTCCCGTCCCCTATCTACTCAGCGCAGCACATCGACAGCATCAACTTCAGCTCTTGCAGCTCGCTGCCGCATCCGAAGGCAGATCCTTCCCCGTATCCATCGACAAGCTCCTTGAGGCCGAGAGCCTCGCTCAGGCACTCCAAGAGGCTGATGAGACCTCTCCAGTCACATCATACGGCTCGCCACCCATCCTCTCCGGTGCACTCGGCAGCAACACAAGACGCTCTTTCTCGTCCTCCCTATCTCGCTTTGACGGGTTCCAGAACGTGGACACGGCGGAAGAGGCCCTTGCCTGGGCCGAGGCCGACGACTTTGCGCGTGGTGCTCCCCTCTTTCAACCGCTCGTCAATGTCATCATCGATCACCCTGGCTTGCAGATCGCGTGATGCTGCCTTAGGAATGCTAGGCCATCGTCGTCCTCAAGCAGTCACTCTTTAGACAATTCAAGCGCCACTGCGCCGCAGCAATCACACGTTATCCATTCAGCCGGTTCCGCTTCGAGAGCCGCACTCGGCCACCGACGTCCGCACCGGATCGTCCTTGCGCCACCTAGAGCTATCGATGCGCGTTGCACAGCGCTAAGTCGATAGTCTCTCGCCGCGATATGAAAGCATGTGATCCCATCGAGCTCCTTCTTGCTTGGGCCCTTGTCGCTATGGGTACTTATTTCGAACTTTGCACGGAGCGATGATCCGAGAGTGTTTGAAGCGCGGCTACACGATCCCCTCAAATGGGTAGTCCAATGCAAGTTCTCAAGGCCGGCCTTGATGACTCTTGCCTCTCGAACCTCCTCCTTCATCCACGCAGGGATCCTTCGCTTGGACGCCGTCTGAGTTCCTGACAAGCGGTCAGTGTTCCCGCCTTGATCGCTTCCGTCTTGTGCAAGGTCCGAGTCAAAATGAAAGCAGCTGCAACGGACCACCGGCCGGGCGTCAGATTGTCACACCCACAGGTCCCACAGACGAGCCTTGTTGGCCACAGCGAAGCACCCATGTCGACCATGAACCGGCGAGTCAACACGTTCCGGCCTATCTCTGCCTGGATCATGCTGTCCTATTCCTGTGCGCCCCGACCTTCCAGCATGCATCGTGGCCACGACATATTTGCGTGCGTATGCGCCTTAGGCTGTACCGTTCCAACGGTTCTCCATCTTTCAACAAAAAGGTCGAGGAGCCGAAGCAGCTGTTCCGACCTGTTCAGCGTAGTGCCGTCTCCTCCTTTCCGGCCGGCACGCCACTCAAGGTATTCGTGCTCAGCTCCTTCACGTGCTTGCGAACGAAGCTTGCGAGACGCTAACGACACGATCAGATTCCCGTACACGGCTCAAATGCTCCCGAAGCAGGACCCTAGCATGGATGCGCAAATTGTGCAGAAAGCGTCCCGTAAGCGAGCCTGTCAGACCCCTCATCACGAATCTCGAACAATGTGCATGCAGGCTGCGGGGCTGGTCACGAATTCCAAGCAGGACAAGGAAATCCTATTGTTCGCCCGCATGAACGAAGACGTGCAGCCGCTGCCTCTCGGATTCCTGGTCTCGCTCGATGAAGTCTCTAGACTGTCACTTCAAGACAGTCATGGGATCCCAGTCGAGGCAGGATCAGACCACTCAGATAGCATCCGCGGGAGATCGAAAGCTATGGCGACCGAATCAGCCTAGATCGCAGCCGCAATCGCAAACCCAAGCAGCGACGGGACCTCCAGCTCTAACTTTTAGGGTTCTTTTGTCTTCATGCTGAGAGGTCCGCGAGTACATCTCGGGGAACTCCTATGGATGGCGCCAAGGGCCGTGCTCGTAAAAGTGGACGACAAGCGATGCCGAGGTCCGTACATACATTTCCGACATGAAAGGACCTCGTCGTCGGCTTGCGGCACAGGCAGAAGGTCAGACAAGGGGTCAATTCATATGAAGCAGAGGCCACAGCTTCGATCTGAGAGGAGGGCAATTGAAACGGAGCCTCGCACCGACTCAGCTGCGCCAATCATGGTTGCTCGTCATGCAATTCAGGACTCTACAGGCGAGGCTGCCCTGCTGATCACCGGCACTCGATGCCGTGCCAGCATTCTCCAGCCGCTCCTGACTCCTGGCCTTCATGTATTCTCGTCATCTTGCTTACAGCGAGATGGATTCCAGGAATCCTTTCGCCACTACGCCCCCATGCTAGTACACAGACCTCCTGCTAGTCTCATACCCTGTCCGTACTGCCGATAATCCTGAAGGAACCGCAGAATCGCAAACAATATGCTATCGCTATTGAGAGCAGACTTGCACCGACGTCGTCGTTCGAAAAGACTTTCACAGTCGAGTTGGAGGTGGGTTGACCCTTCAAAGGCCTTCAGTCGATCAAGCTCGAAGCGCCAGTCTCGGATTTTGCAACGAAAGGGCGAGCGATTGCCGGAGACGATGGAGTGTCACGTCATCTGTAGAGCCTCAAGACCACCAGCTTCGACGATGGGTGTTGACCTGCATCCTATCGACGCACATACCGTACTAGTTGCCCTCCATTCGTGCTCAGCGCACGGCACGCAGTCGCTCAAATGATCTCAAGAGCCGAGGAAGGGATCCAAGAAAGTGGTCTGCATCGCATCGGCGCGAATATCTGGAGGACAGCCGCGCTGGGTGCACACAGCCGGCCACGCTTGGTGGGTTGACCCTGGAGGCTTCTCTTCGCCTGCGTGACCATGCAGGCGCACGTCGAAACGGTTTGACTTGAGCGTCAGAACAATGACTGACCGCGCTTTGGTCTAATCAATGTATCTCGAAGCGAACTATTGTCAGACGCAGCGTGGCAGTTTGGGCCAGCCACTCACGGTCGTCACAACGAGGTGCTAATCGAACTAAAGGCGACGTATCTCTGGCAACAATGTCTATGCTCCTCATTGTCCATTGTCTCCCCTCCGCGAGGTGCATACACTGCACGGTGAAAGTGCGGTTCATTGCGATCGCCCACTTTGAGCACTAAGATCGAACAATAGAATCGACTGCACAGCCAGAGAACACGATGACGGATCGAGAGTTGATTAGGGTTTTGACAGCCGCGCTTGATTGTTTGCTATTCGGCGCTAAAATTCGTTCCTTTCCTGCCTTTCTGGGTTTCCTGGGTCCTTTTGCTCCGTCTTGCACATACCATCTCTGACTGCACTGCGCTAAGGGGGAGCCGGCAAACGCACTTTGGGCAAGCACCATCAGAGTCAACAGTCACTAGAAAGAACAGCATGCTTCATCATCAGCTGAAGCACGAGGTGCGAGCCCCGCGTTGCGTGGAATTGCGCCTTCGGAAGCGTCTGCCGAGAGAGCGAGGTTGATAAGGACGACCAGCGGCTTCACTTGTTGGCGGGCGTGGTGCCGGCTTCTGGGTCCAGATATGCTGGCGGTAGACGGAGTAAGAGCGCAGTACAGGCTTTCGCAATCGTACAGCGCTATCTGTGACCCAGTTCCAGGCGTCGGTGGGTGTATCAAACTAGTGTTATCCCACTAGCCAGACTGTCGGATCGCTTGCCCCTCGACGCCACAGCTTAACTGCGTCTTGCATTGCAGATGCCGCTAAAACTGTTCAGCCCACCTCGAGCACTCTGCAACTGAGCCCTGACCGCTCGTTCTCCTGCCTCACTTGATTCGCTTCGAGTCGGTTCGTGATGGAGAAATGGTGCAGTAAGACGGACACAGCTCAGACCTGCCCCGTGAGCACAGCGCAGACTTCATCAGTCTAGTGTCACACGGTCTGTCATGTTCCCATCCCATGCAGTCGAATCCAGAAATCGGCTGCGAGCGCGACATTTTAGCGGCAAAGCACCCATACAAGTGCGGCGCTCACAGTGCATGATCACACCTAGGCAACAAGCTCGTCTCCCTATCTGGAGCTTAGGAGCATACTGCCGAGCAGATGGTGACGGCTATGGGAGGTGCTGAACGATCATGCATCTGATCAGCTGCTTGAATCACAATTTTCCAGGTGCAGTCGTACGCTGCGTCTTGCCTTGGCTGCCCTCCTGCCCTCCTGCCCTCCTACCGGTCTGCTTTTCTGCTCTCCTGCCCCTTTGATGACAGTGGCGAAGCTTCCGCCTCGCTTCTCCTCCTCGGAAGCTCGTCCTTCGCACTAGCGCCGTTGTGTGACAATAGATTTGTGGCACAGCTATGGCCGTTCTATCGCTCCACGCTACCTAGCGTCTACTTCATCCGTCCGCACGCTCCAAGCCGCCTTCGACCTCGTTCTGAATCCCTCCACACCTTCTCTCCGCCCCTTCACCAATACTTAAGCCAGCCACCTTGCACAGACCGTTCTCTCTTCCTCCATTGTCCCAATCTCATCCATCGCTCCTACCCTCAACAGTCTCCACTTCCGTCAGCTCAGCTCTCATAGCCAATCGAATTCAAGATTGATCTTGTCACATCTTGCACTGCCTCCAATATTAGTCCACCCGTCGACTTCATAGCAAGCACTCTGTCGTCAACTTCTTGACCTCGTCACCACCTACTTCCGTCCAAGTCTTACGCCGCCAAGCGTCTTTCAATCAACATGGACATTTTGGGTAGGTAACATGGCTTGAGACCGACCGATACGCAGGGTGGGGCATCAGAGCTGACACCCGGCCCTCCGATCCCCTTTGTCGTCGCGCCCATCCAGAACTCGTCCACGAAGACCAGCGAAAGGAGTGTCGCCCTTTCGATTGCAAGCATCCCGGCTGTCCCAAAGCCTTTTCAAGGTGCGCTTTGTCCCTCTGTTCAGGCTCTGCCCCCCTTAGACGCTGGAGCTGATCGATCTCATCACTCACCTCTCTCTTTCGACCTCATGCAATCATCTGCCCTTTGACTTCGAATCGATTCTTCATCTTAGGCGATCCGATTTGGCAAGGTACGTGTCAGAAAAGCAGCGACAAAGGGATGCACCGACTATCTCGCGAAGGTCTTCCGTCTCGATGCAACAAAGGAGCAGCTGGGCGTTGAGGTCATTGTATCTCTGCACTTGGCAGATTGCGCCGCCCGCAGATCACTTGCGGAGCAACAAAAAGACGCCGTCGAAGTGGGTCCACGTGGGAAATTGCGCCGGCGTGCTCGCCATCTCGGTTTCGGCATTCGACGAGCATCCAGGTCCCTTTGTGCTCGCTGCGAAGCCGGCTATCCGACACGTCAGGGTCCACTAGCGCTGCACTCAAAGGAATTGCGCTGACCTTCTCGTCACTGAACCCTTTCATTCTCTGACGACCGCAGACATGCTCGCATTCATAGCCAAGAGCGACCTTTCACTTGCCACTTTCGCGATTGCGGCAAGACTTTCATCCAGCGATCAGCCCTGACCGTTCACATCCGCGTCCACACCGGGGAGCGACCTCATGTGTGCGAGTCTTGCAGTAAGGCTTTGTAAGTGGTTGCTGCTCTCGACCCTCGACGGCTCCTTTCCTTCTAAGACTGACCTGACGATCCTCGATCCGTACAGCTCCGATTCAAGCTCGCTCGCCCGTCACAGGCGGATCCACACTGGTCGACGTCCATACAAATGTCTGGTAGCTGGCTGCGGCAAATCTTTCTGCCGCAAGACCACGTTGACCAAGCACACGCGTCGCAACCATGCGGACGCCGAAGGCACCTACTCAGGCGTCGGAGGTCCCATGACCATCATGAGCAACTCGAGCTCCATGAACCGCTGTGTCTTGCCCCCTCAAACTCGCGCCACATTCCCGCAGGGACTCGAGCATCACTACCTGGCCAACCTCAAGGTGGAAGACGATAGCGCCGTTGCGCACTACGGCCTCCATTTGCAGCAGACGGCCGACTATCCCAGCACACCCTTCAGCGCGCCTGCTATGTCGACCTCGTCGTCCGGTATGAGCTTTGAGTGCCTCGACATCTCGCGCCGATCGAGCACCACATCTGGCTACATGTCGAGCAACTCGCACAGCTTCTACAGTCCGGCAAGCAACCACGGACGCTCATGCCCGACGCCTACACCCAACACGCTCACACCTGCTTCGGAGATGTCGCAGTTCCCTCGCACGCCTGACTTCCGTGATGCACGAGCCTTCGAGGTGCAAAGCGCTGCTCGTCCCCAGTTCAACAATCTGTCGATCGCCAACATGAGCTTCGGAGCATGTGCCACGGACGCGCAAACCTCGCCATCTGGGTTCAACAGCTCGATGATGGGCTCTTCGCAGTCGTTCGCAATGATGCCCAACTTTGCTTTGGAGAACCAGAGCACTAGCAACATCGATCCGAATCTGTGGGATGCCGGCACCTCTTCTGCAGTACCCAATTCGAGCGTCGGCTCTCACTTCTACGAGCAGCAGAGCTATCAGCAACCGAGGCCGACGATTCATCAGCACTTCCAGCAGCAACAGCACATGCAGGGCTCTCAAGAGTTTGTCCAGCCAGCAACAAGCCACGAACGCATGGGCTCCTACTTCTCAAGGCCCATCTCGCAGCAACACCTCGCTTCGTCCACATAGGTTTGCGTCCCGTTTCTCGATCATATACCCCGGTCAGCCAGCTCCGAGGCTCGTCCACATTCTTCTCTTGCTCTTGCCCACCTTTGGAAGGTCCTTTCTTTGCTCGCATAGTTTTCTTCGCATCGTCGTTTGGTCGCAGCACCGCGCGTACTTCGCTGCGGGCTGTCAGTCGCCTCTCTCGCATCTACATAGCTCGTCGTAATCGCATCTTGCATTTGTCCTCATGCTTGTTGGACAGCGGTGTGCAGCTTGATCGTGCTGCTATGTCTGCGATGTATTGAACGCATCTTTTGACTGCAGTATCAAGATCGACCAGATGGGGTGAGGACGAGGGGCGCGAATTTGTGAGGATTGTGAGAGCGTCCGCTCGAGCTGGCCCAAAAAAATCGGCATTCGGCAGCGAGTCAAGCGCAGGCAGGCATTTTTTGGTCTTTGAGAAGGGTTCTTCTCGACCACCAAACGACTCTATCTCAACCTCGACAAGCCCTGTTATCTGACAGGCCTGCTCATCGGCGAATCTTCCACAGCTTCCGTCAGGCCGTACGAGCGCATCTGTTTCCCTCGACAGAATTCATCATCCTCGACGACTCTTTCGTCCCGGTCAAAGCCTTTGATCCTGAAACCAATCATCCCTGACAGGCTCACCTATATTGATAGAGCGGTCCACATCGACAGACTCGATCGTCCTCCTCAGAAGTATCACGATGGCGCCCACGGCTTCAACATCCTCCTCTTCGGCGGCTTCGACGCTGCACGCCTCATCAAGTGGCGCCAAGGCCACGGGCGAATTCGACATCATCTCCGCCTACCACTCTCTCCTTTCCTCCGACTCCGAACTTCCCTTTCCCATCGCGGCTATCTTTGCTCTCTCCGAACTCGTCTCCAAGTCTCGGGCAGCAACGACGTCCGAGTTGATGGAAAACATTCGATCTGCCTCGTTCCGGCTCAAGTCCTCGCTCGAAAATCCGGTGCCTGCGACGGCCGGGTTGGACCTGTTCACCCGCTTCGTTGTGACCAAGAGCTGGGATTCGGGCGACGACTTTGAAGCGCACAAACGCAGCCTCTCTGCACTGGCGCACGAATTTGCTACGCACACGGTCCCCAGTTGTCGCGAAAAGATCTGCGAGCTGGTGCTACCGTTCATTCGGGATGATAGCGTGGTCTTGACGCACTCGTATTCGAGGGTGGTGATGCAGGCGCTCAAACATGCCGCGTTGGACCAACGCAAGAGGATCAGCGTCTACGTGACCGAAAGTAGACCCCACGGACTGGGGTTGAAGACCTACAACCAGCTGGTCAAGCTCGGCATCCCCTGCACGGTCATCCTCGATAGTGCGGTGGCGTACACCATGCCCAAAGTCGACCTGGTGCTGACGGGTGCCGAAGGAGTCGTCGAATCCGGCGGCTTCCTCAACGCGGTCGGCACCTACGGTATGGCTATCATCGCCAAAGCGTCCAACAAACCCTTCTTTGCCCTCGCAGAGAGCTTCAAGTTTCTCCGCATGTTCCCGTTGAACCAGTACGACCTGCCGACGAACAGCGGGCGCAGACTTCTCGCGTTCCCAGGACTAGATGGTGAAAAGGACGTTCAGGGAACGCCCAAGTTGGGCGAAAGGGAAGATTTGGGGACAATGACAAAGGCTCAGGAAGCATTGAACCCGGCGATCGATTATACCACGCCGGATTTGGTCACGTTTTTGTTTAGCGATGTGGGCGTGTTGACGCCGTCAGGGGTGGGAGATGCGTTGCTTGCTGTGTATGGTGGCGCGGATTGAAGGTCGGAATCAAGGTGGTCGAAACGGAGATGTGACGTGCTGTGTGAGTGCGAGTCGAGGATGTGTGAGGTGAGAAGCCGGCGCTGTGAAGATCACGCGGTCCATGTGACTGTCACTCGCTTTGAATGGTTCGAGCACACAACGAGCACAACCATTCGAATGAGACTCTTCGACAATCAATGCATTGCGTTCGCCCACCATCAACGACGCTTATCCCCAAAGTCTCTGCTGAACGAGCTCTTGGTCTTCTTACCTCCCCCTCCTCCACCATTCTTGCCCTTCCCCTTGCCCTTGACCCCAACCTTGACCGGCGCAACACCCAACTTGGTCGGCCTAGCCATCTTCTTCGCCCCCCTGATCGCCGCATTCACTCCACCACCTTTAATCGTCTTGGCGCCCTCACTCCCCTTGGCCTCCTTCTTCTCCCTCTCGATCTCATCGCGCATCATCCTGCTCCTCCGCTTCTTCCTGCTCAACCCGGCGTACCGGTCCCGGCCGGTCTTGTTGCTAGCACCGTCCATCGTCGCCTCGTAGTGCGCCTTGCTTGCGGTCGCCGCCTGCTCCTTGTCGGACGAGCTCTGGAACCACGTCCTCTTGGGGCGGGCAAAGATCTCGTCCGCATGCGCAGCCATGTTCTCGCCCTTCTTGAGCTCCATCTCTGCGATCCGCAGGGCTTGTTCCTCCTTCTCCTCGCGCAACACTGCGTCCACTTCCGGCTTGAGCGTTTCCAGCGTTTCCAGCATCTTGGTCGCAACGGTCGCCGGGATGATGCGATGCTTGACGGCTTCCGCGGGCGACTTTTTGATGGCCAGTTTGAGCATGCGACGATCTGCCTCGCCGACAAGGGTGACGGCTCGACCCTGACGTCCCGCTCGAGCGGTACGACCGACACGGTGGAGGTACGCCTCGAACTGACCCGGCATGTCGTAGTTGATCACCGTCTGGACACCTTTGATGTCCAAACCGCGCGAGGCGAGGTCGGTGGCAAGCAGGAAATCCGTTTTTCCATCGCGGAAGGCCGTTAGTGCATCGATACGCTGTTCTTGGGATAGATCACCGTGCAACTCCCCCGCCGAGAGGCCGAGGAGGGCAAAAACGATCTTGAGCTGATGCGCCAGCTTCTTGCTGCGAACGAAGATGATCGTCTGGGTGGTGAACGTGCGCGTGCACAGCGCAAGGAGCAACGCGGGTCGTTGAGCATCTTCGCTCTTCCTGCCTGCTGGCTGCTCTTCGCCCACACCAGAGAGTCCATCTGCACCAGCAACACCGCCCGAACCCACCCCGCGGACTCGCACAAATTCCTGAATCAGCTTCTTCGCCGTCGTCCGCTTAGGATCGACAAAGAGCCGCACAGGTCGTTTGAGAGACAAACGCACCAGCTGCTCCACATCATCCGTCATGGTCGCCGAGAACAACATGGTCTGCCTGGCCCCCTTAGGGCAGCTCTTGACGATCTCGTTCAGTTCGTCTGCAAATCCATCCTCCAACATCCGATCCGCCTCGTCCATGACGAGGATCTCGATATCGTCGAGCGTGAACGACGCACTGTTGCGTACGTGGTCGATCAACCGACCAGGCGTGGCGATGACCACTTCAGGTCGCAGCTTCAGCTCCGCCTCCTGCGACTTGACCGAGAGACCACCGACGCAGAGGCAGAAGCGAATGTCGGTGTATTTCGCCAGAGACTGGCCGACCGAATAGCACTGGATGGCGAGCTCGCGCGTAGGCGCCAGGACGAGGACGCGCGTCTTGGCTTCGGCGGTACGACCCTTGGCGCGCCAGGTGAGACGTTCGATGGTGGGAATCATGAAGGCCGCGGTCTTGCCCGAACCGGTGACGGCGCCCGCGACAATGTCTTTGCCTGCGAGGGCGATGGGAATGGTTCGCGATTGGATTGGGGTGGGTTTGTGGAATGAGAGCGAGGTGAGGGCGCGCAGGACGGGGCGCGAGAGGGAGAAGGTGCTGAACGAGGAGGAGTCGGCGCTGGCTTTCTTGGATGAAGTCGTGGCAGGTTCTTCGGCGAAGAAGGCGGCTTTCTTGGCTTTTTCCGCCTCGTCGTCGGAGTCCGAGTCATCAGCAGACGAGTTGGAGTCCGAATCGTCGTCGATGGGGGGCATGTCTTCGTCGTCGTCATCGGAGACGTCGGAGTCGACATCGCTGCTGAGCGGGTCCTCCTCGCTGTCGACCTCTGCTGCTTCCTCGGCGTCCTCGTCTTCGTCGACAATAGCGCCGTCGCCTCCGCCAAACCTGTCGAGCGCCTCGTCGTCGTCCTCATCGCTATCACCAAACTCGGCGAACTTGATATCATCATCCAGATCGTTCTCCGACACCTCGGACGCACTCTCCTCTTCGTCCTCCTCGTCATCCACCGGCAACGCCAATTCGGGCCTCGTCCTCCTCCTCTTCTCAATGATGTCATCCACGTTGATCTTCTTGTGCATCCTGTGTCCCTTCACATTCATATCCCATCCTCCATTGGTCTCTTCGCCACCTGCGTAGTCGGCGCCCGACCCATCGCCAAAGATGTCGAACTCGAAATTCGTATCCAGCGCCATGTCCTTCCTTGCCGTCGAAGCTGCAGTCTTGGTAGTGGCGGACTCGACGATCTTTTCCTTGCCCGCGAGATGCGCTTTCTCCTTGCGCTTGCGCTGGTTCTTTGTGAGCGGTTCGTCCGTGGTAGGTTCAGGTTCCGGTTCGGACTCGGAGGCGGAGCCTGCAGAGGCGGCGTCGGCATCGTCAAGGTCAGGCACCTCGTCGTCCGAGTCGAGCGTCATGATGAAGTCGTCATCGCGTTTTGTGGTCTTTTTGGATGAGGGCGTGGATTGCGGTGTGCCGTTCGCCTTGCGTTTGGATGCTGATTTGGATTGCGCCGGCATGGTGGCGGTATAAAGGCCAGCGGTGCTGCCACGGTATAGCAAGTCGACTTCGTCTTTCTGTCTGCGTCTCTTTGCAAGCGTTGCTACGACAGTCGAGATACAACCTTGACGACAAAAGAGACGATGGTTTGAGGCAAGGATGGGAAGAAAGTGTGGAGCGAAGCAGCAAATTTCGCCTGTGGCAGCAGAGACAAAAATTCGAGAGCTTTGAGAAGGAAAATTATTGGACCCTGTATCGGATCTCACACGAAAGCTACCCCGATCCGTCTTCTTTGGCTTCTCTGTTAGATTTTTTGGTACCCGGCCAATTTGCCGCGTTCGCCACGCCAGAGGTTCCGCTAGGCTGTCTAGCGTAAAGGGTTTTTCCGCCCTGTTTGCGGGGATGAGGGAGATTAGACTCTTGGGCTGGCGAAGCGTCACTTTGGCTCTCGCTGTGCTTGGCAATCAACTCAGCTCCCACGCGTTCAACGTCAAATTGGCGCTGGCTCACTGGGCGAAATGTACTCGCCCAGATTAATAACCGGCCAAGCAACCGGCCTCGTGACGCTGCGCTGGAGTCTCTTCGTCCCCCTTCGAAGCTGACCGACTGAGCGGAATCTGCTCTTCGTGCTTGCACATATAAGCTCGCTCATCGAAGCGCATTTCTCTCTTCTCTTCATCGAACAAGCTCTCTCCAAAAAGGACCACCAAGATCCTTCTGAGCTATCCTACCACCATGGCACCTACAGCAACTGCCGCCGTCGGCGCCGCCGTCGCCTCGATCCCCACGACGCTCAAGACCGCCGTCTCGGCCGTCTCGGCCACCGCCTCCTCTTCCACCCTCACCACCTCCGAGGTTTTCGAAAAGGAAGCCCAATATGGCGCACACAATTACCACCCTCTCCCTATCGTCTTCGAGCGTGCCTCCGGAGCGCATGTCTGGGATCCCGAGGGAAACCAGTACCTCGACTTCCTCTCTGCCTACTCTGCTGTCAACCAGGGGCACTGTCATCCCGCTATCGTCGGTGCACTTGTCGCTCAAGCGCAGAAGCTGACCCTCAGCTCGCGTGCGTTCTACAACTCGTCCTTTGCGCCCTTTGCCGAAAAGGTGACCAAGACGTTTGGGTACGACATGGTTCTCCCCATGAACACGGGCGCTGAGGCGGTCGAAACCGCGCTCAAGCTCGCCCGCAAGTGGGGATACATGAAGAAGGGGATCCCCGAAGGCAAGGCTCGACTGCTCTCCGTCGCTGGCAACTTTCACGGTCGAACCCTCGGAGTCATCTCCATGTCCACCGACCCCGAGTCTCGAACTGGCTTTGGGCCGTTCCTCGACCGCGTCGGCCCAGGGGTGGACGACATGCACATCCGCTACGACAACGCTGACGATCTCGAAGCTGTCCTCGACAAATACGGGCACGAAGTGGCCGCCTTCCTCATGGAACCCATCCAGGGCGAAGCAGGTATCGTCGTCCCCTCGGACGGATACCTCAAACGCGTCGAGCAGCTGTGCAAGAAGCACAACGTGCTCTTCATCTGCGATGAGATTCAAACCGGTTTGGGTCGGACCGGCAAGATGTTGTGTCACCAGCACGATGGGGTTCGACCGGACATTGTGACGCTTGGCAAGGCGCTCTCTGGCGGTGTTTACCCCGTGTCGGCGGTGCTCGCGGACAAAGAGGTGATGCTGTGCATCAAACCTGGTGAGCACGGCTCGACCTACGGAGGTAACCCCCTCGGTTGTGCTGTCGCCTCCGCCGCTATCGACGTGTTGATCGATGAAAAGCTCAGCGAGCGCGCCGAGACGCTCGGTGCCAAGTTTCGCCAGCAACTGGGCGAGATCAACCACCCCCTCCTCGCCTCCGTCCGCGGTCGCGGCCTGTTGAACGCCATCGTCATCGACGAGACCAAGAGCACCAAGGGCAGGAGCGCTTGGCAGCTGTGTTTGTTGCTCAAGAGCAAAGGCTTGTTGGCCAAGCCGACGCATGTTAACATCATTCGACTCGCCCCACCCTTGGTCATCGACGAGAAGGATCTCGAGCGGGGCGTCCAGATTATTCGGGAGGCGCTCGAGGAGCTGGATTCTGTGGAGAGCATTCCTGGTGATGACGAGCACTGATTGAGGGGAGGGGATGTGTACTTGTATTGCCCGCTAAAACATGTCGTTTGCTCAGGATCAAAGTGTGACGGAACTTGCACCGAATCAGTTCACAATCAGTGGGACAAAACACAGCGTGACAAAACTCGGTGTGACAGAAATGAGTGTGATGAACGCTATTGCGATGTGATTGTGTTGCGTTGTTGCACCAAGGGAGGCCGTCCATCAAGCCTGTAAAGAACCATGATTCTCAAAACCACCCTCTTCACAGCTCGACGTCGTGGCCCCCCGTCAAAGGGTAGAAAAATTCCATCACTCCCCTCCTTTTCCCCCATCCTCAATCCGGACCTTCGGCAGTGCAAACGCGCACGTCGAGCATGAAGCTCTAGCAACACTCGGTCGGCTCTCCTTCCCGGCCACCTCATCCGCTTTTTCCTCTCTGGTGGTTTTTCGACCTCGTACCGATGCAACGCAGCAGCACGGCCTCCACGCATCCCCGTCGGGGACGGAAAGCTGCACCGCGTCCACGCGCGTCGGGTCCGGTCGTAACACCGAGAGTCGAAAGCGGACGAGCTTGCGGGTGGGTCCGACCTTTTCCCTCCGTAGAGCTGTGTTTGGTGTCCATTCACCCCGCTAAAAGGGTCGGATTGAGACTGCGAGTGGAGAGTCGATCGCCTCGAGAAAAAGTCCCCACCTGCCTGCCTTCCAGATCCAAGGGCCAGAGACCAGCAAGAGAGCCACCAAAAAACCGCTCGGGCATCCGTCCTTCGTTGTGCTTGACGGCGACAAGAAGGACCGAACAAATGAAACCGTGGTGGGATGCTATTACCACATAGCAACCCCGTGTGTGGGTGGGTGCGTCGATCTGGTGCAAACCTGCCTCGCTCTTGACAGAGCAGAGGTGGTCCAGCCAGTGAAGGTTCGACGTTGGCAGAGAGCGTGTAAGATGTAAGAGGCTGTCAAGGACAAACGAGGGTTGGATCCCATATTAAATAGGATAGACCTCTCCTGAAAAGTAGGACTCTTACGACGCCTTGGAGCTTCACTGCACCGCTCCTCCCTAGCCATCGTGGAGAATCCTTGTCGTATGGCGAGCCGCGCCGAGCAATCCCGTACCCTTAAAGACAGCCGCAGAGCGCTCTGGGTCCTGTATGGACCGCCGTTTGCGGGAATGAGGGATCGCCAGATACGACTTGCCAAACAAGATCCTACCACAACGAGCCAGTCAGAAACGATGCAGCTCTCTCTGCAAGGGATGAACTTAGGGTTAGGATCGTCCTGTACCGCTTCAAAGCCTCTTTTACAAGGCTACCTCTCCGCCCTTTGCACTCCAAGCTTCGCCTTCCTCCCTCCACCGACAGATCCACACTTCACTCGAAAGAGAAAAATGTGCTAGTCAAGGTGGAGTGGAAGAAGCGAGGGAGTGCAAAACGGCTGGTGAGGCGGGCGCAAGATCGAAAGTGGGTTGGAATGCTGCGTGCGGATTTTGCGTGGTTCTCTCTCTCGCTGGTTGGTTTCGATGGATGTTGGAGGCGGGCACTGTCAGACAGTACTCGAGTAAAGCGGTGGGGGTTGAATCTGTCATCGGCGAAAGTCGACGGAGGAGTGCAAGTGCGTGTCTCGCTCGGGACCACCTGTCAGCGGAAAAGAGGGAGACGACGGTGAGCTACGATGGGGCAAAAGCAACAGCATCTGGTTCGGATTGGCCTTTTCGTCGTTGTCGGACAACGGTCATCGTTGGTGCTCACATTGGGGGTATATTGGTTGGGCCGCCACGCTCGTTCGGGGGGCCCATCACTTTTGGCTGCGCCTACATGATGATCCCACTCTGTCCGCCTTTCGACCGCACCGCTTCGGTCGGATCCCTCCTCAACTCCCACACATTCTCGCTGCTCTGCTTGCCCAACCTCGCTTCCGCCGTCTTCTCGGCCTTGCGTCGAATCCACGCCTCGTACCGCTCCTCCTGCGTCATACCCTTGAGCGTCAGGCAGTACTTGAAGTCGTCCAGCTTGCCGCGGCAGTCCTGCAGCCCGCCGTAGCGGTAGACAGCTTTCAACTGCGGGCCGAGCGCAAAGCATTGCGCCCATTTGTCGAACATCGATGTGCACGATGGCATCTCGTCGATGGGTGTGGAGGCTTTGTGATAGACGATGTCTTCCGCGACGAACGCGTCGTATGTTGATGCTGATGATGACATGATGTGTGAGGGATCCGGTTGGTGTGAGGACGAAGGAAGAGAGAAGTGAAAGGGCGCGCTGTTGGAAAGCGATCGGAAGCAGAATCGCTCGCGTTCGCGTCCAGATCGGGAAAAACGCCGCCAGTCGACCAGATCGGTTGCCAAATCGGGCTTTCTCGCTCGCACTTCCTCCCACCTCTCATATCGACTCGGCACAATGGTCGCACGCACACTCAGCTTCGTGAAAGATGTATGAATTACAAGCCGAATGCTCAAAGGCACTGGCAGCGCTCGGACGGACGGAACGTGAAAGGAAGGTTTTGAAAGATACAAATACATTCCACTGTCTCAAGGGATAGCAAGACAGCCTCCATGAGTCGAGAGGAAGGATGGGGAGTGGGAAAATTGCGTGCGGACTACGGCGAGAGACCTGGTCATTCGCTAGCTGATCGCCTCAGATGGACGCCTCCGTGGAGGGCGTCTCCGACGGCGTAGTCTGAAGCCCTTCAGGTCCGGTCTCGTTGGATAGGTTGCTGGGGCGATCGGCACGGCGACCACCTCGCGATCCACGAGGACGACCACGACCACGCCCGCGAGTCGGCGAAGCTGTGCTGCCACCGATACCAGGGATAGTAGCGTGATTAGACACAGGGCTCATGGCGGCATCCAGCAGGAGTTGCGCTTCCGAGAGCGAAGTCGAGTTGGTAGAGTCCTGACCACTTGTGGCAGCGCTGGGCGAGTTGGCGAACCCACCCAGCACAGCAGCGGCCGCCTCCATAGCCTCGTTGGAGTCGTTGCTGCCCATGCCGGGCGAGAAGCCGGTGTGATTGCTGGCAGCAAGAAGAGCAGCTGTGCCGTCTTGAGCCGACATCGGATACGAGGCGAAGCCAGATGGGTCCGCATAGTAAGGGTTGAACTGCGCCTGCAATGCTGCCTGTGCCAGCGTCATGGCGGCTTCGGCATCGCTGGCCGAGCGGTTGGCGCGGTTGGTCACACCCGCTGCGTTGCCCGTGTTGGCCTTTTTGGCCGTCGAGTTCTTGCGCGGACGACCGGGAGCAGCGCGCTTGGCGCCCTTGGCGACTTGAGCGGAGGTCTCGGGAGGAGTGGCGGACTCGGCAGATCCCGACCCAGAGCCAGAGCCAGATTCGCCTTCCGAGTCCTCATCGTCCTCGTCATCCTCATCCTCGCTGTCATCCTCGTCATCGTCATCGTCCTCATCATCGTCATCTTCGTCGTCATCGTCATCGTTGGCGGCCGAGGGATCGTCTCTGTTGCCCGACTTCTTGCCCTTTCCGCGACCCTTTCCACGGCTCTTGGGCTTGACGTAGCCAGGTTGGTGACAGCGAGAGTGGCGGTTGAGCGTGGTGCGTCGTGTGAACATCTTGCCGCACTTGGGGAAGTCGCAAACATAGGGACGACGACCCGTGTGCGTTCGTCGGTGGCGAGCGAGCGAACTGCTGTCCGAGAAACTCTTGTCGCAACCTTCGAACTCGCACTTGTGCGGACGCTCGCCCGAGTGGACGCGCGAGTGGACAGTGAGGGCAGATCGCTGAATGAAGCTCTTCCCACATCCAGGATAGTCGCATGGATACGGTCGCTCGCCAGTGTGAATGCGGCGGTGTCGAGCCAAGTCGGATCGTCGGCTGAACGACTTGCCACAAGTCTCGCACTCGTGCAGCTTGGGACCTCCTGCATCGCTGTCGGTCTTGCCTTTGCCACCCGTTGGTGAGGTGGGCGAAGTGGCCGAGGCAGCGGCAGCAGCAGCAGCTGGTGCGGCTACGGCTGACGTGGAGGGCTTGCCGAGAGTGTTGGGGGCAGGCACGGGTGTTGGAATCGGCGCCAGGGTGCCGGCCACCTGAGCTGCCAAGGAGACAAGAGGGTTCGCACCAAAGGCGCCAGCAGGCATGCTGGTGGCGCTGTAGTCTGGATATCCATACTGCGAGAACGCAGGTCCTGCGAAGCTGGCTGGGGCTTCCGAAGCGGCAAGAGCAGCCGAGACGACGCTATCGAGAGCAGATTGGCCGTTGCTGGCTGGCAAGGATGTGGCGAGAGCTTCCTCTTCCTGCTTGACGTTGCTCTTCTTGCGACCTCGCCCACGTCCCTTCTTGGGAGCGTGCTGCTGTGCCTCGGGTTCTTGCACATCGGGTTCGGCTTTGACCTGGATCTTGGTGTCTTCGTCTGCTGCTGTGCTGGCAGTGGCGGAGGGTTGGATGGTAGCCTGCGCGTAAGGCGAAGCGCCATCCAAAGATCCATCGAGTGCCCGATAGGGGCGTGCGAATCCGAGGCTGGGTGAGTTGGTGAAGCCACCGAGGCCAGAGGAGCTGGAGCGATAGGCAGCGGAATAGGGTGGGATTCCGTAGGTGGGCACGCCCTGTTGGTAGAACGCGCTGGGAGAAGGGAAGCGGTTCTCATTGGAGCGATCCGACTGCTTGCTGGCTTCGTTGGCCGCAGCGGCAGCATGCAGAAGCGCTACGACGCTGTCGGCATTGCTGGTGTCGCCGTAGTGGAGCGCGGGATCGCCTGCGGGGTGGGTTGGCGCGCCGAGGCTGGATTCGAGCTCGAGCGTGGCATAGTCACGCGCGGCTGAGGATGCAAAAGGAGAAGATCGCGCGTCGTTATACCATGGTGAGCCGTCGCGGCCGGTATAGGAGCCTGAATGCCTCCACGCGGACGAAGGTGGTGTGGCACGGTATCCGTCGCGCAATGGATCGCGTTTGGGACTGTTGACGTAGGCTTCGCCAATGCGCGGAGAGCTCGCGCTCATGGGTTCGCCAGCCGAGGTTCTGCGAGCGGCTGCGTCTGCTGCGGCGAAGGTGTGATGAAGGGGCGAGAGCATGTTGTCAGTATTGAGAAGGCTGTTGGTGAAGCTGATGATTTCGGGTGAAGCCGCCATGATTGCCCTTGTTGCGCGCGACGAGTCCAGACTGACTCGTCACTGTTGAGATGAGACTGGTCGAGAATGACGGTGAGCAGCGAAGCAGATGAGAAGGTGTGTCGATGAGATGGCGCTGGGAAACAGTCGTTCGGCGCGTTACGTGGAGAAGTCCTCGCTGCGACTGACAGAGTGGTCGATGCCGACGACGGATGAATGCGAGAGTGTGTCGAACGAAACGAAATGAGAATGCTCGATGCGAGCGAGGAAGCGGAAACGAAAGGGAGGAGGGTGCTATGAAGCGTTGAAGGTGGACTGGAAGGATGGGAAGGATGCCAACGCGGGTGGTCGGTGCGAGAAGCAGGGAGAAAGGAGCAAGCCAAAAAGGGCGGCGGCGGGCGGAGGGGTGGAATCCGCTTGGTTGCTAGCGGGTGGAGTAAACGGGCCAAAGTGACAAAACAAGAGGCGACTGACCGCGAAGACAAGGCTTGGGACTGAGCCAGGCTCATCGGCAGAGCCAAAGGGAGGAGGGCAGAGCGGGAACGTCGGAAGAAGGTCTGACAAGGGGCTTCTGCTGCTCTTTGTCGCGCGGCCCGAAAGCAACTGACGACGTGGACAGAGAATGACGGCAGTGCCTTTGGATGCAATCCCTGCAGCAGCTGGCAGGAAAGAGGGAGAGCCAAATTGCCCTTCACGCTGCTCAGCCAAGCCTGAGGTTGAAAGCAGAGGGGAGAAAGAGCTGTGCCCACGGAGGCTTGCCAAGGTGCAAGCGAGCCCGGCACACTGCAGCAAGGCACTACGCCAGAGGGAACTGGAAAAAGCGCAGCAAAATACACGGAAACTCGCCGCGCTGCCGCGTGCAGCGAGCAACCAGGCCTACGCAGCAGCAGCGAGGGCCGGCTTTGTTGGCCTCGGTCGAATGATGCTTCCTCAGATTTAACAAAGTGGTCCGAGACGCTGGTGAGATGGCGAAGGACAGCTATGGTTGGGCGGTGTCGAGTGGGTCGGAGCAAGGGCAACAGACGGCTCTCACTACGAGGCAGAGATCACGTCAGGACTCACCTTTGGTCTCTATTGCCTGCAAATGCTGACCGCGGAGGCCACTGGGCGAGTTGGCGTTGTGACCAGCGGCAGAGGTACTGGCCTCGTCGTGGTAGGAGTCGTTGTGGTAGGGGATATTCCTGCGACTCGATGAATCGCCGCGGGTGAGGAGGGGTCGATCGTCGTGGACTCCATTGTCGGCTGGATCATGTGATCCACGCGAAGAGGAGCCATTGGAGCCGATGCTGTCGCTGCTAGGTGAGGGAGAGCGCGAACCCGGGGTGGGTGAAGTGGGCCGTGAAGAGGAGGTAGGGTAGTTGCTTCCCTTCAAGGCGGCAGTGGCATCTCGGCTCAGCGAGCTTATCCTCGGGCTTCCAAGTTGTGCATAGCGGGCAGAAGCATCACGGTAGGGGGACATAGTGCCGGACACATGCTGGGCGAAGGGTGGTCGGGGCGAGCTCGAGGGAGAGCTGATGCTGTAGATGGCCGCTGCCCCTAGCTTGGGCGACGAGTAGGAGTGCGAGCTGGTCAATGGCGGTGGCCTGCTCATTTTGGCGGTGTTGTGCCGAATCGAAGCAAGTCAAGGGAGGCTCGATGCGTCCGCGAAAGGAAAAGATGATGAGGGAGGGGTATGCTCGGTCGGGGCGATGCTGCACTCTGCCAGGTCTGCTGGCTCCCGGAGTGATACAGCCAGGACTTGACGGCTGCTGAGAGGGGACTGATGATCCTCGGGCTCACAGGCTGAGCATCTTGCAGGACTTCAAGAACCAAGGTATGAAGCTCGAGATGTGAAGAGAGGAGTCGAGCACGAGACTGGAGGTACCGAGCTAATTGAATGCAGTCGACACGTCTGGCTGCAGTACAGGCTCCGTTCGCGGACGGAGGAGATTTGCAGGGCGGTCCTGGTGCCTGATGAACACAGCGAGTCGGGACCTGGTCGCTAGACAAATGAGAAGATGATGATGATACGAAGGCAAGTATGGTGGTGCTCGTCCAAGTCTCTCAGCTCGTGGGGGGTATGATCAGTAAGGGCAGCAGCACCGCTGAGCCATCACCGCATTGACTTACGGGAACCGTTTGACCGCGCTCAGGCCTGGTTTTTTTTCCTGTTCAGCAGTGGTCAAACAGTGCGAGCAAGCGCTTCAAAAAAAAGTTTAAGTCATGCACTCCAACCGGCTCATTTTCTGCCAAAATTGTCGAACCTTGAGAGAGCCCGAGCCACTTTGCACTGCGCTTTGGCCACCTTCTGCCAGTACGGATGCAGGGGTCCAGACGGAAATTCGAATAATTTTTGGCCCCCATTTTGCCAAAAATTTCCAGCCATTTTTTTTGTCTCACTCGAGGCGGACTTTGCAGGCTTGAGCTCCAGTGTGGGCCCCTTGGTAAATTCTTCCGGACAAGGCTGTCAGATTGAAAGATTGTTTTCTAGCAAGTGTGTTACATCGACAATTATTGCACCGAGTCACTCGAGCGCGGCGGCGGGCTGGTCATTTCTTCTCGAACAGACCGCAGCGAAAAAACAGAGAGGTAACTTATCCAACACCAACCCGCCAAGTCGGACCTGCTCGTCGTTGCAATCACCACGACCAAATCTCGCTACGGGCCCCGTCATCCTCAAAAGAAGCTCTGATAGCATTCACTTTATCAGAGTCGACCATTGTCACAAACGCTCGGAGCTTCATTGCGGTTTATGCTCGTTGCGTCCCGTTCGATTCTGCCATCCCTGTCCAAAACCTTCTCGGCAGCTCTACGAACCAGAGGCCCACTTCTTCGCGCTCTCCCTCCCAGGCCTTTCACCGCGCCCACACTTCTCTCGCTGCACACCATGTCGAACGTCGTACCTGGTGTCTCCCCGGACGCCCCGGCCCCATCGGCCGTCTCGAACCGTCCCGACGTCAAGCGCGATGCCCACCCCTTCTCTCGTAGCCAGCTCGAGGGTCTCATGACCAAGCGATTCTTCTACATCCAAGCATTCGAGATCTACGGCGGTGTCGGTGGCCTGTACGACTACGGTCCTACTGGTGCCGCCCTTCAGGCCAACATCATCAACCAATGGCGCAACCACTTTATCATCGAGGAGGAGATGCTCGAGCTCGACACCACCATCATGACATTGGCAGATGTGCTCAAGACCTCGGGCCACGTGGACAAGTTTGCCGACTGGATGTGCAAGGATCTCAAGAACGGCGAGATCTTCCGTGCCGACCACCTCGTCGAAGGCGTCATCGAGGCTCGTCTTGAAGGTGACAAGCAGGCTCGTGCCAAGGAAGCCGGCGAGAGCATCGCTGTGCCCGCCGAAGCAGCTGGTGGCGACGACAAGAAGAGCAAGAAGAAGAAGGTCAAGTCGTCGGCGGTCAAGCTCGATGACGCTCTTGTCGCAGAATACAACTCGACCCTCGCTCAGATCGACAACTTTGACGGCAAGCAGCTCGGCGAGCTCATCCGAAAGTACGACATCCGATCGCCCGAATCCGGCAATGAAGTCTCGGAGCCCATCGAGTTCAACCTGATGTTCGAGTCGTCCATCGGCCCTACCGGACAGGTCAAGGGCTACTTGCGACCCGAGACCGCTCAGGGCCACTTTGTCAACTTCCAGCGTCTCCTCGAGTTCAACAACGGCCGTGTCCCCTTTGCCAGTGCTCAGATCGGCAAGTCGTTCCGTAACGAGATCAGCCCGCGTGCCGGTCTGCTGCGAGTGCGAGAATTCACCATGGCTGAGATCGAGCACTTTGTCGACCCCGAGGACAAGAACCACGAGCGATTCGACGAGGTCAAGAACATCGAGGTGCCCCTGCTGGCCAAGGATGTGCAGGAGTCTGGCAAGACCGATATCACGGTCAAGACGATCGGCGAGGCGGTCTCTGCTGGTGTGATTGACAACCAGACGCTGGGCTACTTCATCGGACGCATCTACCTCTTCCTGGTCAAGATCGGCATCGATGCTACCCGACTGCGCTTCCGTCAGCACATGAGCAACGAGATGGCGCACTACGCCAGTGACTGCTGGGATGCCGAGATTCACACTTCGTACGGCTGGATCGAGTGTGTTGGCTGCGCCGACCGCAGCGCTTACGACTTGACGGTGCACAGCAAGCGAACCAAGAAGGACCTGGTGGTGCAGAAGGCACACAAGGAGCCCAAGGTGTATGATGCATTTGTACCCACCATCATCAAGAAGAACATCGGACCCAAGTTCAAGAAGGATGCCAAGATTGTCGAGGAGGCCATCCTGGAGATGGACCAGAAGAAGCTCGCCGAGCTCGAGTCGCAGCTCAAGAATGGATCTGCCCCGCTCAAAGTCTGCACCGGCCAGACCTTCGAGTTGACCACCGATGTGGTGACGGTCGAGATGAAGACGATCCGCGAGACGGTACGCGAATTCACTCCCAACGTCATCGAGCCCTCCTTCGGTATTGGCCGAATTTTCTACTCGCTGTTGGAGCACAGCTTCTGGACGCGAGCGGAAGACCAGGACCGTGGTGTGCTCAGCTTGCCGCCGCTGGTTGCGCCCATCAAGGCGCTCATTGTTCCCATCAGCTCGAACGAGAAGCTGGCGCCGCTGGTCAAGCAGGTGAGCCGCAAGCTGCGCTCGGCAGGTGTTGCTTCGAGAGTCGACGACTCGAACGCCAGTATCGGACGACGCTACGCACGAAACGACGAGCTGGGCACTCCTTTCGCCTGCACGCTCGACTTTGCCAGTTTGAGCAAGGGCACCATGACGCTGCGAGAACGAGACTCGACCGCCCAGCGTATTGGTCCTATTGACCAGGTGATTGACGTCATCCGCCAGCTTTGCGACGCCAGTCTGGACTGGGAGGGTGCTTGCAAGATCCTTCCCGAGTACTCCGGCCAGCAGGATGTCGAGGCTTAGATGGTGAAGGAGGCAATGTAGCTCATCATCTCGAAATACAGTCATTCCTTGGGTTGCATGTCACTACAATTCAAGTTTGACACAGTACGATCAGCTCACGTGAAACTTCCAAACCTCTCATAGCTTGGGATGCAATCATCCCCTCTCGCACTGAGCCGAGTCGACGCTTCGATAAGCTTCACAGCCTCTTTCGGCAGCGTTTGCGATGGACGGAGCGGGTGATCCGACAGCGATCCCACGGATAAGCCACGGCATCGGATCGACCCTTTTTGGGTCGATAGGAAGATTCGAGCAAGAATTGTATTGTGTTAAGTCCAGTTTAAGGCCGTGCTTAGCTCCGTTCTTTTAAATCCGTGTTTGCCAGTTTGACAGGTGAGCTGCCTGCAAACAATCTTCTTGACGCACAGACAATCTCCTCAAGCTAAGCGAGGAGGTGTTGATGTGATGCTGCAAACGCTCTCTTTCGTGATTGCGGTGTGACTGCCAACAAGGTTGACCGTGCTTCGACAGGCTAAGGCGTGACCGAACGAGCATTCGGATGGCATCCGCTCTGATGCAGAGCGTGTGAGAGTGTGATTGTGCCAAAGCGAGGTGAATCTTCCAGAAGCGCTCCTCCTCGAGCAGGCCAGCTCCTCCTCGTCCATAAATAGACCAAGCGGATCCACGACCGCTCTTGTTACGCCTCACAACACTTCACTCCTTCCCTCTTGACCCTCATGTCTTCCTTGCTGCGAAAGTTCTCCAACCTTTCCACCAAGTCTAAATCGTCTTCCACTTCCACTTCCTCCAACCTCGCACCCGCTGCTCCCATCAAAATGTCCAAGATCGCCGTTGTAGTCTGGTCAGCTTATGGCCACGTCGCCTCGATCAGCGAAAAGGTCGTCGAGGGTGCCAAGTCCACTGGCGCCACCGTCGACGTGTATCAGTTCCCCGAAACACTCAGCGAAGAGGTTCTCGGCAAGTTGCACGCCAACAAGGCCCCCATCGCATCCTTCCCCGTCATCACCCCGGACAAGCTCAAGGAGTACGATGGCTTCCTTCTCGGCTTCCCCACTCGTTACGGCCGTGCGCCCGCTCAGGTCTCGGCCTTCTTCGACCAAACCGGCGGTCTCTGGGCCACTGGTGCCCTGATCGGCAAGTTTGCCGGCACCTTCACCTCGACCGCCTCCCAGCACGGTGGTAACGAGACCACCCACCTCACCACCATCCCCTTCTTCGTTCACCAGGGTATCAACTATGTTCCTCACGGTTACAGGGTAGGTACCTCTTGCAAAGAAGCTCGCATAAGACAAGAGACGTTGCTGACAGCTTGACATGAACCACGACTTGCTTCCTCACACAGAACTTCGCCGAGCAGACCAACCTGGAACAGATCCACGGTGCTTCCGCCTACGGTGCTGGTACCATCGCTGCCGGCGACGGCAGCCGCCAGCCTATCGACCTCGACTTCACCATTGCCAAGTCGCAGGGCGAGCACTTTGCCAACGTGGTCAACACCTACGTCAAGGGCAAGTCGGCTTGAGCCCAGCTACCCGCTGCTCGATGTACTTGTATAAATCGCCGCAATTGAAGGAGCGCCGATCATCTTACAGATCGCCTGTTCCGACGATCAATACGAATCTTCTCATACCACTCAATCACGGCCTGATTTGGCTGTGCACACCACGCGAGGCTTTGGGCCCCTGAATAAGGATTTGTGTGTGATATTGCGCAATCAAGCAGCGCCAATACATGATGAAAGAGGGTATCAAGAGGGCAAATGGAAGTCTTCACGTATACGTCAAAAGCAGGCTCTGCTGCCAATCATGGCGTCCACACTTTGACGGTGAGATCCACACTGCTCGTCGCTACCACGTTGACCGTCCTAGCCTCTGCCGCCTTGCTGCCGTTCGTCGCGATTGCTGCATCTCCGTCCTGAGCTGGTGGGACACTCGCTTCGATCTTGGCCTTCCCCCATGCGACGCTGGTGCAAAAGTGCTGGTGCGCATCGATCGTCTTGGTGCATCTGCCCGTCTTGAGCTCCCAGATGCGCATCGTCTTGTCGTCGGATACGGAGAGCAGATATTTGCCGTTGGGGGAGAAGGCGAGGCCTCTGACCCAATTGTCGTGCCCAACCAGGGTCTTGAGGCATTGGCCTGCGCTGTCCCAAATGCGGATGGTCTTGTCTCTCGAGCCTGAGGCTACGAACTGTGCTGGTGCTGTGGCTGAAGCGTCCTTTGGTGCGGTCAATCCTGCGAGTTCTCGAATAGCGGTGTATGAAGCGATGGGGGCAAAGATGGCCACCTCCACCACATGCTCGTGCCCGCGCAGCTCGACCTTCGTCTCTCCCGTCGACAGCTCCCATATCCTCGCCGTTTGATCCGTCGAGCAGCTGACCAACCACCTCCCATCATCGCTCGGTATCGCTGACCGTACCCATTCTGCGTGTCCGTGCAGCGTCTTTGTGCAGAAGCCCGTGGAGAACTCCCAGATCTTGATCGTCTTATCCCTGCTCGCGGACACAATGAAGTCGTCCCCTGGCAGAAATTTGACCGATGAGACGCTGTGATCGTGCCCGTGCAGCGTCTTGATGTTCTTGTAGTCATTGTTCGCATCCCACACCTTGACCGAGAGGTCCGAGGAGCAGGAGACGACGTAGCTGCCTTTGCTATCGAAGTCTACGTCCTGCACTGCCTTTGTGTGCCCCTTGAGCGTCCGTTCGAAATCCCCTGTCTCCCAATCCCACAGCTTGACCGTCGTGTCTTCTGACGCTGTTGCTACTTGGCTGAACACTGGGTGGAAAGCGACCTTTGTCACGGGCAATCGGTGCCCTTGCATGGTGTGTCTCGCAGACGCCCTTGGCACCCAATCATTCAGCGACGCAGACCGCTTGGCTGACGGCGCAGCAGCAAGCTCTTCTTGCAACGAAGTCATCCGCGACTCCATCTCCATAATCTTCTTCTGCAGCCGGATGACCGAGGTCCACTTCTTCTCGAGCAAACCGGCGTATTTCGCCTTGGGGTCCGGCACGAATCCATCTTGGCCGGCTTCTCGCATCAGCGTCGCATAGGACTCGTTGAGCCCATTGGTCTTGAAGTAATCGAGGATGGATTTGTGCAGCTCATCCTTCTGCCTCTCGGAGAGGATGCTCGTGCTGGTGATGCTGCTCATGGTGGGTAGATTGCTGCGAGTGATGCGTGGGCGGACCGGATGTGCTTGATGAGTGAAGGCCAAGCAGCTGAGCCTTCCTTTTGGTGGTCTGCGGGGGCGAGAGTCGAGCGATCACCTCCCCGTTGCCTGCCGAAGCGCGCTCAATGAATGAGCAGCGCTATACTCTTGTCGATGATTCGGCGTGCCTATATCCGCGAGCTCATCATACGAAGACCGGACAGCGATGATGAGTGTACTTGGTCGGTTCGTCCCCTCGCTGCTCGTGGGCCGGGTTCCTGGTCGGAGGACTGCTGCCGATGAGGTCGTTGTTGCTGGTGATGCCGCGATAGCTACATGCAGCTGCAGCTGGTTGATCGGAAAGAGGGTCCTTTCACTATTGTGAGTGTGTGTGTTGAGGATGGCCGTGCAGGCGTGTCTGTCTCAGCTCCACTCGCTAGTCGAAATTCGGCCGGAACAGAGTGATGATCCAAGGTTTAACAGCGTAAACTGGGCGCGAAAAATGGCTTCCGGTCTGAAGTGTGACTTGAGCCGGTGGGTTGTGACTGAGCGAGGCTGCTGTGAAGCGTGAAATTTGAGTCGCTCATCCATCCAATTAATCAATCCAGCGGTTCAACTGCTCAGCTCGCACACAACTCGCTTGCATCAACCCCGCAATCTCACTTTCATCTCTCATCGTCACCATCTGCTTGTACTTTTCAACCATCTCATTTTCGCACTGCTTCCACCAATTATCGTCTCAGCTCTTCTTGACGATCTCGCTCAAGCCAAAGCGTGCCAGGACAGGCCACAACCCGCAGCGTAGCCTCTGTCGTACCACCCTCCAGCGGCACCGGATCATAGACGCTGCGCAACCTCGGATCACATCTACCGTCAACACTGATCAGCGGATCGTAGCACACTCAGCCCACAGTATCGATGCCTTCACCACCGAAGCCCTGGGAACGTGCGGGTGCAGGTGCCGGCGCCGACCTCTCGTCCAGCAGCATGACCTCTACAGCACCAGCCACCGCGTCCTCGTCGGCTCTCACAACCACCTCGGCCGCTCCAGCCTTGCCCGAACGTCCATCGACGCTCGGCACTGCTACTGCAGGCACTGGTGCGTATGGCGCTTCGGCGTACAACTCGCCATATCGCAGCACTGTTGGCGGGCTCGGATCCACCTACGGCGGCATGGGCTCCACCTACGGCACATCATACGGCTCGCCCTACTCTAGATTGGGAGGCATGGGATCAATGGGTGGAATGGGCTATGGCGGCTACGGTGGATACGGAGGCTATGGCGGAGGCTATGGAGGCTACGGCGGTGGGTACGGCGGCTACGGGATGGGCATGGGCATGGGTATGGGAATGGGCGGGATGCCTGGCATGCCTGGCCAACCTGGCGACGTCTCGCTCACACAACGCATGGAAGCGGGCACGCAAGCCACCTTCGAACTCATCAGCAGCATCGTCGGTGCCTTCGGCGGCTTCGCCCAAATGCTCGAATCCACCTTCATGGCCACCCACAGCAGCTTCTTCGCCATGGTCGGTGTCGCGGACCAATTCGCCCATCTCCGCACCTACCTAGGACAGGTGCTGAGCATCTTTGCGCTCGCACGGTACCTTAAGAACCTCGGTTTGCGGCTGGCGGGACGGGCTCCTGCGGTCGAGCTCGACGCGCGCGAGTTCAAAGAGTTTGCAGCCCACGGTGCCAATGGTCAACCGGGCAAGGCGGCTCGACCGAGCAAACGCCCGTTAATTGTGTTCTTCATGGCCGTCATTGGGCTGCCTTACCTCATGGGCAAGCTCGTCCGGTTCATTACGGCCAAGCAGGAAGCCGAGCGACAGAGGCTCGAGCAACAAGGTCAGAATCCGGGTCAAGCAGGCATGCTTCCCGGTCAACACGGCGGTGGAATGATTGCGGGCAACGAGAATGGGGAGGCTATCGATCCAAGCAAGCTCACGTTCGTCCGCGCTCTCTACGCATATCCAGCAGCAGACCCCCTCGAACTCAGCTTGCAGCCTAACGATATCGTGGCGGTGCTCAGCAAGCATGATCCGCAGACAGGTGCCGAGAGCGCATGGTGGCGAGGTCGAACAAGAGACGGACGACAAGGCTGGTTCCCCGCAAGTTATACTATGAGTCTGGAGGAAGCTAAGGAGCGGGCAGCGAAGGCAGGGGCTCCTACGGCGGCGAGCAAGGCGGTCGAGTCGACAGAGAAGGCTGCGCCGATTAAGACAGCGCCAACTGCCAAGGCGACATGAAAGAAGGTGTGGAGCTCTTATTGTACTTGTATCTCGTAGCGTTTCAATGCGATACCATAAGCTGCTCACAGCGTCTGGGGGATTCTTGTTCTTGGGCTTGTCATATGCTTGCATAGCCAGCGGACCAAGTCGCTGCGAATCTCATCGTACTCGATGCGTGCTCGGCCACCGTACACAAGGAAGAGTCTGGCAACCGGAGCTACCACCACCTTCGAGCCTTCAATGAGGATTCTTTTGCCGCCAACGAGCACGGATGCGATCCCGTTCTTGTCACTGTCGGTGATGTTGGTGGTATTACACTGGGCGGTCCACAGCCTTCTCGATCTGCAGGTTGGTCACGAGGAGGATGACCGCCTCCTTTGCATCCTCCAGTGTCGCATGTTGCCCACGTACCTTGAGGTCGTAAATGATGATGCAGGTGTCGTCGACCTTGTAGATCTCGACGCCGTCTGCTTGCGCGAAGACGCTGGAGGCACTCGATGTAGCGTCCACATTGTTGAGAAGGTGAGGCGTTTTCTGAAGCTGATCACCAAAGCACAGGCCGACGAGGAGGTTGTGTACCAGCGCACTCGTTTCGAGATTGCTGCAAGTGATCCCGTCAAGCGGGAGGACACTACCTACATTCCTCTTGAACTGAAATTTTCCATAATATCAATGAAGGCTGAAACTGTCCATGGTGAGTGTGTATGGTGAGACTTTAGGAGTACGACCCAAGACGATGTCAAGAATCGCGCAGTGGCTTGCTGTTGGGTGACAAGGCTCTGCAGGCTCCTGCAGCAAGTCACAACAATTTTGGCTTGGCGGGGCTGAGTGTGTGATTTTAGAAATGCCGAGCCTGACGCTCGAACCACAGCTCCGCAGCCTCCACCAAATAAACCTTCGAGACACCCATCCCTTGATCATCTCAACCCACCTCCCAGTCTGCAAGCGAGCTGCACCCAAAGCAGCGTCCCAGACCGGCCGCAGCACCTTCAATCATCCCTGGTCATGGCTCGCTAAGACTGCGAGCAAGGCTCAACACGGCGAACGCGATCCAACTTGCGCAACACTATACCCTGGATCTCACCCGCCCAGCCCATCATAGCTCGGCATGACATATCACCAAGATGCCACCGACACCACGAAGGTCCGATCGCGCACCAGCGGCTGGTCCCGCCAATCGGTCCCGCATGTACAATCTCGCAGGTCATGCTCACTCGTCTGGATCGTTGCTGCCTAGATCCACCGATGTCCATGCTGCCTCCACCTCGACCGCCAGCCCATCAGCTGCTGGAATGAGCGGAGGCGTCGACGCCGCAGATGCACCCTATCTCACCAATCTTGAAGCTCACTTCGGTCGGGTCACCCTCACCGCACCCGACAACCTGCTGCGGAAGCAGGCAAAGGAGAGGAAGCAAAAGATACGCCAGCGCAAGGCGCAGAATGCGCAGGCAGCAGCGGCTGCTTTGGCAGGCGCGACGCAGACTACATTGACATCGAGCGCTGGTCGCAACGCCATGGCGTCATCCTCGAATCTTCTCGACTCCACTCGCCGTTATCAGACCACCCTCGGTGAGCAGCCGGTTAGCACAGGCTTACTTCTCCCACCTCCAGATCAGCACATGGGCATGCGAAGGGCATACAGTGGAGGTCATACGCCAACCTTGGCATCAACAGTGAACGCTCATCCAGCCCCATCTTCGACCACGCAAACGGTAGTCGCAAGGACACGAAGGAGGCGGCCTTCTTCCGCCGCGAGAGATGACGCCAGCAGACCGGCTTCCAGAGCTAGCGGGATCAGCCGTCCCGACAGCGACGAGGCTGAGCTTGATCAGCCCCTCGCATCGACGTCTGCCGCAGCACAACGGCTGACGGACGACTCCACTTCTCGCTCACGCACTGAGAGTGCACCTGCTACCCAACGGCGCTCTCATAACGCTTTCGACACAAGCAGGAGTGCTGCGGAACCCGAGAACACAGCGCCAATGGCTGTCGTTCCGTCAGAACCAACCGCACCAACATCAATGCACCGCCAAAACGTCTGGAACGACATCACAGAAGCGGATCCAGACGATCTGCCACCGCCTTTCCCAGTTGGCGCTCCACGACCTCCGACGCCTCCACTTCCACCCACTCATTCCGAAGCAGCAAACGATGCACAGTTGATTGGCCCACAACCTCATGCCCGTATACCCGACAGTCCACCACCAGCTTTCGTCAGCGATGACGAAGATGAAGTTGTGTCCTTGATCAGCGAACAGTCTTCTCGAGCGCAGTCACCAGCACCACCACCCACCGACCAGCCACAGCCAGAGTCGGTCGCAGAACAGGGTCCAAACGGTAGTCGTCGTATCAGTCGCGCGTCGAGCTCGAGTTCAGCATCCGCTAGCGACGATGAGAGCATCGAGCTCACTCAGGAGCGTCGGGCTTGGGAGGCAGACATTCAGAACGGGCTGAGCTTCGAGGTCAGGCTCCTGCGTGAGCAGCAGCGGCGTGTAGCCCGGGAACGAGCTGTGGCTCTTCGCGCTGCTGAACGGGACCAAGAAGTTGCTGCCCAAGCAGCAGCAACAGAGATCGAGGAGGAATCTACGGCTGCAGAGCCTGCACCGAGAGGTGTCCAAGCTCCGACGCAGTCCTCAACAGCTCCAGTGGAGGCAGAAAGCGCGCCAACAGTCGAGACGCTGCCCGTCTCCTCGGCAGAAGCGCTACAATCCGACAGAACAACCACAGATGCAGTTTTGCCCTCGATCACCGATCGCGCCCATGCCCTCGACCCGGCACCGACCGTTCCCATCATCGAAGCGAGCCAGATCCGAGAGGCAGAAGTCACCCCGCAGGTCGAAGTCGCCACTTCCCAACCGACCGTGTCGGCATCCACCGATCAGGCCGTTGCTTCGGTGCAACCATCAGAGGCAGGCAATTTTGGCTCCATCGCCGTTGTACCGACGCTCGCATCCACACCACAGACAGCATCTGCGACCGCGATCAATCGCGCAACTGACACGGCTGGTAGACTCATGCTCGCCAACGAGACCCGTCTCGGCCTTCCAGCTGTATCAGCATCTTCGAGACCAAGCTCAGGTTTCAAAGCCGGCACGAGCACCGCAACCTCGATCTCGCAGCCGTCCACATCGATCCCACTTCAAGTCTCCGCTCACAAACCGCCAGACCCACTCAAAGCTCCCCAGAGTAGTAGCGCGCGAGCGTCTGTGAGCGCACGGCCTGTTCGCCCTCCGAGCCAGGCTTTCGCTCGTCAGCCAAGCCGTCCACATTTCCCTCCCAATCGACGTCCAGAGGATACACTGTACGTAATTTCTGCGCCTCCTGCCGCTGCACCCGGCAGCCCATCGAACGATGACGAAGCAGCGTCCAGGGAGCCCAACGGTGCGCTTGCTGACGCTGCTTCGAACGGACAAGCGGTCTCGGATGATGATGACGAGGGCGCCGAGTCCGATTCTTCGATCGAGCAATGGCTGGCAGAATCTGCTGCCTTCGATGCCTTGCGCAAGAGGGAGGAGGAAGCAGCGGCGAGACTACAAGCCTTGCAAGAGCCGCCATTCTCTGACAGCGATGCGGAAGATGACGCCATCATGCCAGGCGCATTCGATCCCCGACCTTCCCCACGCGTCAGGCAAGCGAGTGGCGCCCGCAAGGTGCCGGACCCTGCCAGGCTTGTCTTGATGGATCGCGAGCTTCCAAAGGCGCCTCCTCCGCTTGTGTTGGGCCGTTCGCGTGGAGGTGCCGCCTACTCTGATTCGTCCTCAGAGTCGACAGACACTGATGATGCCCTCGACCAATATTCGTCCAGCGACGAGGATGATGAGCAGCATCGCGCCTTCCACGACGCTCGCGCACTTCAAGCTGCAGCGAACGATCCATTCGTCAATGCGCACAAATCGGTCCATGCTCGCAATACCTCATCAGCGCCCAACCTGGCTATTCTTGACACAGCGGAGGAAGACCTCGCCAAGGTTCGACCTGCGGAAGGCACAGTTGCGCCTCAGCTGGAGGTGCGGCAACAACTGGTACGCAAGGCCAATATCGATCTGGTCAGCGCGAGTACGGGCAAATTGCATGAGGCCCCCACTCAGGGCCCGACTCGAAGATTAAGTCAGAAAGCGAAAGGCAAGCTACCTGCTCGTGTTGCCGAGCCAGACAGTGCTACTCAGCCAGCCCAACGTGCAGGTGACTTTGAAGAAGATACATCTAGCAGTCGCGACCTCGACTCGTCGGACGTCGAGGAGACGGCCGCCCCTACTAAGCATGTCTCAGCTTCAATTCAATCCTCAACTCAGCTTGGCAGAAGCAACAGCTCGGGTCATCGAGATAGCTCTTCCTCTCACGTCCGACCGGGGTCGTCTCTGCCTCGTCCAGTGGAGCAAGCGCAGGCCGGTGCCAGGCGTTCCTCGCTTGATCCGCTTCTCCAACCCTTGGGCCCCTCTTCGCTCAACCCGCTTTTCCAGCCTTTGGCGTATGGCGATTCCGGACGGACCGAACTCAGGGACCGCATCAAGGGGCTATTTGGTCAGCCGCTCGTTGACGGCCCTGCGAGTCAGCCTTCTGCTAGGCTGTCAGCGAACGTTTCTGTTCCATCGACGCCTGCGACGCAGACTTCATCCACTCCAACGCAGCCCACACAATTCATGAGCGATGCTCGCCGCGTGTCCAATAACAGCCGGCAGCTGGCGAAGCCACCAACTGCGATGGAGACACGCCGCAACACCGCCTCTGTGGACACGACGCACGAAGAGTTGCCTTCGCTCACCGCTGCAACGAAGCGAGACGATTCAACGTCAATCGCTCCTTCGCGAGGACCGAGTCAAAGCGCTCAGCCGGATGTGAGGAGTAGGCCAATCGGGGGCAAAGGCGCCACCTCTGAAGCTAACCATAGCAGATCTGCCGCGTCCGCTCTGCCCGAGCAGCGAGCTCGTGATGAGGCACTTCTTCAGATCGCGCAGCTGGCGGCTTCGACTCAGTCCAAGCAAGATTCTCTCGCTGCGCTTGAGCGGCTTCTCGCGAGAACAGCTCGACCAGTCTCCATGATGCCGCCTAGCACTGTGACGCGTGCCGAGCTCGGTGGGCATTTGCAGCCGAAGTCAGGGGTTGCCGCCGCACAGGAAGGCAACGACGCAGTCTCTGCTGCGAACGAAACATCATCCGCTCGAGCTGCGGCTCTCGCGAGCAATCGCCTCTCCCGCCAGGGTGCTATCGTGCGTAATCGTGGTCCGCTACCGGATCCACCATCTGCTCTGGCTAGAGCCACGTCCAGCGCAAGCCGTCCCGTCTCGTTCGTCAATCCACGATCATCCGCTGCGCCAATGCCGCGAGGACGTCTGCCACCGATCACGGATGCGACCCGTCATTTCCCGCCTTCCGCATCAAACACAGGTCCCGGTGTTGCGCCATCGTGGCTCTCGTACATTCCATCCGAGGAACGAGAGAGGCTCCCGGCACCATTGGAACCTCAAAGGGTCAATTCTCTGGCCGCTTCCAGAGCGCCTGGGAGCAGAGTATCGGCCATGATCTCGCGATTCGAAGCTCCGACTTCATCGGACGACGATCAGCGGGCCACGCAAGCGCCAAGCTCGCCTCCTAAACAGAGCGGACCTCTGGCCGGCATACGCGAGTCTGGTGATGCCGACCATGTTATCTTCAATCACAGCACAGACCGTGTCGAAGTTTCTAGATCAGCCAGCGAAGAAGAGAAGGCGGAGCGGGCTGTCTTCCGGCGCTTCTCGCGTGTCGATGGTCCCGTCTCGCCGGAGCAATTGAACGCCACGCAAAGGCGACGACCACCCCCGCCCCCGACGTTGCCAGCAAGGCGTCCTAGTAGCAACCTTCCCCAACATGCGGATCCGTCAGAGCGCCCGGCCAGCACCGCAGACGATCTGACGCAGTCATCCTCCATGGATGCGCTTGCTAGACAGATCGAAGAGGCAGCAGCTGGGTGGTCCGCGGCTTCCCTTCATGACCACAGTCCCGGGATGCAGCAACGGCCAACGTCATCTGGAAGCCGCCTAACAGTGCCAACCCTGGTTTCCACCTCAGCTTCCGCTGGCTCAGATGTGCCCCTTCGCTCACCTCGCACTCAGGCGATGCACACTCTCACGAGACGAGAGCACGATGCCGGCACCACCACTCCGCCTAATTTGCCGCCCAAGTCGCCGCTGATGACGCCCGAGCAGATCTTGGCTTCTGGAAGCCGAAGCAGTCTGTCAGCGTCGATTGCAGCAGCGCAAGCAGCAGCATTCGCTCGTCGCGATGGTCGTGGATCTCGCTCGCACTCGGCTTCGTCCAGCATGGACACGACATATCGCGGGGCCACCGTGACGTCGCCAGATCGTCAACTAGCAGGCAGGAAAGGAAGCAGAGATGGCGCGGCGACGTCCCCGCTAGCGTCGCGACCTCTACCGACGCTGCCTGCTGCTCTGAGAACCAGCTCGAGTCACGGACTTGGGATCAGCGCTGAGAGCGAGACACGAGATGCCGTGGGTGCGAGTCACGGAGAGCTTCCTATGCCTCCTCCGCTGCCAGTTCGGCCGCGATACAGGGACTGGGGCAATCTTGGCAACGGAGCCGAGACGGCGAGCGCGCAAGAGCCGCTACCACCGTCACCAGCAAGGCAACCACCCAGCCTGCACAGGTCAGGAAGCGGGATGTCATCGAGAACGACTTCCGCACGCGATGAGAATGGTCGTCAACAGCGAGCCGCTCCAGAATCACTGCCCTCGAATGGCAATGCTTCACCAGCACCGGAAGCAAGCATCAGTCTACGCAGCTCACCCAGTCCTGCGGCAACGCCCAGCACAGCCCCTATCAACCTCCCTCAGCTTCCCGCAGAACCGTCGTCCTCGTTGTCGGGGGCAGCCCCATCCGCGCCTCGCCGAGAAGCATCCCTGGGCCTGACAGACTTCGACCTGCTCGTGGCCCAACTCGAGCGGGATGGCTCGCACTTTGAATCCCTCTCTGCGATCGGCGAGTTCCTCGGCCCTGCCAAACCCACCGCCGCGACGCCCGCCCAGCTCGCCTCCCTGTCCGTCGGCCTCATCGAGTGCGACTCGCGCCGAGTGACAAAAGAGGGCAAGATCAAGCAGAAGCTCAGCTGCGTCGGCGTTCGTGTGGACAAGTGCGCCATCTGCATGGCTCAGTTCAAGGAGAGCCAGAGAGCTGTGCTGCTGCCGTGTGGGCATATTTTTCACGAAGAGTGCGCGGTGAGGTTGCTCAAGCGGATCACTACTTGCCCGACCTGCCGTGCTCCAGCAGTATGAATCGGGCTCACGCAAGACATCATTGTTCGAATTCAAAGCACAAACAGAAGTGAAGAAATGCGTGTGTCTGTGTTGCAAAGAGCGAGAGAGATCATACAGGGGCGGCTACTTCTTGCCCAGCGTAGCCAGCGCGTCATCGTTGAATCCGCCCTGACCCTCCTGCTTCAAAAAGTGATCGTTGACTCCCTCACTACTGCTGCTCCTGCTCAACTTCGCCTTGAACCACCTCTTGGCCTCTGGGCTCTGTCTCCTCGCCCTGACGCCCTCCCGCAACGCATCCAGCGCCTGGACCGTGGTATCCCAGTTGACGCAAGCATCCGTGATGCTCTGTCCGTAGGTCAACCCGGTCGGACCTTGACTCGGGATGCTCTGTTTGCCTTCGACCAAGTTGCTCTCGATCATGACGCCAAAGATGTTGCACCCGTTCTCGTCGCCTTTGGACAACTGGTCGGCGATGGAGCGGACGACGTTGATTTGGTTCTCGTGCTTCTTCTCGGAGTTTCCGTGGGAGCAGTCGATCATGATCCTCGCGGGGAGCTTGGCGGCAGTAAGTTTGGACGAGACGGCAGCGACGTGCTCGGGGCTGTAGTTGGGACCTGTGTTGGCACCGCGAAGGATGACGTGGCATGCATCGTTACCGTTGGTCTCGACGATGGCGGAGATGCCTTGTTTGGTGACACTGAGGAAGACGTGTTCTGCCGAGGCGGCTTTGATAGCATCTACGGCAATGGAGATGCTGCCATCGGTACCGTTCTTGAATCCGATTGGCATGGAAAGACCCGAGGACAGCTCTCGGTGGACTTGGGACTCGGTCGTTCGGGCGCCGATGGCACCCCAGCTGATCAAATCGGCAGTGTACTGCGGCGAGATGGTGTCCAAGAACTCTGTCCCCGCTGGCAGACCCAGGTTGTTGACCTCCAACAGGAAGCCTCTTGCCAATCGCAGACCTTTGTTGATCTGGAAACTGCCATTGAGGTTAGGATCGTTGATGAGACCCTTCCACCCGACAGTGGTGCGGGGCTTCTCGAAGTAGACGCGCATCACAATGTGCAGGTCCTCCTTGGCGGCATCTGCGTAGGCAGCGAGCTTGCGGGCGTACTCGAGACCGGAGCGAACATCGTGGATCGAGCAGGGACCGACGACGACGAGCAATCGGTCATCTTCCTGCTTGACAATCTCCTCGGTGGCTTTGCGCCCATAGGCAACGGTCTGGGCTGCTTGGAGAGTGAGAGGGTACTCCTCGACCAGAATCTGCGGCGGAAGCAGAGGCTTGATCGACTTGATCCGTCGATCGTCCAGCTCGTTGAGCGCATCTTTGTACGTCAGGGTCGTCATCTTGTTCTTCTCTCGTCTGATGTGGTGTGAGAGTGAGAGGGGTCGGTGAGTGAAGTGGAGACGCACGGCCAAGATGCACGCTTTGTTCGGGTCGCCGTTTCTTCTCAGATCTTCCAAAAGTCCAGGCCACGGGTGTACTGTGCTGCATGCTCGAGTCATGCCGCCGCAGGAGGGCCTGGATTTCAAAGCTTGCTGAATCGCCCGATCTGATTGCGTGTAAGGAAGGCCAATCGCTGATTTGTGTGTTCAGCCGGTCCTCCCTACAAATCTCGGCGCAGCAGCCGCGATGTCCCAGGCTTCACACTCGTCACTAAGAGGGCCGCCGCACAGTCATTCGCTTCACGCCGCCCGCGTGAGGCGCGATGTCACAGTCGTAAGGCCATCGAACGTACCTGCTGTGTAGCATGGAGGAACACAAAGGCGCTGGCTAAGCTGGCTTAATTCGAGGCCAAAGTGGTGAGCTGCGACAGGGCACTCACTAGGCGCAGCGAAAATCTTTTACTCCCCCTTTGCTTGACCGTGACTGAGATGAAATGCATGTCCAACGATGTTTTCTCTGCGCAGCGGCAGTCTCGCTTGCAGCACACGCGCAGAGAGCGCCCTGTTTGCATGAGTGACAAGGGCAGTTGACGCGTCTTTCGCCGAACCTTCCCTGGTCACCCGTACCAGGTTCGACGGAATAAAAGCAAACTTGAATTTTGCCAAGGTCGCCCCGTTTCCCTCAAAGCTCCTCTCACGTCGCACGCGCACCACACACAAGCCTCTTCCAGCAACGCACCGCATTTTTGCCAACTCTCGAGACGAACCCGCATCTTAACATCTCTCCACAAATTAATCTTCGGCTGAACCCTTAGCCTGACCCTCGACGCCATGTCGGACGACGAACGGCTCACCTCGGGCGCCGGGGCGGACGACGAGCTGTCCCTCCCCAAAGCCACCGTTCAAAAACTCATCTCCGAGATGCTCCCCAAAGACGTCTCGTGCTCCAAAGACACGCGCGACCTCCTCATCGAATGCTGTGTCGAATTCATCCACCTCCTTTCCTCGGAGAGCAACGAGGTGTGCGAGAAGGATTCGAAAAAGACCATTGCCCCCGAACACGTGCTCAAAGCGTTGGACGATTTGGGTTTCCCAGGATTCATCGAGGAGGCCAAGAGCGTGCTGGTGGAGCACAAGGCGGCACAGAAGGATCGAGAACGCAAGACGACGCGCATGGAACAGTCGGGCTTGAGCGAGGAAGAGTTGTTGCGGCAGCAGGAGGAGTTGTTCGCTGCCAGCAGGGCACGGTTCGAAGCGTCAAATTGACCCTCTGAATGCGAAATGTACTTGTACTGATCCACTCGTGTCGTGTGTGTGGTGTGGCATTAGAGCTTGCTCTTGGCGGCAGCGGCACGGAGGGACTCTGGCCCACGAGGGTAGGTGGCTACATCCGCCTGTCGCCACCAGGGCCAGAAGGCGAACCGTTCGAGATCGCGCATCGTCCCTGGAAACTGCGCCGGTCGCTTCTCGAGGAAGCTCTTGGCTCCTTCCAACCCATCTAGCCGACTGGTCTCCCAAATCCCCTGAGATTCGAGCAGATGCGCGTCTTCCGGCGAATCCACCTGACGCCAGATCTGAGCCTTGCACAGCGCCATCGAGACGCTGCTGTTCTTAGCCAGCTTCTCTGCGAGCTTAATCGACTCCGGAAGAACCTGGTCCTGTGGCAAGGGGCTTCGGGTCCACAGCGCCATGTAGCTTTCGTCTGTGGGAGAGCGCACGTCGCCGGTGAGGATGATGTCCATGGCCTTGCTCACGCCGACCAGGCGGGGCAAGAGATAGCTCGAGCAAGCCTCCATCGCAATCCCGCGCTGCACGAAGGGAATCGCCACCTTTGCGTTTTCGGCAACCAATCTGAAATCGCAGCTGAGGGTCATTGTCACTCCAATCCCGATAGCATTTCCGTTCATAGCGGCGATGCTCGGCTTCCTACACCTCAGAATCGCCAGCCCCACCTGCCCTCCTCCGTCACGATGACCCTGTGCATGATCCGCAATGGCCCCAAAGCCCTGCGCCAGGTAAGCCCCGGCGCAAAAGACTTTGCCCCCCGCACCTGTGATGATTGCGACTTTGACCCGATCGTCCGCGTCAAAGAGCTCGAACGCGAATACGATCGAGTACGACATGGCGCCCGTAAACGTGTTGTACTGGGTCGGACGGTTGAGGTACAGAATGGCAACGCCGGTGGGGCTGAGGGTGACGGTGATGTCCTCCCACGGATAGGCGGCGTAGTCGAAGGAAGAGGGGTCGAGGTCGCTGATGCGAGGATGCGGGTTGATGGGTGTCCAGCCTGCCATTGTTGCGAGCGTCGGTGGTGGGGTGCAGGGATAGTCGGGACGATGAGGCCGGTGAAGGTGGTCGAGAAGGACGAGTAAGCTGGAAAATGCGGGGAAAGGGTCCACTGGCTCGAGCGCCAGGTCGAGTGCTTGCCTGATTGGCTAGTCCTGGGTTCAACCGTATGTCGCGAACGAAGGATCTTGAGAAGCAGAGACCTTCGGCACGATGATGAGGGTCAGGGCAAGCAACAGGTGATGAAGGGGACCGTGATCAGAGTGGTGCGGGGTGATGTGGGGGCCAAGGAGAGTGGTGCGCCCACGAGCCTCGCCGGCAAGTCGGTCATCTTTGACAGCCGGTTCCAGGCTTTTTACAGGGCTGCTATTTGTATCGATCAAACATTTTGCGAGAATCGCCAGCGCCACTCTCTGTCGAGCTCCTTCGCTCGGTATTGGCCGTGAGGAGCAAATTGTCATGACAAGGCTCGTCGCTAAGCGGGCCGAGCGGCGAAGCTGCAAGGGCATCTTGTCGAGCTCGCCTTGCTCGTGCTCTGTGGGCGAGGCTCGACGCTGGATGACGGTGGGCAGCATGCGCGCTTGTTCAGCATCGCTCTCAAAGGCCGTGGAAAGCTTCTGATCGAGCAACGCTGTGGACACTTGGTCATCGCTTGATATGGCTGCAGCGCGATACGGGCGACATGCGTCGAGGGGCGATGGACCTTTGTGGGAGAGAGATAGCTGTGTTGCAAGCGCGTTGAGAACTGCAGAGCAACACTTGAGCAGGCAGGCACACGCAGGACATTCGAACCCTGAGTGCATGCAGACACAGCACAGCGCAGCGCAGCAACACACTTGTCGCGTTGGTTGCACCCTCGATTGGGCTGATTTGCAAGCTCGCTTGGCCAGTTTAAGGCCCAAAAACTGCGCTTTCTTTTGCCAACTCGCTTGCAAAAGGTGATTTGCGTTGACCTCCTCGTCCGTTTCACAATCTGACGCCTTCACCACCCCACCTTCTCTTTGCTCCTCCTCCCCTCCAGTCCCGCTTTGCTTCTTTCGACCACCTCCATAGACGATAGAGGGCACCCTGAGCTGCCTCGATCCGACAAGGCGGCCCCACAATCACGTTTGCTCCATTTTCCTCGTCGGCTTTGTTTCCAGCACCCACCTTCATTTCGGCCTCTCCGACAAGCCTCGTCGACCATTGAACGCCAAAGTGTATCAGCACACGGTCAAAGGAATCGCAGCGCATTCGGCATTACGACGGCCCTTTGTCACCTGTGAAGGCGCGATCGCGACTCGAGAAGCGCTTTTCGCAGCGCATGTCGGTTCACCAGGCAATCGTGTCTTTGGCATTCATCCCAGCAGACCACAGCTTGAACCGTCAATAGCTGCTGCATGTCTTTCGGAACCATACAACAGTCTCGACGGACATTCTAGACTCGCCTTCACTTCGGCTCACCTCGCTTTTTTGGAGCTCCCGCCCACAAGCCTCGCCCGCCATGTCGAGATCACGAGAGGCTAGCGGCGCCTCGACGCCCGCCGTCCCCAACACCACTTCCGTTCAGGTTGCTGTTCGCATCCGTCCCGTCACCAACGCTGACCAGAGCAACATCCCCCCAAGATGGCAGAAGAACATCCTCACTCCTTCCTCCACAAGCAGCGTCACTGTAGAGCCTGGCTCCGCACCACCAGCCGCGCCGGGCGCTGGCTCCTCTTCCGCAGTCTCTCGCGACAGGCGTCAGGCATTCAGCTTTGACCGTGTCTTTTCGCCCGCAGACGGCCAGCAAGAGATCTTCACTGTAGCAGAACCCTTGATCGACCGCTTCATGGAAGGCTATAACGTCACCATTCTCGCCTATGGTCAAACCTCGAGTGGCAAATCATATACCATGGGAACCTCGGCCGGCGACGAGGTCGACTACGAAGGTCTCGTTAGTGGACGCACCGCCGATCCACAGATGGGCATCATCCCACGCGCCGTCGCTCGCATCTTTTCCGCAATGCGCATCAACAAGGCTTCCGGCACTCAGTACAGTGCCAAGGTCAGCTTCATCGAAATCTACAACGAAGACCTCATCGATCTTCTTGGCGGCGCCGTCGATGGTGAAGCCAGACCGCACGTTCAGATCCGCGAAGGCAAGAATGGCCAAATCATCTGGAGCGGCTTACGCGAAGTCAAGGTCGCCAACGTCGCCGAGGTTATGAATCATCTCCTGCAGGGCAGCTCGGTGCGCAGAACCAACGAAACCGACATGAATGCCCAATCGTCTCGATCTCACGCCATCTTCTCCATCACGCTCACCCAAAAGAAGTGGGTTGGCTCGGGACCAGCGCCCAACTCTGCGGCCTCTTCCGCTTCCGGCATGCGGGCCACGCCAGGTGGTGGACGAGTCTCGAGTCTCTCACGAGCCTCTGGCATCCCTTTGGCAGGTCGCGTCGCTTCGCCTTCTTTCGGCCGCAGGACACCCAGTGGCATTCCTGGCCTCGGCGGACGGGCTTCTTCTATCGGGCTCCGGCCAGCAAGCACTTATGGTGACGCTGGCGACGACTCCGTGAGCAGCTCAGCAGGAGACGGCGAGTGGGTAACCGTCTCGAGCAAGTTCCACTTTGTCGACCTTGCCGGCTCTGAACGTCTCAAGCGCACGGCAGCACAAGGCGACCGTGTCAAGGAGGGCATCTCGATCAACTCGGGTCTGCATGCACTTGGAAACGTCATCTCGGCACTAGGTGATCCGGCCAAGGCAAAGCGCGCTACCCACATTCCGTACCGTGACAGCAAGCTCACTCGACTACTGCAGGACAGTCTCGGCGGCAATGCTCACACGCTCATGATCGCTTGTGTCTCGCCTACCGAGTACAACGTCAGCGAGACGGTCAACACGCTCCAATATGCCAATCGTGCACGCAACATCAAAAACAAGGCCGAACTCAACGAAGTCGAAGTGGGCTGGGACGACGTCGACTACCTCCAGACACTCGTCCAGCGTCTACGCAAGGAGCTCAGCATCATCAAAGGCGTCGGCAAGGGCTCCGTCGATCTCGACGATCCTCGCAACAAGGATGCCACTCGCACCACTCAGCGCGAGATCCTCGCCTGGCAGGACAAGTACGCCTCTCTAAGCCAGAAGCACAGCCAACTCACCGCCGAGGTCACCACTCTCCGCACTCAGCTCGACCCATCCAAGCAGAACGCCAGCGACGAAGACTTCTTCCGCGCCGCCGAACCCATCATTGTCGAGTACGAAAAGTCCATCGACGCGCTCGAGGGTCAGCTCAACCTCACCAAAGCGGCGCTCGGAGTCACCGAGGACGTCGCCAACGACCGCGAAGCGCAGATCGAAGAGCTCTCGAGTCAGCTCGAAATCATCGGCCAAGAGCTCGAAGACAAGGAGATCACGGTGGCCAAGCTGCAGACTCGCCTCGGCAAGTTGCAAGAGAGTGCTTCCTCTGCCGAGGCCTACGCACGCGAGCTGGAGGCAAGACTCGAGGAAGTGGGCACGCGTGGCGATACCGACTCTGCGGTGCTGGCCGAGCTGCACAAGGAGGTCGCTCGTCTCAAGGAGATCCAGACATCGTCCGAGCAGTACATTCGCGATCTCGAAGCCAAGCTCGCTTCTTCGGAAGAGTCTGCAGGCAGTCTCGCTCGAAAGATGACGCAGATGGAAGCGGACATCGAGAAACGCGACGAGGCCTACCGCAACCTCTTGTCCCGCTTCGAGCTGCTCGACAACGGCAAAGAGGCTCAGGCAGCTGCCGCCGAGCTCGAGGCGAAAGCGAGCCAGATTCAATCCCTCGAGGCTCACCTCGCAGATGCCACCGCCAAGCACGCGGTACTCGCCTCACAGTTCGACAGCCTCACTGTCCAGCACGAGCAGCTTTCCAAGGCCAGCGACGGGCACGAGCAGGAGAAGAAGCCGCTGTCACAGCAAATCAAGGAGCTGCAAGTCGCCGCTGCTGCTGGTCTCGTCGCTGGCGGTGTCGCAGGCGGCGCCCTCGGTGCCACTGCTAAGTCTAGTCAGAATGGCAATGGCACTACAGAGCAAGGCGTCGCAGATCAGTCCGTCAGCGAATCGTCAAAGGAGCTGGAGGAACGCCTGAACGGCTTGCAAGAGGAGATGCGGGCCGTGCGCGATTCGGAATCGAGCATCCGAGCCGAGCTGGAGGTCACCAAGCAAAAGTACAAAGAGTCCCTTGCCGAGATCAACGACCTCAACACGCAGCTCACCGACCTCAAGCTCAACGGCGGCGGTCGAGGCTCGAGCCTCGACAACGACCCGTTGGTGCTCGACAAAGACGCTAGCGACGACGAGCAGCTCGAGGTGCTCGACTCTCAGAACGACGAGAACGAGCCTCCTCAGACGCCCGGACGCAACGGCAACCACCAGCAACGAGGTCTTTCCCATCGTCGCAGTCTGCTCGTCGACACCACCAATCGACAGCAACAGACGCCCAGCCCCTCTAAACACCTCACTCGCCGCTCTTCGGGTTCTTTTTTAGGGTACAACAAGAGCGACGGGACGAGGTCCACAGGGATCTCGCCGCTCGCTCACGGTCGTTCTCGATCGATCTCGCAATCCTCGTCGCTGGACTATGCATCGGCCTTGCCATCACAGCTTTCGCAAAGTAGAGGACCAAGACCGCTCTCGCTGACTGGGTCCGTACCGCCTTCGCCCACGCTCAAGGCTTTCGAGCCCGATTCGCCGGCGAACTACGAGCGCAAGGTGGCCTCGCTCGAGAAGGAGACGATGCGTCTGCAGGAGGCGCTCAAAGAGCGCGATGACGAGCTGCGGGCGCTCGAGACGTCGCTCCGTGGTCAGACGCAGACGGCAGCGTTGTCGACAGAAGAGAAAGTTGGAGCACACGGCGACGGGAATGACCAAATACTGCTTGCTCCCGCCCTGCCTGTCATGGGCAGTGTTGAAGCGGGACCTCTGACGCCGGCTACAGAGAAGGATCTTCAGGCCATCCGACAGGTGATGGCCAATAGCGCTGCCGGCAGCTCCGGCGCCGACGCAAGCGGAACGCAGATGCTCGACGACCTGATGCGATCCATGGCTCGCAAGGAGACGCAGCACCGCGAGACCGTCGAATTCATGTCGGTGGAGCTCGCCTCGCTCCGAAAGCAGCACGAGACGCTCGAGGCGCTGTCGAAGGATCAGGTGACCAACATGTCGCTCGAGATCGAGGAGTTGCGCGCTCAGCTTGCCGCCGCCAAGCTGATGCCCCAGGCTAGTGCAAGCAATCGCAGCCTTGCTGATGAACTCAATGAAGTCTCGGCAGCAGAGGGCGGTGATGCCGCCGCCGAGATCGAACGACTAAAGCAAGAGCACCTTGCCGCCGTCGAGAGCCTCAAGCAAGAGCACAAGATCAGTATGGCTCAGCTGGCGCAGCAGCACGCAGAGAGTCTCGCTGGGATGCAGACTTTGACCACGACGAGGTCGCTTGCAAACGGCGTGGCTCAACAGGATGCGCAGGCAAAGGACGGAGCCGCCATTCAGGCTCACGATGCACAGATGCAAGCTCTGCAGGACACCCACTCCGAGGCCCTACAGGCAACGAAGATGGAGCTCGAAGCGCAGCACCGCTCCACCTTGTCTGCCGCCGTTCAAGAAGCCGAACAAGCAGCCGTGACCAAGCACACTGTCGAGCTGCAAAAGGTTCAGCAGAGCCATTCCGAGGCCGTCTCGCAGATGACAGAGCAGCTCATCGCACTCAAGGCCGATCACGAGAGCGTGCTGTCGAAGCTCGGGGCAGACCACGCATCCAAGCTCGATCGAACCTTGCTGGACCTGCAAATTGCCACCAGCGACCGAGACGAGACGCGCCGGGCCTACGAAGAGCTGCACGCGAGCTATCAGGACCTGCTCGCCAAAATGGACATCGACCCGCACGAGGTGGAAACACTGCGTGCCGAGTTGAATGACACGAGCGATGCTCTGGTCACGCTGGAAGCCGCGCTCACCGAAGTGCAGGAGGAACGCGACTCGCTGCTCCTCGAGATCGAAACGACGCGGCAAGAGTCGGAGATCCAGCAGCAGGATGCTTCTGTCGCATCGAGTGGAAGTGTCGTGCGCGATTCGACTGCACTTGTTCCAGCCGACGCGGCGCTGAAGCGAGAGCTCGAGTCACACAAGTCGACGCTATCCAAGACGCGAGGCGAGATGACCAAGCTCAAAGCTGAGTTGCAAGCCGCACGCGACGACTGCGCGCGCCACGAACAGTCGGTCAAGGATCTGCAGCTGCGTTTGGCGACGTCAGAGACGAGATCGGTGCGCTCGCAGGGCAGCGACAGCTTCGGACAGCAGAGCCAGAGCGAGCAGCAGGATGCTCTCACAGCGGCATCGCGCACCTCGCTCACAAACGGAAGCCGCTCGCCTCTGGGTAACCGGCGTACGTCGGACTTTGAGCCCAACGGCTCTTTCGATTTGCGGAATCATCGTCCCAGCGTCGCCTCCGTCAAGCCTCCACCGCCGACGCCTCCGCCCAACATGACGCTTCCACCCACGCCGACTGCAGTTCCAACGCCTCTTGCCCGCACGTCTGCCGGTGTCCGTACCTCGACCTCATCGGCCATGACGCGTCCCGACTCGCCAGGCAACGCGGGTGCAGGCATGACTCGCTCCTCCTCGCTGACATCTGATCACTCGCCTGCCGGCCACGCGAGCAACGCTAGCAGCAATGGTGTCGACGTCAAACTCTCGCGACTGCTATCTGAACAGGCGGAAGAGATCAAGACGCTCGCCAAGCAGCTCAACCACTGCGAGGCCGACCTGCAAGCCAACATCGACCTGGTCGCCACGCTCGAGGCAGCGCTCAACGACAGCGAGCGCAACCTGCGGAAGAGCCGGGTGCAGCTGGCCGAGGTGACGCGCGAAAGGGAGCGCTACTCGGCGGAAGCGAGCGCGATGCGTGCGCAGCTCAACTCGGCGCAGTCGGAGGTGGAGAATGTGCGCAACAGCGTGCTGCTGGAGAAGCAGGGGTACGAGAGCAAGATCGAGGAGGAGAGGCAGGCGAAGGAGCGAGCGAGAAAGGCGCTCGAGGCGAGGCTGGAGGAGGTGAGCAAGCGCAAGAGCAGCAAGCTGTTCTGTCTGTGAGAAGGGGTATGAGGGTTATTGGTTCGCTTCGTCTCACGCTGTATCTGAACATTTTGGGGTCTCATACGAAGCGTTGCAAGATCACCGCGGGTGCGTTGAAGGTGTGGCATCTATAGGACGACTTGATGTGAGTGATCAAGGTGGGCGCAACATGAGTCGGCGTTCCACGCTGTCGGTGCTGCTGCAGAGACCACTGTTCAGTAGCAACGCCATGCACGCCGGGAAGATGGAAAGCAGCCCCTGAACCGCGAGCTGCTGGCTGTGCTGCGTATCACGCGGTGCTGCTGACGCGAAACGCGGTTGACAGTCGGTCGGAGTTGCAAAAGACATACGACAGCACAGCACAGTCAATCAGAGCTGCAACCCGGCGAAAAAAAAGCCAAAACGCCATGCAATCTCCGACCCGAACCTCGAAAGAGGCCTGTGAAATCGGCAGTCGCCTTTCTCTTCACTTCGATTGTTTGCTGGCCCTGTTCACTTGATCATGTGGGCTCGACGTCTTGGCAATGTGGGAGAGTATGTGGGCGAACAGTGGGGGATGTGGGCAACGAGGCAGCTGAGACAGAGCGTGATGAGGCGGCAAACATATCATGCACGCGAGAAAGGTGATTTTGGCTGTCTCGGCTGTGGGCCAAATTTAGCAGCTCCACACGCTCCCTCTCTCATGACCGAGGATCGACTCGACAACGATTCACGCTGCAACCACCTTTCCACCTTCTCTACATCATCTCGCTACATTCATCCATCCGCGTCCTTCCGCAATCGTCGTCTTTCTCGTCGACGATATCCCCGCGCTCGCGTCCATATCAGTCCCGAAGTTGCTTCTGGTCCATTCACGACAGCTGCCCACTCGTTGAGCTCTTCGATCTAGCTTCGAACCTTGCTCTCATCTCACACCTTGACTCTCGGCGAAGCTCACATCGCTCATAAACACATCACAAATGCCAGGCAAACGCGGAGGTGGCGGAGGCCTCGACATCGGGTAAGTCGATGCGCTACCAAACGCTAGAAGTCACGAGTCTCATCCCAACTGACACCTCTTCATCCCCATCAACTCTATCTTGGTCCACCCCGGCAGGCTCATCTTTGCTCACAAGATCCTCACCGTCCTCTTCCTGCTCAGCACAGTAGGATGGGTCGTCGCCTTCATCGGCCAGTGTGCCGCTCAAGCAGGCAACGGCGGTAACCAAGGCGTGCTCTGGTTCGCCATCTTCCTCCAGCTCTTCCTCATCATTGGCAAATACCTCGGCGTCATGACCGACTCGCTCGGCACCTCGCGTCTCCAGCTCACCACCTTCACCGCCGTCGCGCTCGTCTTTTCGGTCATCGGCATCAACTCGGGCATCTACTCTGGTAATGCGGCGGAAGAGGCGGTGGCTGCCGGTTACTTTTTGATCACCATCACCAACATTGTCTGGCTGTTCTTCCTCACTACCGAGGAGGACTCGATCTTTTATCCTATCATCAACATTGCCAATGCAGGCATCACGCCACCTGCCGCCACGACGAGTGGGCGATACAGCGGCGGTGGTGGCATCGGCGGTGGTAATGCGGGTGGTGCGCAGTCGATGAGGTCGGCAGGTGGCGGTGGTGTCGGCACGGGCCTGGGCGGTGGTTACGCTGCTGGCGGCAACGGCAGTGCGTACTCTGGCAACTTCCAGGGTGGTGGATCGGGCTACCAGCCCGCTTACGGCAACAGTCCTTCGGCTGCCGACATCACCACGGCCAACGGAACCGGTCTGGGTCAACCCAAGATGTCGTCCACCTCGATCCGCAGTCGCGGTGCCAACGACACGGGTGTCACCGGTGCAGGCGGCATCTCGCAGGACGCCCCCAGCGTCGTCACGCACAGCGTCGCCGCGGATTCAGCAGCAGCAGGCGCAGGTGCCAAGGGATCCGACCTTCCAGACTACGGCTACAAGGCTCGCGCTCTGTATGCCTACCAGGCGAACGCGGACGACCCCACCGAGATCAGCTTCAGCAAGGGCGAGGTGCTTGATATCGTCGACAACTCGGGCAAGTGGTGGCAGGCGAGGAAGAGCAATGGCGAAACGGGCATTGTGCCTAGTAACTACATGCAGTTGCTATGAGCTTTTGGCATACCGTTCTCGACCTTGGCTGATTCGTTGATACCCCTCCCTGTCGCGCTTTTTCAACACGCTCTTTTCTCAAGACCTCGCCTTTCCTTCAGATCAGGTTTCGGCCACCTTTCCACGGAATCGTTCACCTTTCGACCGATTCGTATTTGGCGCAGCTTTCAAAATGGGCGGGCGACTCTCGTGTTCATGGACCTCCTGCCGCGTTGTCTTCTGCCCACACTCCTTTCTTTCCGGCGCTGTGGTTTTATATTGGCCACAGTTCCTTCGTTCGCGGTGGCCCCGTGCTTCTTCTTTATCACTTGTCACTCTCTTTGTTTGCCTTCCAAACGAGCCGATGTGTAATTCAGCTTTCGCGGGGCCGTCTCTGTCTGCCTGGCTTGGCAGTGTGTGACTGAGGCAAAGTGTGCTCTGTCCTCGAGCGACTCCCTGAAAAGAAGTGATTCTTCCTCGAAGCTGTGGATGGAGCAGTCACTATGGAAGGACAGCAGGTATTTTCTCGCGCGTAAAATGTGAGATCCTTCGGGAGTCGGGATTTTTCGCTGCAGGCTGCGTTTTTTGAGCTTTCGAGAAGAACCACTTTCTCCTCTTTCTCGTCATCATCATCATCGACCGCGACTTCATCCTACCACGACGCTCCCGCACTCAATCACCTCTACATCTCATACACCTCTCAGTGGGCACTTGTAACACTGTAACAAGCTCTGCATTCCTACCATCGTCGTCGACCGTCTCACCCCGCAGACACTGGAAGATGTCCTATCTCAAGCAGTTCACGCGCATCCTGCGCGGGTCGCTATCGGCCACGCCGACGGGTCCCACCTCTGGCAGCACGACGGCGTTCCACCTACCACTGCGCAAACTCGTCCTGCGCTACTCGCAGCACAATCCCTCCTCCTCGGGACTCCGCACGTTCCTTCTCTCACCCCGATTCTCCGCGTTGACCGCCAAATACCCCTCGGTGGAATTTGTAGTGGATCAGGCGGGGAGAGAGAAGCATCCCCTCGCAACAGGTTTCTACGCCGCAACAGAGCACGATGGGCGAAGGAAAGATGTAGGTCTGGCGAACTTGGATGCGAATCAGGTGGAACAAAAGGTACGACAGGTGGTCGAGAGCAGCGGTAGAAAGGTGAGGAGTTTGAAGAGGAGGACGGTCGAGAGTAAGAGCGAGGGGGCGAGAGGCGTGTGGAGTTGGGTCCATGGTAAGACGCCGCAGCTCTGAGAGGAGGATCGGAAGGAGGGGAAGGGAAGGAGGGCGTGGTGGGTAGGCTCACACACACACACGCTCGCGCAGGAGTCGGATGAGGAAGCACCAAGAAGCATCGATTCGTTTCACTTTGCATTGTAATACTATCACTGGGTTCGACATCTTTGCTTGTTCGAGCATCGACGTGCCTGCACCTATCGAGGAACGATGGTTTACGAGAGCCTCGCTTGGTTCGGCTCGAGATCGAACTTGTGCGTCATTCGGCCCTGGTCGGTCCGTCGTACCGCCACATGACCTCAGCCGGAACTTCGTTGCCCAACGTCACATAGTCCCCCCTCTTCTCCTCGTTGTCCGCCCAGGGAGCGCGCACCACGGCAAACCCACCCACGGGCACGTTGTCCGCCAACAACCACTTGTCGCCCACCTGAATCCCGATGTTCCTCCTCACTCGCATATCCCACCTGCTCCCGCGGTGCCAGCCGTAACTGTGCACCTTACCCCCCTCGTCGTGGGCGGTCGCAACGAGCAGTTCCGAATACGGATGCGTGGTGTGCGGTATGAGGTACGCGAGATGATGAAAGCGCGGAGCCGGGAAGAGAAGGCGATGCGAAGCAGTCTCGCCGAGAAAGGTGGAGGAGAGGCCCATGTTGAGCAGCGTCGATTGCGTGTGAGCGGAGACGATGGGGAGTGCGGTGTTGAGGTCCAACATGTCGGTTGGTGTGGCCAGACGGAGGGTTGAGGGGATGTCGGCTGTTACGAGGGGCGCGGCACGGACGAAGACGGGGAGAAGGAGGGTGGTGAATAGGAAGAGGATCGGGAGCATAGTGCAGAGTTCCAAACTGCGAGAATGGGCAGAGGTGGAAGGTGATAGGTGAGAGCGGATGCAGGGACGGAAAGATGGAAGGTGAGCCCTTTCTTATAACCCTCCCACTCCAGACTCGCTAGTACCAGGTCGATGTATGGTCGTTCTGAACAGAGGAACAGCATCCTCCCACCTCCTCGTGCAGCAGCGACGACCATGTCAAGACCCCATCAACAACCGCCCACCCTGTCGCACCGCAACACACATATTCTCGCTCCCACCTCACATGCAATGTGATCATGTCGAAACCCACTTCTCGCCGTCCAACCTGTATTGTTTGATGCACCCTCCCACCCTGTGCTGTGTTTGATGCACCCTCCCACCCTGTGCTGTTTCATGTCACTTATCCAACCCGTGCCGTTTGATATCATTCCTGTGACCAGTGCTGTTGGAGATCATCACTGCAAACCGCACTCTTTCGTATCACCTTGCGGTCAGATCTGGCTACACCATCTCAATGCCTCTTCAAAATCACGCTGATGGTCTCAACAAGTTGGCACTTACTGGTATACAGTACTACACATGTTGACATCGCGTCCACACCCACGCACACGCAGGCTCGTCGCCGCAGCGACCAAGGTGAAACGGTTTCAGCGGGTACGATCCGTTCCGTCGGCCTTGCTTGATTCCCCACCAGGCTCCTTTTTGGCGATCGACTTGAGCCACGTTGTCGCTGGACGTCCGCTCGTCCTCGTCTCGCGGTGGAGCGGATGGCTTGGTGCTCCAGGCGGGAAACGACCCTGAATCTCCCTGACCGGTGTGGCAGGCGCTGGCTCGCGCGGCGGAAGCATCGCCTCGATCACGAACGGACGTGGGTCGGAGGCCAGGTCAGGAGCCGGCACTGGCGACAGAGTCGGTGGCTCAAGCGGATGTGCGGAGGCGATCCAGTCCCCGAGGGGCGCGGCGGAAGTCGAATCGATCTTGACACGACGCACGTCTTCGGCGAGGTCGAGCTCGGGAGACAAGGGCAGGGGCAGGGCTTGGATGATGCCGGTCAGTACCAGCAGCAGGGCGGTCGAAGATCTCATCGCGTGCAGCAACATCGTCCCGGGGGTTCAGCTGCGAAATAGAGACGACAGGTGAGGACATGATCAGGTAATGCCCAGCCCCTTTATATCTCAGGCCAGAACCTTCGAGCTTGAAGTTGGGTCCGCGTGACAGCTCGCACTCGAGGGATGCAGTGCTTGGCATCCGTGTGACAAGACAACCAAGGTTTGACTCGCGGTGAGAGGGTTGAGCTTGCAGATGAACGAGGAGCTGTCCCCAAATATCAGCAGGGCATGCGATCCGGTCTACCCTTGAGTGCTCGCTCCTGCGCACCTTCTCACAACCGAGCCTTCGCGAAGCAACAAGGGGTCTAGATCGTCTCATTTCAGCAACTTGTGATGAGCAACGCGAGATATGCCGTGTGGGTCGTGACACACGGCGATGAGATTTTGGGCGCAAGATAAGAACTTGCGAGCGTCCGACCAGTTGCGCACCGGTTTGACTTGTCTCACGTTTGATCTTGATGACGTTCGCCACAATTGGGGGTCGTGAGATCCAACGACGGGGGCACCTTCACACGTCTTGCAATCTAGTGGCGCCGAGCCAAGGTCTGACGCGTTGCTCTGGTCATACACTCTCTGCAAACGCATTGCATGGAACCCTCCGCTTCAAGACCGGGCTAAAGGTGCTTCCACCACCCCTTGATCCTCTTCCACACGCCCTTGCTACTCGCCAATCTTTCGACCTCGACGATCTCTAGACTGCCACCGCCTAGATCGCGCGGAGGAACCCCTCTGGGCCGACCGATCCTCTCGTCCGCTATACCTCCGTTCCGACCCGCTTCCTCCGCAGTACCGCGGTGAACGTCCGGTCCTTCTTGGCGCAACAGCTCCCCGAGTGTGCGATGCTCTTCTTGGTGCATCAGCTCCCCCAATGTGCGGTGCGACGTCGTGACGGGCGACGGAGGCTCCACGACAATTCCGTGAATCGCGCGCTGGCTGCGGCCAAGTGGCTCCTCGACCAGCTCGGCCACGTGCGGGTATCGGACGGACGTCCAGGGCGAGCTGTCCAGAGCGGAGGGGGGAAGTTTGCGAAGGGTTCGATCGGACTCGATGGCGTAGCTCAGAGGTGCGCACCAACCAGTGCAGGCCCATAGGAGGAGGGTGGTCGTGAAGAACAGAATGTGATGCATCGTGAAGGAACTGGCCTGGTCGATGACTGACGTGCGAATCGAGGGCCTGGAATCTTGCGTCTGAGGCTGTCTTTATAGCCACTGAGGGAGCGGATCGCACTGGTGTGCGCGATGAGATGGGGTTGGTCCAGCGTGCCCCGGCTCCCGCGTGATACATGAAGGCGCGGCTCGGAGCCGGACGAGAACCGCTTTCCCACACGTTCAAATGCACGTTCTTCTCCGGGTCTCCCAACTCATCCTCTTCACGCACAACGACAGAAGTTCTGGTTGAGCAGTTGCGATTTTGTTCGTATACAAGTACATGTGAAACAAAGTGGATGTCCACCCCTCGAGAGGGACGACCGGTCATATCCGAAGCGAGTGTCTAAGCGGGAGGCAGCGTTGAGCTGTCCGTCTGTATCCATTCAACGAGTTACCGTCTGCGAATAGTCGTACTTGCTAAAGAACCTCTCCGAGTCGGTCTCGACGTTGTTCCTATTGGCGCCTCTGGTTCTGCCCCTCTTGGCTTCAGCTTCGGCCCTGACGACCTTGTCCTCGCGCAACCAGGCGAGCGAGACGTTGAGCAGCGGGGACAGGTCTCGATCCTTATCGGCGTTCGCCGTGGGTGGGAGGGCGGCGATGTCCGCCGGGTTCTTCGCCGGCCAGTCGATGGGTAGGGTGGTGGTGGTCGTTCCCAGCCTCATGTGCGCCAGGTGGGTAGGGAAGCTTTGCAGACCGTCAAAGATGTGTGTTGCATAGATGATGGTGGCGCCGCGCTCGACGGTTTCCAGCTGCAAAAAGTCGAGCAGATCGGCACGAACTTGGACATCGAGATCGACTGTCACTTCGTCGAGCAACAGCAGGTCCCATGGCTCCATCAACCCCATGCACAGCTGAACGCGACGTCGCTCGCCATCCGAGATGGCGTGCATGTGCCACGTGAGGTCGACGTCCAAAATATCGAGCAGACGGTCGCGGCGTGCCTTGTGACGGTATCCTCCCACGGAATCGAGGAAGGTCGAGACGACAATATCGGACCGCACGACGGGGTTCATAGCCCACTCCGTACCCAGATAGGTAACTCCCGAGGGTGAGTCGCGGAAGACGTCCTTGCCAAACACACGCACCTTGGAATCGCACAGCTTCTTGCCCGCGAGCAGCCGGAGGAGCGTCGACTTGCCCGCGCCATTGGCACCAATGAGCAGACAGCGAGAGCCGCGCTTGAGGTGGAGGTTGCACTGCTCGAGCGAGGGCGGAATGTCCGGATTGAAAGTGAACGTGAGGTTGGTGACCTCGACGGCGAGCTGTTCGCCTTCGGCGAGGGGAATGGATTTGGAAGCGGCATTGTCGATGATGCCCCCCTCCGCGGTGCTAGTGGGTCCCTGGGGCTTGTTCCAGTCCCAGTAGCCGGAGCCGTTGGCGGAGAGCTCCTTGGCGAGGCGGACGGATTCGGCCAGCACAGCGTCACCGCAGGCGGCAATGTTGGACGGGTCGCAGTCGATGAAGCTGACGAGCTGCTGACCGGCTTTGGAGATGAAGCCTTCTTCGACGGCGAGGTCGATCTGCTGCTTGAGTGGGCTATAGAAGCCGTTGACGTTAAGGAGGACCATGGGTTTGCGGTGGATGCCGAGCTGCGTCCAAGTGACCATCTCCATGACCTCTTCAAAGGTGCCGTACCCGCCGGGAAGACCGATGAAGCCAAGATTGCTCTCCTCGGCCATGCGTTGCTTGCGCTCGTGCATGGACTGGACGACGACAGTCTCGACGTGACCTGAGCCCGCGTCGGGGTTGAGGACGGTAGGTCCAGTGCCCTCCTTCGAGACGACGATTTGAGCTCCAACACCCTGGCCAGGGTGACCCGCGGGCTTGGTGGTGGCCATGACTTGAGGGATGACACCGAGAACGTGTCCCCCGGCTTCGAATACGGCTTGCGAGACACCGCTCATGCAGCCGCGCGAGCCGCCTCCGTAGACAAGACGGTAGTTGTGCTTGGCGATGGCCTGACCGACGCTAGCGGCAGCGGCCATGTATTCGGGCTTGGTGCCGGGCGAGGAGCCGCAAAAGACGCATATTGAGTCTGTGTAGCCGGACATCTTGGGACAGGCTCTTCCGTATCGATTGGGAGAAGGAACGATCGAGCTGAGATGGTGTATGCGAGGCAAAGACCTTGCTTGAGCCCTGACAAGAACGTGGCTCGCTTCGGAGCTGGAGTTGATGATCTTCTCAACGTCACCGGCTGAAGCTGGACTGTGCTCCTTACTCAAGCATTTTGTGACTCCACTTGCTAGCTCAGCATCGCCGCTTTAACAAGATTGAATTTTTTGATATCGGCATTTTCGGCGTCTTGCGGGGTGTCTTGGGCGGGTTGGTCGGATCCCGCCGACGCTGCTTCTCCTCGTGCCTGATGAGGCAACCATCCTTTCCCACGCCATGAAGCGGACGTGAGCCGAAAGCAGGAGCATTTGATTCACCCACACACACGTCGACATGGCTCATCCGAGCGGTAGACCCGCCGAAGCAGTCGCTCGTCTGCGGACACTCGGATTCGACCCGGAGACGCTGCTTCACCAGTATCAAGAGCAAGGATACGTGATTATCGACGGTGTTCTTTCCTCCGACACAGCCTCGCCGCTTCACATTGACTCGCTTCGCAAGCATGCCGACGTCGCAACTCGGCTCACCCGAGACGGGCTCTGGCCTCACCGACGAGTGGTGGGCAACGCGTTCCCGCCTTTCACCAAGGACAATCGAGACAGCTGGGGCGTGCAGCACATCATGAATCCGCAGCTAGACGTCGCGGGGCCGTCCCAGGGCGCATCGCTGTCGAGCACATTCCAGCGCTTCTATGGCAGCTCACCCTTGCTCGAAATTGCTTCACTCTTGATCGGTGCCGAGGTGAATGACATGCAGATGGAGCTGTTCAATCTTCTCATCAACCCATCGTCCCATCGTTTCGCGCTCGGTTGGCATCGAGACGACATCCGGCCGGATGTGTCGCAGAGCGAGGAGCAAGCACGGCTGAATACGCCAACGTATGGTGTGCAGTTCAACACGGCCTTGTACGACGATGATTGTCTATTTATCGTGCCTGGCACTCATCGTCGGTTGCGCACACTGAAGGAGATCGAGGCGAACAACGCCAAAGCACCGTCAGCAACCCAAGTGGACCCATCACAACCAGTTATGCAGCAGGAAGAGGGCTTCGCAGCAGACGGATCCTGGATTGGAATCGATCCGCCCGACACAGTGAGGGCCAAGCTCAAGCCAGGACAAACGGCGTTCTACTCACAGCGCATCTTGCATCGAGCTAGCTATCTGCCAAGTGCAAAGCGAGCAACACTGCACGGCTGCTTTGGCGATGCATCGCAGGGTGGGAAGGGCACAGCAGAGAGGGCAAGAAATGTTCTTCAGCACGGTGTCGAGTGGATGCGAGATACTTCCTTTGGCGAGTCGCTGCCAGAGGCTCTGAAGCCGATGTGGGCCAATCTAATACGTATGGATGCCGCGTTTGCGGACAAGCAGCTTGGATTTTCGCTTCAGAACGATTAGCGCCCACAATGCGACATTGTGAAGTTCTCCTCTCCTCTGCGTGATCAGCCACTTAGAGGTGTGTTGAAGTGTGATGCGGTGACAAGACGACGTTCAAAGCTGCGTGGTGATGAGAATGGGGCTCTGCGAGCTCGTTGATCTCAGCCCTCCGCGGGCAGCGAGATCTCAGGGTCCAGGCTGCAGAGTGTTGCTCTCCCAAGCTTAAAAATGTGAATGCCGGCCCCTCCTCGAAATCACGCAATCGCTCCGAGCTTCCATGTCACTAGCCTCCTTGTCGTACTCTCCCAGCTTGTTTGTGCCCTCCCTTCTTGCTCACCAGCATCCTTTCTCTTCGCCTCTTCACCTCGCCTCATTCAGTCACATCAAGATGAGTCAGTGCCCGCTCGGCTTCAAAGGCACACCACCGCCAGGTCACCCCAAAGTCGCAGGTCTCGCCGACTCTTTGTCAGGAAGCGACGCCGCTGCAAGCGACTCAAGCACACCAGAAAAGGCAGGCTGGAACCCATGGCTACTACTAGCAGTCGACGCCGCGTTCATCCTTCTCGCCATCTATATCGCCAGGAACGGCGTCCCGAGAGCGATAGCGGATCCCGTCAAGGCGGCATTTACAAAGGCACAGCCGAGGAACGACGCTAAGGTCGAATGATCGGGTACTTGCAAGCCCCACTCAACTTCGCATAGGCAGCACCGCCATCGTCGGATCAAACATCAGTCAGATTCGGACACAGGCATTCGGATGTGACCCGCTCGAGTGTCAGAAGACCACAGCCTTCATCAACTCAGCAACGGAGCAGCCGCGCTTTCTTCTGGGCAGGCCGCTTGACCACCAATTTGCAAGCATCGCAGCGCTTCGGGCACTGACATCTGTGACATCTATGACAAGCAATGAGAGCAGGCGGCAATCCAGACGCAAAAAGAGGGTGTGTGTGTTGCGGCTACCTAAGCGGTCGAGCGAGAAATGAGTGAATCCACAGTAGATCGGGTGTGGATCGGCTTTGCGTGAGCGGTCGACGTGGCCAGATGAAATTCGCCGACGTGAAAGATGCACGGCATTTTGGCTTCTGATGGTTCCCGCGTGCCGGAACGAAGTGTTGTTCTCCGCTCCATTTCTCGTTATGTACCTTCTGTCCTCACCACTCTCCGCTCACTATCCAATATGACGCTCTTCCAGCTCGGCATCTGCGCCGGCTCCATCTACACCACCTTCTTGATATGGGGCCTTCTGCAGGAACGAAGTGCGTATGCCCTGACTTTGAGCATTGATTCTGCACAGCCGTGTACTGACTTGTTTCTTCTTGATGCTACAGTCACCAAGACACCATACATTTCACACGCGACACTGCTGCATCCAAATCCACAGCCAGATTACTTTCGCTCGCCACTCTTTCTCAACACAGTGCAGGCACTGTTCTCCTCCATCATCGCTTGCATCTACCTTCTCTTGCGGAATCGCGGCTCGGGCAAGCCTGTTTCGCACATTCTCGGCCTGCATACCCTCACTCCGAACGGCATTCCATCGCAAAAGCAAAATGGGTCCTCATCGACAGCTAACGGTGCGACCGTGTCTACGCAGTCGCGCTGGATCTCGCCGCTTCTCTCACGCTACATCCTCATTGCTGCTCTCCAAAGCACCGCCTCGCAACTCGGCTTCCTCAGCCTCCGCTACATCTCCTACCCGACACTCACGTTGGCAAAATCATGCAAGCTGGTCCCAGTACTCGTCATGAATGTCGTGCTGTACAGGCGCAAGTTCGCAGCGTACAAGTACGCCGTCGTGGGATTGGTCACGCTGGGCATCTGGCTCTTTATGGCCTTCGCACCCGCGAAACCGGGCAAGAAGGCCAACGGTCCCGAGAGCAGCAGCGTCATCGGTCTTCTGCTCTGCTTGCTCAATCTCGTCCTGGATGGAGCCACCAACAGCACTCAGGACCAAGTCTTCTCCAAGTTTGGCCGCAAGACAGTCTCTGCGGGCCAGATGATGCTCGTCATGAACGCCATCTCTGCGCTCCTTATGGCACTTACCCTGTTCCTGCCGCTACCTTTCCTCTCGACTGCAGGTCAACCCACGCAGCTGTCGACAGCACTAGCCTTCACGCACAAACATCCCGAGGTCTGGCGCGACATCATCGCCTATGCGCTCGCCGGAGCCGTGGGCCAGGTCTCCATCTTCGAAACGCTCGAACGCTTCGGCAGCCTCACGCTCGTGTCGATCACAGTGACGAGGAAGCTCTTCACCATGCTCCTGTCCGTTGTGGTGTACAAGCACGAGCTGAGCAGCCTGCAGTGGGTCGGTGTGGCCGTGGTCTTTGCAGGAATTGGCATCGAAGCGAGGGAAAAGAGACGCGAAGGTCTGGCTAAGAAGGTGGTCAACGACGAGAAGAAGGCGCTGGCTAAGGATGCGTGATGGATCTCGATAACAACATAGATGCTATCAGATGTCTGGTCGTGAACATACGATCGCTGTGCAGAGATTGAGCTTTGATACCGACGGACAGAGAGCATGTCAAAGACTTCAAGAGACGAAGGTGAAATCGGGTCTTTGGGCTGCCGATTGGCGCTCTCAAAAATTCCGCGCGCGAGCCGCTGAGCTTAATCAGACCTTCTGAGACTCCACTGAGCTCGACCTTCTTGCATCTGCACGCTGTTACTTCTCATCTTCAACCATTCCCTTTCTCCATGATGAAGTCAGTACTTCGAAGCGCTACTGCCGCGAGGCTGGGCGCTCCCACCGCAAAGCTGCAGCAATCGCCACTTCGATCGATGCGATCGCTTTCGACCATGCGAAGCGCTCGCCAGTCGTTCCAGCCCATCGCTCGCACTTCGATCCTCCCTTCTTCAAGAGCACTCGCTGCGCGATCCTACTCAACCTCGCCGAATCAGCAGCAAGTCCTCCAATCCTTCGGCACGCCCTTCGCCCAGTTCATCTACACCATCTCGCGCATCGCCCGCATCATCACCTTCTCCGCTCTCGGCGTGGCCACCATCGGCGTGGTCTCCTTCGAAGCTGCCCACCAGTATGTTGAGCATGTTGCGATGCCTGCTGCGTCCTCATCTTCCAGAACCACATCGGATGAGTATGGGTGGGGCGAGCTGGCGCTGGAAGAGTCGTGGTCCGGTTCGCCAACCCGAACGGGAACGGATCCTCGGCTGGGGATCAAGGGTCGACATGCGGTGCGGTCCGCGTGGATGAGCGCCAATTGGGGCGGCGGCATCTCGCCCAGTGTCCTGCTCGGCGGTGGTGCTGCAGGCAACTCTGGGCTGGGACGGACAGCAATCACTTCGATGGGCGCCGCAAAGACGTTGCAGGTCGAAGACGGAATGATCCTCGCCATGCAGTATCTGAACCTGGCGGTCAAGATCGCTGCGAGCAAGGGGATTAAGTTGCCTGACACGGATTCGATTCGAGCTGGATTCGTGGGAGAGGCGGCGGCCAAGGAGCAGTTGAGGAATGTCGACCCGCTGGCGATGGCCTTGGAGGCGAGATTGGCTTCGGTCAAGGAGAGGCAGGGAAGCAGGGGTGCGTTGGAATCGGCCATTGCGAGCTATGAGAAGCTGTACGATATTGGGAGCTTGACGAACGAGGGGAGGAGCGAGAATGCGAGTCGGTTGGTGAGGCTCGCTACCAAGGTGGGCGATCTTTATTCGGCATTGGGACAGAGGGGCGATGCGGAGGAGTGGCTCAATCGGGCGGTCAGTATTGCTGCTACTGCTGGAGCGAGCACGCCGGAGATGCAGGGCAAGCAGATCGAGGAGGTTCCAGCGGAAGAGCCACAGAAGGCTTCTTCGGGAGGATGGTTCTCTCGATCAAAGGCACCAGCCGCAGCCAAGGCAGCAACACCCACCGAGGCTGTCGCAGCAGCACCGCCAACACCCACTCTCGGCTCAGACGCAGCACCCACCCCAGCCCTCACCCGATCGCTCATCACCGCGCTCGTCTCCAAATCTGCCCTGCACGCCCACACGCCTACCCCAACCTCCCTTCAACAAGCCCTCCAAACCCAAATGTCGGCGCTCCAACTATCCACCGCTGAGCTCAACCGTCTTGTCGCTACCCCAGCTTCGAGCGGCCCCGCCGAGCTGCACAGGCTGTGGCTCACACACCACCAGTCGATTCTCGATCTGCATGTTGCCGAGACGATGTTTGCGCTCACCCGCGGCGCCGTTTCGGGGACAGCATCAAAGTTGATCCCGGCGTGGTTTAGGGGTGAGTCGTCGACGGGTAGGGTCGGCGAGAAGTCGATCGCCTGGGTCGATCAGGCTGAGAAACGGGCGGAGGGCGTGATCAAGGCGCTGGAGAAGTCGGGCAAGAGGGGTAAGGACGAGATGGTGTTGGATGAGAGGTGGACCAGGGAGAAGGAGGTGGCGCTCGCCGCGGGGAGGGTGCTGAGGGATGCCAAGAGGGTCAAGGAGACGGCGAGGAGGAGTAGGAGCACGTTGGAGGGTTTGTAGGTCAAACACGGACGACGTCATTCTTCACCGTTGTCACTCGTCACACCGGTTCAGGCTCAATGGAAAGCATGACGAAGCCATCCATTATTCGAGCGTTACTATGCGAAGCGCCAAAGTGTTCATGAAGCACATATCATCCGTCAATGCTTTATCCGACAATGTCCATGGCGCCGAAAGCTCCTCATCTCTTCCTCGTCGCCAACGCATGAAGCTCGTCAACATCGTTACTCAATCTCGCCCCCGGATCCGCCCTCGCGTACACCTTCCACATCCCGTCGACCCATACATCATCCGTCAACCTTCTCACGAACCTGACCAGGCGCCAAACGTCTTTGAAGTTCGTTGCGATCCCCAGGCTGACCCTGACAATGCCCACGTCCGCCTCTGCTAACAACGTCGACGCGGCCAGATCGGTAATGATCCCTCTTTGCATGACGGAGGAGGACGCGCCGGGGTTGCACATGCACGGTCCGCCGCGGAGCGAGATGTTTTCCTGCGCCGCAGCCCAGATGACGAAGCGGTAGTTCAAGGCGTGGTTCTCGCGGCTGGAGAGGACGAGGGGTAGCGTCATTCCTTTTTCTCCCGAAGAGGGGTTGGGGAGACGGACGAGCTTCACCGGCGGGGCCGCGGTCGAGGCTGTCGATGATGAGAGACGTTTCTCCCCCTCCCTTTCGTGCTCGCGCGTTGATGAAGGAGGATAGTAGATACTCTCCAGCTGAGCTACTAGCCATTGCATGAGCAGCTGATTTCGTTGCACAACAGGTCCCATCCACTTGGCCGCAAACTCCAGTCCAGGCTTCACCGCCGAAAGAGAGGCAAAATTGCAGGTTCCATCCTCGAACCTCTCCGGTCCATCCACGAGCGAGAATTCCATCCGATCCATGGTGATGCCGACAATGTTGCCGCCGAAAAACGTTTCTTTGCGGGTCAACTTGGCGTAAGCGTCCTTTCTGAGAATCAGCGCGCCAAGCCCAGTGGGGTAGCCACAGATCTTGTAGAGCGAAACGACCATGAAATCCACCCTGTGGTCGCGGAGGCTGATGCGGGTGGAAGGGGCTAGAGCGGCGGCGTCGAGACCTACGTCCCATCCGAGCGACTTTGCTTGCTGCAGCAGGGTCAGATCGAGTTTCGCGCCAGTGATGTTGCTTTGTCCGGTGAAGAAGACCATCCCTTTATCCTCGCCCTTTGTCAGCGTCTCGATGTACGCGCCACGTGGGATGGAGTCACCGTCGTAATCAACGAACTCGAAAGACCCCCCATGGGCCTCCGCACGCCGCGCCAGACTGTTGATGGAATTATGCGCGTCTCGAGGCAGCACCACCCGCCGACCCGACCAATTGTACGTCTCACCAACAATCTTCACCCCCGCGCTGGCGTTGGCCGTCCACACCACGTCGTACACCGTCGGATCGGCGTGGAAGAACTCCAGCACCGCCGCACGCGCTTCGTCTGCCGAGGCCGAGGACAGGAGTGCGGCGGGAGAGGTGCTGTGTGGGTTGCCGAGGACACTGGAACGCAAATGATGGAGGTGCGTTGTGAGAAGCGAGGATGGAGGTAGGGCGGAACCTGTGTAGTCGAGGTAGACCGCGGAAGAGGTGTCCAGGCGTGAGAATTCATCCCGACGAAGGGTGTGAAGCGAGCGAGAGGGGTAGGCGGGATGGGAGGAGATGAATGTGGATTTGTCCTGGTGGTAGGTGAGCGCGTCGGGGAAGGAGAGCGGCGTGGAGTGCGTCGTGCGGAGGGCTTTTAGGTGGGCGAGCATGTTTGTGCGTCCTCCAGTTCCAAGCGAGGGAGGCGGTGAGGAACAAAACTTTAGATGCGAAAGTGTACAGAGCTCTTTTGGATACTCGCTCGACGCTGGACGGCTGCTCGGTGCGTTCGTTGTTGCGTCCCCTTATATGTCAAAAGGAAGACTACGTTGTCGTTCGTCACTGCCGCCGGTCAAAAGCGTCGTTCTCCGTAACGCGGATAAACACTGCGTTCCGAGTTCCTGGCTGACACCCGCTTCGAAAAAGCACCGGAAGCGAGCGCCACGTTTACGTTTGACAGGCCAAACACGCAGCAAACAAAATGTGGGTGCGACCGGTCTGGCTTGTCCAACAGTGCGCGATGCGACACCGGGTTCTACGCGAGCTTGTGCGGGGACTGGGGGAGGCAAGGTTTGAGTTTGTATTGAAGGTGAGCCAAGGGGGAGGGGTGGGGAGGGGGACAATACGAAGGTAGTAGAAAGGTCGATGGCGTGCTGGGAAATCCGCGATGGCGTGATCGAGCTCCAGAGGCGTAGCTTCTTATACGACCTGGTTCGGGCGCCTTTTCGGGTCAGGAGAAGCGTTTTGGCGGGTGTGTAGGACATTCTATACTCTTTCTTGATGCAAATCGACGCTCTCGAGTCATCGTAACCCCCTTTCCATTCGTTCTAGTCACACACGGTCCTGACCAGGAGGAGCTAGGCAACGACGACAGGCTAGAGCTAGAGGGCCTGGAGGGCACGACTGGAGAGTCTGGCGCGACTGGCACGGGCAGCTGAACAAGACCAGCGGCATCGGCGTGTTCGACCCGGGGGCGAAAGACTGGGTCAAGTGAGAATTCAAATGGAGCAAATGGCATTTTCCATGAGATGCAAAAAGGACAAACAAAGAAAAAAAAGGGAAAAAAAAGAAAGGCGACCCCAAGCCTCCTCATCGACCCGGATTCTTGGCGGGCGACCCCTGTCTCGCACACAGGACGTTTTTCTCTCTCCATCCATCCTGTCCTCCTGACCCTCGCAGTGAAGGCGAGGCTGAGCGAGAGCTCAGTGCAAAGGAGTACGCAACAAGGCTCGACATGATGGAACCGAAGAGGAGCTTGACCAGCGGGGTCGGAAACACGTTTTGCGCGCATGCGCTTGCTTCCAGACAAGAAGCGATTCTGTCAACGAAACGCGGCAGCCGGCTGGGCACCCCCTGTCAAGAATTCAGGCCCAGCCTACATTCGATGCGAGCGGCATGTCCCGTCCCTCGGTCTGCGCTGACTTTGCCCCTGCTGCGCAACTTATCCCGTGCCCTTTGACCAAGGGTTCGACCAAGGGTTCGCAGTCAAAGCATACAAGACGGCTCACATCAGCTTCAGAGTGCGAGGGAGATACGCGACGATCGGCTGCAGTGTTCGCTCTTTCCCTTGTAAGGTCCGTGAAGAGAGATGAGGCAGCCAGGCAAGGATCGCGAGGCTCACAAGCTTCGTGGGCAGATCAGAGCGCTCTACACACTGATTTCCATTGGGTCCGTCTTCTTCGTCTGCACCGTCGAGTCGTTCAATGGCACATGCGATGCACAAGCTCCTAATGTCAAACTTAATACGACATGCTTCGGCTCAATGTTTGTCTCGAGACGGAAGCTTGCGATGCGAGACCGAGACGCAACGTGGGCTGCGTGCAAACCTTGATCGGCACAGGGTGGGATCGAAGCGCGCGGTCTTCAGACCGGCTCTTTGGTCGGACCGCGACCAGCGATACCAAGGTCAAGCCTCTGGTATCGCAAGCCTTGTCAGCCGTTCCTGACATAGCGGCGGCTGAATGTCATGGGAACCGTGGTGGTTTCGACGTGCCGCGGATCAAATCTATCTAGAGACGACGATGCCCGACCTCGTTCAGCTTCCACGTCAAACCCTTTGTTCCGAGATGCAAGAGCCAACAACGGCCTTCCGACAAAGGTTTTGGTGGTCGCTCCGAGCACGAATCATTCTCAGCTCGACCTTAGCACACTAGATTCCGTATCAGGA